TTTGATGGCTATGATGGATCTTTTCTTGTAACAAGCACCTTGTACACCACTTGTAGACACAACAAGCAATAGGAAACACCGTATATTTCAAAATTCTGTCACTGAATTATATCCCCAGTCTAATAGTGCAGTGGTGCATCAAAATTCAACACAAGTAACACAAAAGCAATTTAGTACCGTTCAGAGGTGAATCCCACATTTCCTTGGGAGCCCATAATGGATTAAAATATATGCATTATCCTGAAAGAGCATTACTCCTTGTGTCATAAAACAGCGGTCATGCTGGTAAATAATGGTAAGTTGTTAAATGACTTTAAAACAAATCTCCTCTAAAACACATCTGTCCTCAAGGGCATATGGTTCTTAACACAGGTCCTTTCCAAACTGGGAGGATGTAGAAATACCCTCAGACCTTAATATGCAAAAGTTCCTGTGCTATTTAATCATTCTTCCAACAAAAAAATAATGTAACATACTTTGAACTGATGTGTAAAACAACTAGGATGAACCAAACCTAATGGTCGTCCAACACCTGGTAAGCAACTGGCTTTGCTGGCACTAAGCACGAAAGGTGCAAGCAATTTAAACTAGCACTTATACTGTATGTCTGGAAACTTACTCATGAACAGTTTTAATACGGGACACTTTATACTTTAATTATAAACCCCAATGACAGGATTGAAATGCAGAACTGGCAGGGGATACTCTTAATTGGTTGTCTCCAGTTAAATACAACTCCTTTCCCTGAAACAAAATGCTGAGTGAAAACCTTCTAATTTGTAGCCTGTGAGTGACTGTCTTTATGTTTCATCAGAAAGCTCAACAATATACTGTATAGCCAGTGAAGCAATACCCCAGAAGATTAAGTGAAGTGGTTGTTCCCTCTTCTACCCAATTCTTTGGACCAAACTCCATGCAGCTTTCATATCTTCAAACCTTTAAAGATACACTGGGGACAACATTTTGAATTAGAGTACTTACAATACATGTACACACATCCAGACCGAAGTGAAACAACTTTTGAGTGCCTTGTATTGCAGGAGATAAAATAGTTACAGTCCACAGGCCTTAGACAAGAAAGTGAACAGATGACCAAGAGATGTTAAATCCACTTGCCATGTTTAAAATACAATGATCACTGATACTAATTGCTCAGAGTAAAAAATATTTTACAAACACCTGAGAAAATATAAACTAAAATATACTGTATAGGCAGTCTATTCTTGAAACAAATTTCACTAAGAATCTTATTTGTTTACCAAAATGTCAGGTGCCTTTAAGTGCCATATTAGATTAACATGCATGCCATTAGTTTATCAAATGCTCTTTATAGACAGAATTGGCTGATAGGAATAAGGGTTGGCCCTTTTACATATCATAATGCCAGCTCATACTTAAAGAACATGAAATTGTCTGTTTCATATTATTAACTCTTGACTATACCATTGGGAAAGGTGAAATAAAGTGACACTTTTCACCATAAGGCTCCATAAAAGTCTCATACCATGAGGTACAGTAGCAAAACAAACTCAAAATATTTACTAAAACAAGTCTGTCCAATGTTGCTTCTGTATCACAAAATGGACACCCCCTCCTTTCAGACCATAAGAATGATTTTAACTGTGAATTTCATTTATGAAAACTGAAACAGAAATTGTTTTTTTTTAAAATAAGAAAAGATAAGTACTACAATAGCTTACATAAAGCATTCTTACTGAAAAAAAAAAGAATCTACACAAGGCTCAATTTTAGCTTAGCTACTTTGATCCATCAGGCTGTAGAGGCAGTATCATGCCAACAACCCAAACCTCTTTACTGCACTATAATACATAAAAGAGTTTCCCTGTCGATCAGTTTCATTATCCCAATGGGAGGGACTATATGGCATTTAGCCACCTATGTAATTTAATGGAGCTGTAAATATAAATGTACTGAAAAAAAATTCTTTTAACTGTGAACAACATTTTTTGATCAAATGACAATACTCAGATCTAAGATGTATTTTTAATACATGTAACTGTTTAAATACACTTCTAAAACCAACAGTTCAGTACTTTTGCTCTTTATAATCCTCATAACATTATTTACCACACTAATAACAGTACATATACTGTACAATATGTAATGTATTTTAAGATAAACATACAACTGCTGTATCTGCAGTACCAGTAAGGAACTGTCAGAAATACAATGAAAAGTCCACTCAGGAATTTTGACATTGTTTAATGGTTAACTGTGATCTACACAGAAACAGGATATAGTTTGTATAATACAGTATATAGTATGTGTACGCACAAATCTGTAAAACAAATGTATCTCTGAACAGATTGAGTAAATCTGAATGGGTATTTAATTACATTTTCTGTTCTGGGTAGCTGTACTGTCACTTAATGTACTAACATTTTGTTATCACCTTTAATGCAGTCCTCATTAAACCGGTATGGTGTGCTATAATGTGCAGAAAATGAAAAATATAAACTATCCTTCTTGAAACATGAAGCTTTTGCACATGCGAAGCCTTGAAGCCATACAGTATATCAGTATTTGAGCTGTTTTCTGTTAAGCATTAGCCATTAATGTGAGGGCTTTATCACCGTAAGTAGAGTAAAATAATCTCTTGATGGTCCAAGCCATGACTTGTGGTTTATATAGCAACTAGGGAAGAACTAGGACTGTGGACACCATTTTGTTTTAAGACCAGTATCTTCCCATACATCTCATTAGGCATTGTGATTGTAGGCTATCTAAATATTTTTAAATAACTTCAAAGCAGGATTAAAAATAGGTTTAACATCCATTTTCTAACCACTTTATCCAATACAGGGTCTTGGGGTTGCTGAAACCTATCACTGCAAGCAACAAGTACAGTACAAAGCAGGATACACTCTGGACACCAGTGACGTGACTGGCAAAAAAACACTGAGTTGACAAACCAAAATATTGAGGCAAGTGAACCAATAAATTTGCCTCAAAAATATTTCCTCTATTTTTTCCAACTAAAATGAAATATTAAATTAAAGAGAATTCAGTCAAAGTCAATCAGTTACGACATACAAATGTGTTATGTTATGTGGGTTACTCTTCAATAATTCAAGACAGTAATGAATAAAGAAAGGCTACAGTTCCTCTCAGAGGCAAGTTTATGACTAGATTTATTGAAGGAAGGTACGATAAAATTACAGGTATGTGATGATTGACTTTGTGCCTGGAAAGGACACTAACAAACAACTGCTGATAGACACAGTACAGTGCATGTTTAATGATACTACAACACATTGTACAGTTAAAAGAATGTCTGGATCTCATGAAGAGTCCAGTTTAACACAACATGACTGTTGTGCAGTCATAATCAATGCATTGACTATGTTCCTTCAATCACTTACCATAATTAATCTAAAAATGCTTCCTTACACCAATACACACTTTAGATGAATGGATTTGGCAAGCTGTGTATTTTTATGTTCACCTTAGGTCACAAATTCAATGGATGTATGGTATGGTCTCTATGGATGCCAGCTGACGACATTAACAATATTTGCTTGAAATCTTGCCTGAATGGCTCTGTTGGGAAAACATGACGTTATCTTACTGGAACACTGCCCATGCCATGTGTCATCTGATTATTTCAACCATTTCATGGCACTAATGTTCTACAAAACACTACCACTAGATTTACAAGGCCTTGTCCTCTGAATGAAGATGAACTAGTCCATTTATTGCATATTAGAAGAAAACACAGATAAACACATGTAGTTTTAGGAAATGTACAGATAAACACATGTTTAATGAAAACCGTTAATTACATTTTCATTTATTTTCATCTGAATACATTAAGTATAAAGAAGAATATTGTGCACACTCGTAGTTCAAAGAATCAATTGCAGCTCATGCAATGCTTTATGAATGAATATTCTATTCAGTAGCATGCTTTAGGTCTATATTTCCATAAAATGTTACATTTTAGTGTTCACTTTTTTTATTAGGACATAATTCCTGAATTATGAATTTCTTCTAATTGTGGTTTATTTTCTGATTTAGATGATAATCTAACCTTTATGCTAATAAAAAGCAATATTACTTCATATTTCAGAGCATGATTAAAAAGCATCACTTCCACCAATTCTGTGTGCAAGATGGAAAATGGGTAATTTCTGAAAAAGAGAATTCTGAGATTTGTATCAACACGTATTTATATAAAATATTTTATTAAGCACATCTTTACTGATGACAACATCATCATAAAACTACCATAGGAGTAATCTGAAATTGGGCCCTTTGATCATTCTGATAAACACTATGCTACTTAAAATGAATGCTTAAATGACTAACACTGAAATAGATCAAATCTGATGTACAGGATGTTTACAATGATTTTTCAAATAAAAAAAAGGTTTTAAATATCTTCTAAATCTGTGGTTTGTCACAGATCTATTAATATTCTAGACAACTGTTTCTTCATTAACACTTGCTAGAGCCAAACTTGCAAACATTGAACTTGATCACATTAAAACGTAAACAGAATGTGTAAAAAAAAAGGTATTTTAATGCACCTTGGACACTGCCTACGGATTTCCGTGTTGATATTTTAGTACTAGTAATAGTTGCCGAAAAAGTATATTAAACTGCTGAAATGTGCTTGTTTATACAGTAGCATTTACGTGCTATCGGATTTATTTGAATGTCCAATTCATGAGAAACATTAATGTGACAAATATACCAATAAGTGACAGAAAACAATAGCTGTAATACACCAAATTATATCAGTCTGTGACGTTTATTAAAACAGCATCATACCTTTCCTAAAAATAACACTCCAATGCATTGTCGGGTTTCTTGTATTTCAAACTGTAAGCTTCGACATTATGAACGCGACCTGTCCCAATCAAAAAGCAGCGCCTCCGCTGCATGTTTAACAGGATACACTTCACTTCAATATGGTACACAGCGATCCCATTTTAATTCCAGCTATGTATATATAATGATTAAAATAATATCCTTACCTGTCACACTGCTGCAGTACGACAATTTCAGCTATCCTCTTCCCTTATTCCACTTTCTCTCTCTTTCTTTCCTTTACCTGTAATAATCTTTATTGCACGGGTCTGCAGATGCACGGCGACAATGTTTCAGTGTTTATTGCTATAAGCAGCTCGATGTTACTGCTGCTACTGTTGCCATGGTTATTCAATCAGCCCCTCTACAGTGAAACTCTCTAGCATGCATACGTTTTCCTAAGACCAAAAAAAAAATCAATTTTGCTAAGTGCTGCGCCAGTCTCGTGGTGCCGTTGATTTTCTTCCGTGTCCTTTTTCTTCACCTTGCGCTGGACCGTTCCTGTTCCCGGTGATTGTAAACCGTTAGTTCAGTTTTTAATGTTTTGGGTTTAGTCGCTTGCACAGTGCATACAGTACTACAGTCAGACTGACGTCATAGCAGCCTGGGAAACAAAACTAGACTGCAATCAAAAGCGAATGGCCGATTGACCGGTTTAGCCTACGTGGGGGGGAGATAATGAATGATTTGATGCTTAACCTATTTATAACCTTGGCTTTAACAAACTACGCCCGTGTTTCCCTTTATGTTTTATCTTTCAGCTCGCCTTTCTATATGATCTGTCATATTCACTACAATATTGTTGTTGTTCAGCATATTAAAGGCTAGTATTACCCGCTTTTCAAGAACCATAGTAAATGATTGCAGCCTTGTTATAAGTTAAGAAGAACTGAAGTTTTCTCTATTAAGAAACGTGCACTCAAACATTAATTGAGCACAGTACATTAAAGTGGAGAATTAAACATGGTTTGAAATCTGAAACTTTTGAAGTCTGGAACGTTGAACACTGTAGTCTTTCATGCCCTATCTTGTTGAAAATCTATTAGAACATGGTAGATTATTATAATCGATGCTGATGATAATAATGTAACGCAACAGGGGCTCAGGCGGGCGCCCTTGCCGCATCTGGTCGGCCCCATCCCGACTGGAGGCTCCAACCCGGGACTTCCGCGTCTCTCTGCAGCGACCTAGCCCCGTGAGCTAAAGAGAGATCTCTCCACAGCCCAGTAGCTGTGGTCCTGCTATCACAGGGAAGGGCGGTGACGTCACCCGCTCTGGTACGCCGTCTCTTACACAGTGCCTGTTGGCCGTAAGCGTTACAATATAATTGATATGATGGCATAAAATAACTTACCAATGAGAGTGAGCTACAGCAAATCAGATAAAATATATACTGTATACAGTACAGTAGCTTCTTTGGCTGCTAATTGCTAATTGTTCTGAGGATCTCATCTAGCAATTTCTTGAAAGAAGCCAGAATATCAGCTTCAAGAATATGGCTAGGTTCTTTATTGTAGACTCCCTCTATCCTGTTGTATGTCCAAGACTGTGCCTGCCCCTGTTTACAGTGAACTGCTCTGAACTCCAGTTTAGTAGCTGGACAATCGGCACAGAGGAGGCTGGAGGTATGGGTTGAGCTCCGGTAAAAGGGGTTTATTGCCCTTTACTATTACAGTGGGCATGTTACATTTTACATTACAGTTATTTGTCCTTTACTATCACAGTGGGCACGATAGTCACTAGGGGAAGGAGAGATAGAGAGGGAAAGAAAACCCATAGTCTCCTGTACCATGAGGCGAGAGAGAAAGAGAAGATAGGGGTCCCCCCCTTATATAGGATGATGCAGAGGACACAGGGTAAAAGGTGAGTGTGGAGCAGTGCAGTTCATTACCAGAGGGAGATTGGAGCAGAATGCTTTGCTCACTTTTCATTGTTAACTCTGAAAGATTCAGTGACTTTGTGAATGTGTTATTGAAGACCTTAATTACTTGAGTCGTGTCCCTTCATACTGGTCTCTGTTAATGTTAATAATTCAATTCTTTACCCTGTTTGTGTTGGACAATCCTTTCAGTCTGTTACTGTGTCTTGGTGAATATCTCTGGACTGATTCCAGAATAGCAATACTTTATTCAGTATGTACATATTTTGTTATGCCCAAATGTGGATGTCATAATCTAAATGAGGGCTTACTAATTCAACTTTAAAATAACATATCTTGCTTTAACTTTCATAGTTTTCATTGCATAGAGTTTCAGGAAACAGCCTGTGAAACCCAAAAATAAATATGGACATTTTTACCATGATAGCTGGTATGTAAATATGCAATAGGGTTTATAGTAACCAATTCCATGTTGGGAATCCAATAGTCTACAAATTGGTGAAGGTTCAAGACCACACCCTACCCAGAATTGGTCATCCCACTAAACTTTCTCCAAGAACAAACGATAAAATCATCAAGAATCATCAAGAGAAGTAACAAAGAATATCAGAGTATCATCCAAGGAAGTGCAGGCCACTCTTGCCTTGGATAATATAGCTGTTTATGACTCAAGAAGATGACAGAACAAGGGGTATTAATGAAAGGTTGGCACGGAGAAAACCATGATCTATAAGACTTCTGGAACAATGTTCTCTGGATAGAACTCTTTTGCCTCTTTTAAGAAAGGCTATGTTGCTAAAGGCTAAGGAACCACATCTCAGCTGTCAAGCATGGTGGTGATGATTGTTGTCTGAGGACCTGGACATCTTGTCAAATGATTCTCTCATTAATTTTCCTTACTCTATCTTCAGGTTTTAAAAATCTAGATTAATGAAGGGTTTCTCTCTGGCAAACTGAATAAGAAAGTAAATAGCCACATGTACATTTTCAGTGTCTTTTTCTGACATCCATATTGTTTTATTGCTCTGAAAACACCTAACATTCTTTTGAAGTATTATTATAATGTGAAATATAAATTAATGTCTGTAATTATTATTACCTTTTTGTCACTAACAATGTATTTCTGTTTTAATGACATTGGACATGTGATGTCAAGTCACTAGACCTACTACTGTATATTTAATCTACGGGAAAAGCAAGGACAACCATTGAACAGCAATCCTGGAAAGTTCTTGACTTCATAAAGTCACTTACAAATTGTAATTGTGCAATAGGAGTGTCATTCAGCAGAAGCCTGAAACCTGGAATTACAACATCTGCAAAAACATGGAGACATCATGGACCAAACTCACAAACAGACACAAAATATACTACCAGGTGTGAAATTATAGAACAACTGGGTAGCTTTAAAGCTAAGCAATTATGTTTTATCAAGATGTTATATTTCCCTATGTGTCTCTGAGACAGTGTTTCAGCTATGGACTTAATTTCTAAAAGCCCTGACAACCTGAAGTTTAAAGGGAGATTTTGTCTCAGTTATGAGAGATATTATCAGCTTATCTCCTTAAATCAACAATCTGTGGTATGATTTTTCTTTCTTTGTGGATATTTTATTAATTTCACATCATGAATCCCTGTTCTATTTTGACTTTCACAGAGAGGTATCATATCATGTAAACTTTTCTTTGATTTTTACTTATTTTTCTTTCACTTGGGGTTTTCTGCGTTCTTTTTAATCAAGAAGCAATGGAGGAAAATCATTAATTAAACAATAAAGAAATGTAGTGGAATTTTAGAATACTTATTAAAATCAACAAGTGTAACCAAACAGATAAGGGCTTAAACTAGTAGCCAGCCCATTGAGAAATATTGCGAATCGGCCAAATAAATCAGGTGAACATGGAGATCTGGGCAACTATGTGGCTTTCGTTACATTGAAAATTGACAATTTCTCTGTATGTCTGTGAAGTATTACATTGCTACAGTATGTTGAACAATTTCTAAGTTTCTATGTAATATGGTATGCTGATGTGTTTTTCATACATTACTTTGCCTCGAGCAAGTCTCCCTACTTATTGTATATTTAATTTCAGTGTAATAAGCAAATTGTTTTTCAGCTATAAAAATGAAAGTAAATAAGAATGATTAACGTTATCCATACATCTAACAGGGTGAACATGTTTCATATCTTGACTAGTTTTGAAACTGCATGTTCTCTGAATGTCTGCCAAGGCTCTCTAAAAATGCTTCATAATTTATTTTGTGTGTTTAAGTGCTTAAAATTTATCTTCTTGTATCTTCTCCTATCTATCTTCTTGTGTTCTTAGAAAGCATAAGCTTCATGCACCAAAGTGTCAAACATATACAGTACTGTGTAAGAAAATATTTCTGTAAAAAATCCAATTTAATATCCATAGATTCACTTTTCAGAAAGTGTATAAGAGAAATTCATGTTTATTTTAATTATTCTACAGAATATTGTTTTATCTTAACTAATTATAGGGTTTACCGACACAATCAGACAGATTTAAAACTTTGTTTATTATATAACTTAGTTATTGTCTGTCTGCTGGAGAATATGGTCTGAAAAGTGAGAACAAGCCAATCCACAAAAAGAACAATAACTTTTTTCTGAATGAAGGTACCCCAATATTTATGGTGTAGTGATTTGCATGTTACACTGCACTTAATTAAACCACTTAATTATCTAGATATTTAAACCTTAGATGTGTTGAAAATCGAACACAGAGAACTTCTATTATGTATGGACAAGAACATTTTTTAAATTGTTTTACAAGTCTGTATTAAAGTGTAATCAGGTCTGACCACATTGTTTTGTTTCAGCATGAAATATAAGACATTGTTACGCCCGGAGTCCAACTAATTCATAGTTACTAAATTAGAAGTACAGTAGCTACAGTACACAAGTATATTCAAAATGGTAGGTCACAAGTTTGAAAGTCAGGAGTTCTGATTTGGAAATCACATGCTCTTGTTTACCAACTTAAGTTTATTACATTTAGTTAAACCATGGGCACTTTATAATGTTATAAAAAAAGACCAAAATGTAACATTTTTACAGTACTGTTTGTTAAAATCTATAAGTGTCATGAAAGGCGTGACCTTACCAATTAGCTGAGAAAGCACTGCAGTCTGTAACACTGCCTCCATTGTGTCAGCAATTTAGCAACCCGCTCTCTAGAGCATTCTATTATCAAAGTACAAGTACCTTCTTCAGCATTCCTGAAGTCGAGATCTTGTAATGATTCAACATTAGGTTGTTATGGAGATTTTCAGCAGTAGATCAACTTACAGATAAAACTACAGTAAAAGTGTTTATTCTGGTTTAAAAAATAAACATGATTTGGCCTTTTCCAGCAAGTTGTTTTTCTTTCCTTTAATGAAGAAAAATATGAGCCATGCACTGTGTATTAGCAGTGATTCAGATGGAATGGAAAGACTAATGAGGAAAATATCTAGAGACTTTCACTTAAAGATTTGTTATTTATGATAAAAGAGGTTTCAGAAGATGCTTCCTTTGAAGTGCTAATGAAAAGGCTAAAATAAACAGTTACTCTTAATATTTTCTGTTGCAAAACCTGACATACTGTATGGAGACAATAATCTTGTATTAGCATATCTAGACCCAAGACGTTGTGAATCTGAAATCAGCTAATGTACACAAAGATCTAAACCACTAAGCGTGGCGATCTCAGAAGTAGATGTCAAGTTACAAAAAACAATTCATTTCAACCTGGCTATAAAACATCTAGACAACTAAGCATATTTATGGACATTTGGTGCATTATGTTCAAATAATAATTCATTAATAACAATGTATTAGATTTTACCAGTACACACAATATATTTAGCTAAAATAAATACATTTTAACTGGAGTAATGATATATATCATAGACATATCTTTTCTAAAGAACATGTGGATTATATATATTGTAGGCAATTCCATTTGTGTAGCACAGTTCATCAAGAGAGGCCCCAAATCCCAGATTCCAGATCTTATGTACATAAAGGGATTCAGGATTTCTCCATTTACGCCTCTCGACCATCATTTAAGTGCCCCATTCGTTTAGTATCAGAAGCTGTTATTGTTTTCTGTTACCATGATTGAAATACTGACATCAGACTCAAAACATGTGGCTTTTCCATTGTTTCTATTTAACAACAGTTGCAGCTCTGGGTAGGGGGTTGCTCTGTTGTCTATGCTGACAATACAAGGAGCTGCAGAGGTGTGATGAGTGACATGGGAGAGGTGAGGCAGCAGGGTCTCCATGCTGATAAGGTGTGACAGTGGCCCCTAACTGTAGCAGGTAGACCATCACCCCCAACCCCAGCACACACATCTCACCTCAACTATAACAGATGTTTTACAGGAAAATGTGTGGTTTCAAATTATAGGTACTGCAAACTACACAATAGCAGAGTCTTACATAAATCAATCGAGGTATATTATTTCAAATGTGATAAAAACACATGTCAAAACATTTGTTGTTATGAACAGAAGTTTTTAGTGACCCCATATTAGAGACTGAGACTTAATGTGAAAAGGTTGTTTGTTTGCCTACATAAGAGAGAAATATTGCTTTTTATCTTAATTTTTTCAGAATTATTTTTCTTTCTCATTAACTACAGTAATCAATGAAATTTCTACGTGTGGTAACATTTTATTATGGAATTTTAATTTACTATGCTTTGTTTCTTCAGTACTTTGTTAATTGCAGTGGCTGTATGTGGCTGTTAAGGGTGACATGTTTCATCTCTTTCCATTCCACTTTCTCAATGTCAAGTTAATTTGGAGTATACTGCAACTGGAATAAAACATTCAAGAATATCTTTAATTAAAAATGAGCCTTAAAAGCTTGTTTAGAGTAACAGCTGACATGACAAAATGTTTGGGCATAAGAAACTAAAGCTTGACATACTGTATACAGTATACAGATCACAAGAACATAGGTGTAGTTGCAAATCCAAAAAAAGTAAAACCCAACAAAAGCATAACTGTGCCAAATCTTAACTAGGTTGATGATTTAGCAATGGGACAGAATGTATTGGAGGAGCATTCAGTAAAAAAATGATCGTTTTGTAAGACAGTATATCAACAATTACTTCAGGACAGATATTGTCAATCACCAAGATTGAATCTAATAATAATCAGCCTTTATGCCAAAAAGAAAACTGAAATCACTGTAGATAAAGACAACAAAATGTTACCAACTATTTGATTTTCTTCAAAGGTAGGACTGTTCTTTCAAATGTTTCCTGCTTAAAGCATCTCTGGACTCATTTTTGAAGCACTTTAGAGGTCTTACTAGTGCTTTTACGGACCTTCATTATTCAAAATCCTGGACTACGTCATGGTAATTTACTGTAGGAAGGTCTCTCCTGTTCTTAATTAGGGTCTGAGCAACTACCTCGTAAAGTGAGGATATAGAACCTAGGACGCTTTTGTATTAATTATGCATTTTACATTATTAAAACATGTAAAACTCTTTAATTATATCATGTGTTTAGTAGTAAAAGGATGCAAATGATGGATATTCATGGTTTCAGATATACAGTATTTTTCCCCAGATTTTTTTTTCAGAATCTTTGAACTGTTAAGATGCTATTTCAATGCTATATTAATATAATGACCACAGCCTTCTTTATGATAGTGACCTTTTCATAAAAAGAAAAAAGGTAAACCCAGTCAGTACCTACAATATAAGAATAAAAAAGTCCTATTTTCCCCTCTAATTAATCTAAAACTATTCTGGATATCCCTGATGTAAAACTACTCATTAGTAGAATTACATATAGCAAACAGATGTTGTTACAAAATTCTGCTATGTAATACAGTAAAAGCCCCAAGGCTTCTATTTCTTTCACGAAAGGGTCATAAAAATCAGTCCCCACCTTCTTGAAAACATTTGGCCAATCAGAATTTAATGAACAAAGGTGGCCGCAAAAAAAATGAGACTTCTCAAACATTTTCTGCATCTCCTTTGCAGGTTCTTTTAGCCTTCTATCACCATGAACACCCCTTAGAATCAGTATACTCCATGTTCATTTCACCTGATATTTTGGCTTTAGAACGTTTTCTCTTTTCAGTTAACTACATCAGTGCACTCCTGTCCTCAGGAATTAAAAATGGAATACCATATATTTTTCTTACCAAGGTAAGTTCATTATTATTAGTAGTAGTAGTACTAGTAATGGTAGTAGTAAAATGTGTCTTTAGTGCTGTTACACACTGATGGCAAAATGAATATATAGAATGCTGCCGAGAGATTGCAATGTACTTTAGGATCAAGTTCTCATACTGTACATTCCCCTGTGAGATTATATTTGTTAAGGAAAATTAAATGAATGGGGTTTGCAGCTTCATGGAAGAGGTTATTCATGGTCATTCATTCCTTATCTGTATAAACCAAATGTACTTGAAAGACCTGAGGTCATTGGCAAAAACCCACAGCTGTAGTTTAAAACCACTGAAATTCAATTGGGATATTAATTTATATTCAAATCATGATCCATCATTCACCATACAATCTCTGCCATTTAAAGTTTTTATCTGATCATTTCAAACTATATTTTTTCTGTTTCATTAATTCTATTAATGATTAATGATGAAGATGAAGAAATTGCAGACAATTCTCTTAATTTAACCAAATGTTAAGGTTATACAGAGGCTTCTAACTCCTGTATACCTTTCCTTTACTTTGATATGTACAGGTATTATTTTTTTTCTTAAATATTATTTATAAAGAACATATTATAAATAGAATACATACACAGTTATTGCATCTTGTATATTTTAGCAGGTACATACTACAGTGAAAGCAGAAGTTCATTTGTAATCAGGATTTCTTGGCAATGTAGGGTTCTGATCACCTGGTAATCAATAGCTGCAGAATGTGGATTTGACGCCTTTATCATTTAATTTTCTGGCATAATCCGTCTGTGCATGAACTGAAACCAAACAGAAGGGCCTTTGAAACATTACGACACGATTGTAAAGTCTACCTGTAGGTCAGCAACCCACCAAAGTCATCACTATTCCAACGGAACCCTAGTGCAATGTTTTGTTTAGCAGGTGCTTAGACTGAAACAACTGCACATCAAGAGCTTCAGGGTTGTACCAGAACTTGCATGAAGATTTAGTCAAAAATTAAAATTATTGAAAGTTTTCGGCATAAAATAGAATTATCAGTCTTAATACAGTGGAAAGTATTTATCTAAAACAAGATTTGAGATATGCTGATTCAGCCCTTCTTATTCGGCCCCCGAAGAAAACAAGCTCCATAGAATGGGTGAACGAGCCTTGTAGTGTGCAACTCCAGATGTGTGGAGCTCATTGCTCAAATCCATTAAAGACTCTGTGACTGTCAACATTTTCAAATCTCTCTAAAAGACCCATCTCTTCACTGAAGATTTTAAAGTATAATATACTCTTGGTTACAGTAAATCAATGTGTTGTGCTTTTCTTGTTGCATTCTTTGTGCTTCTGTCAGGCTGTTATATGTGTGCTATTGTAGAGTAGTTTCTAGTAGTTTTGTGTTCCTAAATAAGTGAATTAATATTATGCAATATATTAATGATAGCTTTATAAGCAGAACATGTCTATGATACCTTATAAGTGCTGTATTTGTAACAAGCATTAATTACTGACAACAGATATGAAAAACCACCATGTACTGTATTAGATTTCCATGTTTAGTTTAGCACTTCATTCATAAATTATGCATTCATATATTTTAATCATAGACATACTTTCCTTAAAAACTGATGTTCAAAACATTTTTAAACAAAGAAGCAATTACTTTCACTTAGCTTGTCAGTTGACATCTGATTAGAAATCCCCTGGAAACAATTTGTGCTGTTTTTTAACCTTTCAGGATTTTTTCTCAGATAAAACTCATGAAGCTAATGGACCTATCAATAATAACACACATTAACAAAGTAAAAATGGTACAGTAGCAATAATACTATGGAATATATTGTGCTGTTTTTTTTCTTTTACATCAATTTACTGAGATAGTCTAATAAAATGAAGTTTGATGTTTTCATGTAATTTTAGCTATTAGTCTCAACATGCATATACAGTACAGTAGTTTAGATACTGTATATTATCTGCCAAGCAACTGGAGCTGAGGTTTTAAATCTATTTTTGAAAGACCTAATCTAAAGCTCAAATTTACTGTCAATCTGAATGAATATTTCTCATTTAAGCTCTAAAAAAAATTTAGCTGCTCTTGGATTATGGGATAGGCCCTAGGCCAAGATTTAGATATTCTTTTGTAATCTCCCCTTCCACACACAAGCCAGAAATCTGCCTTAGTGGTTTTAAAAACATGTACTGCCTTTAGATTTCGAGTAACATTTTGCAAGCATCCTCTGGGATGTTAAATGATATATTTTAAAAGGATCACTTGTTGGCTTTTGCTTTTAGAACATATCACATGTTCACCACATTGCTAAGTGCTTTGTAGAGACTGCATAGCTTCACAGTTAATATTAAATTTTCATCAGCAGTTTTGTTTGGAATCCTGACACCTATGACGCACCCAGCCATTTGATGACCTTCCAAAGTCCCTTTGCAAGATAGTCTAGAGTGCACACATTTAACATAAAGCTACCCACTATATTAGCTTATTAATTATTTTGACTGACAATTCTAATTTGTTAGAAAGAAGTGTATTGTATGGAGATCTATTAAGACAGATGACTTTCAACCAGTAGTGCTGGTACATGTCAGATGCCACAGACTTTAAGTCTAAAAATCTGGCCTATGCCCTGCAGGGATATTGCCATCTGTCTACCAGAATCACACTTCATACTTGCACTCAAACTAAGTAAGCAATTTGGACTGCACCACTATAATTTTAGATACTAGAAATATGCAAAACTTAAATTAGCAGTGCATTATTTATTTATTGTTTTCATGGATGGTGTTGATTGACAAAACACCAGATGAAAAAATGATTCACCGTCTGAGAGATTGTGTTTACTGCTCTTTAAATAAAATATACACTTTTGGTGGGAACACTTCATAATGGCACAGTTCAGTTAGTTCAGTTATTTATTTTCTACAAGGTCTTTGGTTAGCACTTTACTTAGTGTTCATCATAAACCATAAATCATCATACAGGATCATAAATCTACTTGGTTACATTTTCAAAACAAATAATCAACCAGGAAAGGTAAATCAAGTATAAGCGCAAATCAGCAACAACCCTGGCATTTGAAAATAGATTAAAAGGCATATTTCTTATTCTAGGAATGACAAAAAATACTTGCAAAGAACTTAATGTTCAATACTTGCAAAGAACTTAGAACTGTAATGTTCATGTTCTATAATATTCAGATTTTATTATCCTATGGTTGCCACACGTCACAGTAAGAGTGAGAAAGGTTTAGTATTATGAATAATACATAGATTATTCACATATTAATGTTTATAGAGCTCCTTAAAAAGGTAATGTCTTAGAAGCTTATTAAACTTTGTTAATTACATTTTTATGTACTGTACATGACGACTTCTTATACCCTCAGAGTGTCTGACAATAGCCATTTGCACCTCTATAATATTGTAATAAGGATATCTTACGTGACTCTTTAGACAAGGAAATGTTAAACGCTCCAAAACTTTTTAATATAAAGAAATGCATTTAATCCATTGACGTACTTTACAGTGCAGTCCCACATTCACATTTTTCTCTGCTACTGAATTACACTGAGACTAAGAATAGCCATTTCAGAACTCCACAGGCAAGAAAGAAGGGGGAGGACAACTTGGATGAAACTATTCAGTTAAGGTGGTAAAGATAGTATCATTAGAATTATAACAAATATCTACAATGGTATAAAATAAAAGAAATGAAGGAAATAACTTTCACTGGTGGCAATCAAATAAGGGGTGACAAAAAATGTTTGAATAGATTTAATTAAAGATTTTAAATATAACATTAAAAAATGACACAGAAAATGATCAAAGGTCATATTTTATTATGAAATCAAATTGCGTATGATCTGCCTGGATATGACCACAATCTTGACATCGTTTTGACCTGATCATCCCCTGGATGGTCTGCTTTCGGAGATCTGACACTCTTCCTGCAGCAGCAGATGAAGGCTGGCTAATCGCTATTGTCTCCTGTTGATGATAATGGTGAAGGCAGACCAATCACAGTCTCCAGTTAATGATGCTGGTGAACTGGTCCTACCAGTTTCCTTGAATTTATGCTATTGTTATCCAAATCCTTCCCAGACTGAAGTGTTAAGAAACAAAGAGACCGCTGGATGAAGTAATTTATCATTATACTGTTATTGCTGAAAAGACTGGTTAACCTATATCTGCACAAAAGCTTTTGCAAAAGGAGACCCACATCATCACATTTCAACCATCCCATCGGTATGCAAAAGTCAACTAAGTGCTCCCTATAACATTTCCACATGCAATCTTCTATCAAGTCTTTCAAGTATAAAATCATGTTAAAAAAAACAAAGCACTCCTCCACTCTCTCAGCTGAGACCTCAGGTGTTCTCTTGCAACAAAAGATAGTAATTTCATCTCTAATCTTCCAATATGTTACACTGAAAACCATTTTTGTGGAGAACGCACATCATTTTCAAGCAGTGAGCTGCAGTCATGTTGCTAATCTGCAGGTAATTTTTCTTGGAATGTGCTGTAGCCACTGTAACCTGATTACACTGTTGAACATGACAGTCCTGAGACAGTATGCTGACCCTTTGTTTTCGAAGTTGTGGCCTGTCCCTTATAGACCAATTTTCCAAGTGTCTCTGGACTTTTCTACTGTTATGCAAAGTAGAACATCTCATTCTCTAGGCAACTTCTCCCAGACGTGGACTATGCCAAAAGCAACCAGATGATTTACACGACTACATTTGTATATGATCAGATCCTTTACGGTTGTTCTGTTATTCAATATTCTATCTCTAAGAAATATTTTCCAAGGCTTTTTTTTTTAACAACGAGTCACTTTGTCATCTTGATTTGCACAGAAAAGTATTTTTGTTCTAGCATGAATAATGCAGTCCCCTTACTGGTTTCATATTGGCTTAATTAAACTGTGTTCCACCTGCAGTTTGAAATGTGTGTAGAAAAAAAATCTTGATCTACTGGTGAAACACCTTAGGCTCTCGGTACACGTATTTCAATACCCAAGGGAAACAATGTAGGTTTAAGTACACTAAATATTTTGAATACAGAACTCAATGTATCTAATTTCTCTGCATACAAATTGATGATACATTGTAATGTGTTACTTTAGATAGATAGGATTGTATTACATTGCTTTGTACACAGAGCAAAAGCCTGATTTGTTTGTGGCTTTTGCATCCTTAGGGAGAAGACTGCTGAGTAACTTATTAGTCATTCTTTGAGCCTTCCCACCCAAACAATGTCTGCTACTGGCCTCATAAGTCTGATGATAGATGAAATTCACATTATTGAGGTGAGGGGGTGGGCAGCACATTGCTTGCATCAGCTGTATACAACACAGAGTGCATGAAGGCAGATGAAGTACTAGAAAAGGATTTTGGTGATGCTACTCAATACGGATTCTTTATCATCTCCAAACAAACTAAATCAACAAAGAGTAACATTGCCACCAGATCTTGTTCTAATAGAATAACATTATTTTATATGTTTCAAGGAAGAAATAGGTAATTTAGGTGAAACCAGTAGTGTGGTTCTTCCTGTTTATTAATGTTTAATTTCATAGAACAGCAATGGGTTTCTCACTTTACAAGTTCTTACCTTTTGCATAGTAGAGCATTGTTTGCATCATGCACAGTCATTCAATTATTACTTTTCTTTCTATTGAAAACACTTGTGTTTCAGTGGATGCATGTTTTGAACAAATTCCTGTATTATCGTTTATCAATACTGTACAATACCCACATTTTTGTGTTTGTTAGAATGATGTAAACCCTGATATGCTTCTTTATTCTAAACAATTCCCTATAGTCATTTGCTAGACATATTATACTAATACAAGTTTGTCATTATGGTAGCAAATCATAAAACAGGAGATGGATTGCTTGTTATTGCTGAGGCTTATTGTTTAAATAGCCTAAACAGTTTTGATACATATTAGAAACTCAGCATCCAAAGTATTGTTTTGTAGGCAGTCAATTTTTAATTTGTTTTTGTTACCCCAAACTCCCCCCCAACATTTAAAAATACTTATACATCTTTCTAAATTATTGAGTTTTGCTTCGGTGCTTAGTTTGATTTTTTGAATGATTAATATAAGAAGATCTACCTGTCAGTCTAAAGAGCTAGACTGTGGAGATCAGCTCAACTCAGGGTGTTTCATAAGCAGTGCACTAGCAGATCTTAAGATCTTTTGAAAATTATCAGAACATACTAAGGTGCATAAATAGCATTAGAGTTTGTGACACACCTACTGTAGGTGGTTGTGTACCACAGCAGCAATCTTTCGATAGGTTGATCCTAGGTAAACAGACACTCTTACAAAGCCAAAAAGTACCCTTTATCTAACAGTGTGAAGAACAACAAACAAAACTAAAAAACAAAATAAAACATAGACAAAACCCAAAGGTTCTTTTTAAAATCCCTCTCTAAAGTAATAAGGCAGCTAAGCTGCTTACAGGCTTCCAAACAAAGTCTCTGCAACCTAAAAAAAATATTTTTTCAAAACTCTCAGTGCAAACAATCTGTCACTACTCAAAATACAGTCACACAATCCCTTCTCCCTTCTCTGCAGAGGATGTGCTGTCACCCTGGACAGCATATATTAACGAACTGAAAGTCTCAACTTCCTGGATTTGCCTCTAAAAATGCTGCTGTTTTACACCAACTGGTCAGGTGACTGATCGTAGCAGGTCATTTCCAACAGTTTTCAGAAGAATGTTGTTCAGATGTCTGACATCTTGTCTGAACCATCTGTCCCAACACAAAACAAACAAAAGAAGAGGCATATAATATATGTGTTAATGTGATCAGAGTCATCTTTCTATTGTTTTAATGGAGGCTGAGTGGCTCAGAAGAACTATACAGTATGTAATGCTGTAAGATCAAACACCGACAGTACTGCACATCTGACAACCTCCTACAGTACCTTTACTCCTTAAGTCAGTAAAGTCTGTTGAGAAACCTAACAGAAAAAAAGTTCTAAACTTCATGTCAGATGTTTTGCTTTATTTTCAATATTATCCATTAATTCTGTAATGGTTCTAGGGCTTGTGCCCTCGCCGTTCCCCACCCCAGTGCGTTCTTTACCGCATGGGCGCGAACCCGGGTCTTCGCCATCGCTCAACAGGGGTCTTGCCGGCTGAGCTAAAGAAGACCTTCCTTATCCTAGGTGGCCAAGATCCCTGTTATGCGCAGGGTGTATTCATTACAATACCTTTAAACTCATTAACCTATAGGGTCTTAAAATACAAGGCTTGTGTTAAAATATAAATGCTTTATTTTGAACCTGCTAAAGGTGAACATTACACCTGGAATTATGGGTATAACAAATTATTTTTAGTATTAGTTTACTATGTTAATGCAGTTAAATGTATGAAACAACATTAATTTATGAATATTACCGATACTAGTTTAGAATTGTTTTCATTAATTATTTATTAATGTCCCTCTAAGAATAATCATATTGTGTACTATTGCTGTTGCAATGCTGCAATTTTATATATATTTTTTTCTCTTTAGAAAACATCATTGGAGTCACCGACACACTTCAGTTTATATCGCTCTCCTTTCAGTACTATGGACACCCGTTATTTGTCGTAAGTGAAACCTATATCACTAAATTCTAAAAACCTGGTAGAATTTAATGTTCCAAACTATGACATACAGAATTTGTTCTGTAAATCACATATAAGAATGTGATTTGTCAAATTATGTTAAAGATTATTTGGGACTGGTACTTGCATGCCCTTAAGCACTCAAAAGCTTCAATTTTAATCTTATTTTAACACATTACTTGGCCACATCAATTACCTGGTTACATCAATATCTTATAGATGTTCCCAATTTAGAAACAGGTGGCCTACACTAAACTGGGGCTCTCCAGGACCAGGTTTAGAAATTTCTGGTCTAATATATGACTAAATAGGCAATACTATTTGTATACCTGGTGATGTTATTGTTTGTTGTTACTGAGAAACTATTCTGGCACATGTTTTTTTTTTCTGGCACAATGAGCTTAGATATGCTTTCTTCTTTGTGAATATTGTTAGAATGGCATGTAGACATGAATAAAACATCTTGGCTTTCACCATTTCAATATGCAGCGTTACACTGACTCAGTAGGCTGCATACAGTATTTGTTATTTTGCACTAACCATTATCTCATTTTTTTTTTAATTGGCTGGCTCAGTTAGTTGGCTCTACAGCCATTCTTATTGTTATTTTCCCCAACCTTCCATATTATCCTTGCTGAGTTAATTGGCTGTGTATGAAAGGTTTTGAGTTACTCTTGAAACAGGTCTTTTAACAGGTTATACTCTATGCTTGACATTTGAGCTTGTTTTTTTTTACTGAAAGTGATATTAAAACTGAAAACCTATAGACAAAAAGTTCCAAGCCATTCTTTTCTTACATTTAATTTTCAGGAATAGTCTCTCTAAAGAAATGCAACAAGATCAACTTAATTTGTAGTAGAGCTCTTAAATTTCCCTTTTAGATAAATGTACTGTTAGGGACTGCATGCATTACAGTTAGTGGTGTCCTGGATGTTTAGTTAAATTAAAACTGAAATAAGTCGGCCCAATCATTAATTTTACTCTGTATAATTCATTACATTTTAACCTAATATTGCATAGTGTATACAAAATTGCATGGTGTATAAATAGGTTTATAAACAGAATGTGATTGATCACTTACTTAAATGTTTTTTTTTATTCCTTTTCCCTTTAAATTGACTGTTCCCTAGTTTTGATTTAGCAATTCTACCTCAAGGAGTTTATTCCTGTTCCTATTATTCATGCTCTTTTATTATTTATTCGACTACTTGAATGACCTGATACAGACATATTGTTGAAGTTGATATTCTGGTTTATTTCAAGAAATTGCTGGATGAGATCCTTATTATTATAAGCCTCCCTGGTTCAGGTAATTCTAGTTGTTGAATAAATAATAAAAGAGCTAGTGTTTTGGTTTACTTATACAGTATGCCAAGATTCTAATTTATACTGTAATTAGGTAATTACAAATAATCTTTTACTTTGATTGCATCACAATCTCCCATTTCACAAAAACTCATTAGGAAGTCTGATCTGGGATTTCAAATGCCTTCACAAACCTGCTTCTGAGTATCCAAGCAAGACACATACAGTAACATGAAACCTGTTATACCAAATTGTTTCCAGTATTATAGGGATTATATTGTCTTCTGAGTGTGATTCATCATGTGCCAAATGTCTCCTGAACCTGGATTCAAATTGGTGTTATGGTTCCCACATTAAAAATGTGTATTAAGATAAACTTGCTGTGACAGAAGACCACCTGCCAGGAGCTGTGGATCTGAACACATGAAGAATTACTGTATTGGAATGAAGTCTCTGTAAAAGGCATACAGTATGAATGATGAATATGTGGAATTAATTAAAATAAATGACCAATATTTGCATTGCTACCTCTCAGTGCTGGGGCCCTGGGTTTAATTTGTAGGCTGCTATCTGTGTAGAGTTTGTACTGTATGTTCTCCCTGTGTTCACGTGAGTTTCCTCCAGGTGTTCCAGTGTCCTCTTACAGTTCAAAGACATTCTGGTAGGTTAATTGGTTTCTGTAAAACCCTGGAATGAATGAGTGTGCATGTGTTTGTGTCAGTCTGCCCTGTGATTGACTGGCATCCTGTCCAGGGTGCGCCTAATGAAGTAGGTACCAGGAGACCATGATCATGACTTGGATAAGAGGTCATTGAAAGTGATGTGATGTTACACTACCAAACTATGAGAAACAAAATCATTGGTGAAATCCATTGGAAGAGTTCCTGAAGTATTCAGCTAAAAGCTGGGTGATCACAAAAACTGTCTTAACAGAACAGGCACTGAAAGGTGGAGACTGTAAACAGGGCAGAAAGGGGTGAGAGAGAAATAAGAGACTGAAGACAAGAAGAATGATTAAGATGGTAATAGATAACTAATCATAACAGCAAGTACAGTATGTTAATCTTTAAAGTCCCACTATCATGAAATTATTATCTGCTTTTTCCTGAAACCCTAACCTACACAAAACATTTCAAACAAAAGAAACAAAAACTATGTTTTATTTCTATGCAAAATTCTGCATGGATGAATCTAGGTCATTCTACAGTAAAGATCTTTTAACTTAATGTATTGTTTTCCCCTAAGAAAAACAATCTTGTGGTTGACTTAGCAATTTTCTTATTTGGGTCTTTTCTTGAAATAAGTATTAACTTCATGTATGGTACACAGTAAATTGAAAGCAATGTAAATGCTTGGGAATTGATGTGTGGGACTATTTATTAATTTTTTTTAGGATAAAGTGAAATTTGTCATCGGTTTTATTGAAATTTAATTACAGTACATTTAAGTAATAGTCTGTTTTATTTTTTTCCACAAAATTGGGTAGTTTTTTCAGTACCATTTACTAAATTCTCAATACTGTACATTTCACGTGAATCAGCCTGTTAAATGGTACATTTTGAGCAATATTTCTTTAATCATTTATTATCATTCTTTTAGTGTTTCATAGTAATACTATCATTTTTGCTGAAGGGCAAGTAATTAGTCAGTCAACTCCCTATTTTCACAATTGATTATCGATTTAAAAATATGCTTACAGAATTACCTTAGACCCTTATTTGGTGTATGACTTTATTGGTTACTTTACTTGCTTACGTTATTACTAACTTTACTTATTTTCAATCACAAAAATACCCCTTTGTTCTTTAGGAGAGAATTTTCAGTGTTTTTATATGCGGTGAGTTTCTGTTAAGCAGATCACCTTTTACAGGACTTATCTCTCCATATACAGAACGCTCAGTACAGAAATACATTTAACCACACCAATGAGACAAAGTCACAAGGAGAAGCATGAGCTGGGCATCAATTGCAAAGATTTGATTTAGGTGATTATATATTACTCCCCTGCAGGGATTCAAACTGGGAATTCTCTAGAGGTAGATATGCTACACATCTAATAGCTGGTTATTGGCTAGTGCCATCATAGATAATCCATATCCTGACAGCAGGGGTCACCACTTACAAACAGCATTAGTAGTCTGTCTTTTATTTCCATCGAGATTTTTATTCAGAAGGAATCTGGACAGAATGTACCTTTGAAATCCACTATAAAATAAATGTCCTTCTTAATCGGTGCTATGATTACATACCAGTCTACTTCACACATACTGTACATGGTCATTATAACAAATAGTTAATCATTTTGGCTCATTTTTCCCTATTTCACAGGCTTGGCAGGCCACTTCAGTCCCACAGTGCTATCAATGAGAGCTCCTGTACATCTGTCCTCTCTCCAGAGCTATAGGTCTTCCATTACTGCTGTGATCAGCAGTACAGGAAAAAGGCAAATTGCTTGATAAATGCACACCCTGGAGGACAGATGTTTTAATCTGTTCAATTCTAGTACAGGATAGCAATGAATTACAAATAAAAAAACCAATTGCCAGATCTAAAATCTAAAAGAAGAAAAATGCATTCGTGGTTTTTCTAAAAGATTTCACTTATTCGCTTATTTATTTACTTTCACACCTTGGGTGAATTGAAATGTACTGTAGATACAAAAAGACTCAAAATTGTGTGGAATGGAGAATAAGTATTCAAAAGGATAAAACCTCACAGGCACTAAGGTAGCTAACATATGAAAAAAATACATAAACAAAAATGTTTTTGCCAGATTTTTAAAGCTGTACAAAGCGTGTTTAAACTTCCTAAACAATTAAACAACAGAACCACATGTACGAACATGATGAAACAAGCTCAAATAGGCAAATCAATCTACTGTTTAGATGTCATCAGAATTAGCAGTAAAGCAGAAGCAGAAGAAATAGAAACTGCAGGGATGTCTATTTAAAACTGAGAAGATCCAGCACTTTTTCATTTAATATGACATATGAGAGTCTAGAACAAGCTACAGTACCCAGCCTTTTAGCCAAACCTAATGTCCTGGCTTTTCTCAGGAAACATATGGATGACATCCTCGTATCAATTAGCAGCTAGAAAATTAATAAGCTAGATTAGCCAAATGGCTTTCTGTCGTTTGTAACGTTTCCTAAATTCCTGAGTATGTTTCTCATATTAATGAGGTGCATGTTCTTTTGCAGTTGATCTTAGCCGCTTAGATGGTGACACTTCGTGTCCAAAGATACGAGTCGGACAAGATGACCTTCCAGGTAAAAACGGGTAATATTTTTATCTGTTTTCATTGATAACATGGTTTGTGTGATTAAACAGCACATATGTTAGTTAACTAAAATCATGCAGTGTGTTTCTTAGGTAAAGAAATCAATGGCTCTGCATTCAGTGTAGCTCTCAATTCTGAATTAAAGTGAATTAAAGATTGAAAGTGCTTAAATGGTTTAAGGCTTTAATCCAGCACAGCACTCTATGTTCAGTTTATGTTTTTCTTTGCAACCAAAAGCAAATATCTAAATGTAAATGAAACTCTATAACAGAGGGTTTAAAATTTCTTGGCTAAAGTTCAAGTCTTTTACATTACAGGCAATAATTTCTGAAAGACTTATTCTTAATAGCCCTGACATAGCAATTTTCAACTAAAATTAATTTAGATTTACAATAAACAGATGTTTTTAATTCATTCTAGAAGAGGAGAATATTTTAGCAGCCTGTTAATATTTTTATAGAACTATATAGTTTTAAAGAGAATGTTTATTGATTAAAAGCTATGGCATAGTTATGGAGAATTTAATTTTAAGTCATGTAAGAAGATTACAATAGGAAACGACATGGTTCATGAGGCATCCAAAGTGGAAAAGCATGAAATATGAAGATGACTCAGCAAGTTTGAATTGTGTGCCCTTAAAAAGAATATTTGAGTTGTTTGTCCCATGAACACACTGTTAATTTAGCATATTTTTCCCTTTTCGTGCAGCAGCAGAATGAATCAAATCTGATTCAGTCAAATGCATTTCAGTTAAAGAAAGAAACCAAAAACTCCAATCATAAAAAGTATACTTCAGTATAGTGGGAGGCTTGTTCAACGTAAATGGCTAATTTTTCTATTTTTTTCTTTCAGGTTTAAACAAACAGCTTTAAGGATATGATGCATCATGCATACACATGTTCTTCTGTTTGTTTACACTTCAAACATCTGCTATTTAAATGTTAATTTATATGATCTTGGAATCTTTGTTGTTTTTAAGCTACAGTAATATCTGGACAAGCCAATATTTTTATTATTACAATGAGTATTTCTCAATATACCTAGGTTTGTTTAGGTTTGAGTCAGACTCATTCATTGGAACTGGCTCAGATTTCATATTGAAAGCATTTGTCAATGGGAACGGGATATTAAAGAAGTAACAAGCTACATGATAACAGACGTACCATATATTGGAAAATACCATACGGTACATAAGGTTTTATTTAGAAATAAAGAGATATGCCAAGTCTTTTTTTCTTCTTCTGAAGGTTTTGATCTGATCAGCCAGTTCCAGCTGGATGTCATCCCACTTAAGGGCGTCAAAAAGGTCGAAGGATCCACAGCATTGCAGGTGGCTTACAGACTTGATAAAGAAGCAAATTTCCAAATTCCAACAAGGTACGACAAAGAATCCTGCAGATGTTGTATCATTACAGGGCCTGTGCAGGTGTTACACTACGGATTACGGTAACAGGTAATCAGTAGGGCCAAGTCAAGTTTAAGCTTGTTTCCTATTTTTTGTACATACAGAAAGGATGTAGCTGTTTTTATTTCTGTGAAACATTACTCAACATACAGTTTATTTTACTATATTCCCTAGGTTTTGCTTCCAACAACTGCTTAAAACAAATATTCAGTTAGTTTATTTCTATTTGCTTGAAATTATCATTTCTCTTGTTGTGAATTATAAGTACATCTACTGTAGGTTTTAATGTTTCATACCAACCGAACATGTGATTTCAAAGACAAATATATTTAAAACCTTTGAAAAAATGAAAATGAATTAAATAACAATGGGATAGCCAAAACAGACATTTCTATTTTCTGGACAGAGCCAAGTTTTGGCCAGTGCAGTTCCTTGTTTTACCAGGTTAAATGACATTTAAATAGTTTCTTTAATTTTTTTGTGTAAATGATTCATCCAGTTGTTTGTTTAACTGTGATGTATTTTTTAAGTTCAGCAAGAGGTGTATAAAACATATGCCTTTAAAAACAAAGATTTGGTTTTAAAATTCTTGAAAAACATTCCAGAAGGTATAATAAATATCATTATTAATACACATCTCATTCACAGATCTAAAAAAAAACTCTGATAATGAATTATTAAAATGCACCATCATTTTTTAAGAAAATGCAAACAATATACATTTTTAATGTCTATATAAAAGCGATAAACTGTGTATAATTGTCCATTATAAAGCCTCTGAAACCAAAAAATAAAGAATTTATAATTGTCTCAGGATGTAGGCTCTCCAAACCATATCTGTGTAATTATTTTTAAAATAATTTAATGAATAAAATAGTTTCCCTAGTCAGGTTTACTTAGATTTTTGTACATTACAGGACACTAAAAGCCCTGTTCTTTAAACTTGTGCACACAGGAATTAGTATTAGAATACTCTATACAGTATTCATAGTAAAGTTTCAAAGTTGTCCCTGGGGGCAAATGTTATGACAAAGCAGCTGTTTTTTACAAGGACGTTGGCATGTGATTACAGCATATCACTGTCCTGTAATTGAAAATTCTAGGTCATACTTAAGTTCTTGAAAATACTTCTTTCCATTACATGATTTGTAAATCATATATATATATAATACTATTGCTATTTATGATTAATGAATAAGTGAATATTTTTCAAGAAATATGTCTTCTTAACTTTATTTTACTGTATGTAGCACTCTCTTCATCATCTTACTTTTTATTATACTGTATTACTGTGTAAACAGAAATGTTCAATATCATTAAAGGTGTTAGGAGAAATATTTGAAACAATTATAAGTAGAAGAATTACATTAGGTTTGTTAAGGTGTCCGTATTGCTAAACCTTTGCTTTTATTATATTGCTAACTATTTTGTACACTTTTTCATAGATTGCAGGTGATTTTCCAGACATATTTTACGTTTGAGAAGAGTGCTGTTTCATCTATGCATCTATTTAGATGCATACACCAGAAAACTATGTCAAGACCTGGCTTTCCTAAGTGTCCTCAGAATTTCTCTTTGTATTCATTAAGCCACTGCATTAGATATACCATAAGGGCTAGCCCAGGTTTCAGTTTGAAAGCTGTGCAACCACAGGATACTAAAAAGTTGCCTTCTTTCTCTTTATTGTTCTACAGGAAACTTCGTTTTTTATTATGTTGCCTTGATCCATTTACAAGATGGTAAAAACAGGCGGCAGTATTCATCTATAAATGTACCACCCATAGCGCTTTTTGCTTGTTAACAAGCAGCAAGTGGTACAGGAGAAAAAAAGCATGGCTTTGGTAAACTTTAATTGATGTCTCTTGCTGGATGTGCTGTTGCCAGGCATTATTCTGTATTTATAGCATCATTAAAATATTAACATTGTTTCCATTGTCAAAAAGGATTAACAAATTTTACCTAAGCTAGTATGCTTGACAGAAACTAAAATGCTTTGAACATTCATTTTATTAGTTTGATTAATTACAAGTCAAAACTAATTTTACACTCCCTGAAACAACGGACATATATTTGTTTTTTTTTTTCAAAAGAACCAATTTAAGTATTTTTCCGCCATGTCTGGTTAAGCCCACAATCAGCCCCATGCCTTCTACTGTATTAAAAATAATCAAAACTCCTAGTTAATGGCTGAGATTCAACATTATTAGAAGCTACAGTGAAAAACATTGCCTGAAGTACCAAGTTGCACCCTTTGTATAATTTAGGAGAACACATGTACAGAATCTAAATCTTCTGTGTACTGATGATTATATTTAATTTAAATACATCATTAAAACAAAAAACAAAAATCACAATGAAATGACCCTTGAGATTTCCGAAATAAAATAATATCTAACCCTTTTCCACTTTTAATTTAGCTTGATATTTAGCAGTTTTCATTGAGGCTTATTTTCAAAGGACAACTTTGTGAGATAGTTGTGAGATATTTCAGTACTTACAAAAGCTAAGAAGTGCAATTGATAGTAACAATCTTTTATTAGGTTTGAGAGGCCTGCATTGCAGAATTTGTTTGTTTTACATATTGGAATTATTGTTAGTTTAGTGAGGTTTGTTAGGGGAGTCGTGTCAGTGTGCGTTGACTACAAATTAATGAGTAAAGCTTAATTTGACATCGAAAAGTACAAAAAAACATCTGCAGAAGACTCAAAAGCCCAAATTTTATGTTTCTTCTTCCTACTTTTCTGGGTGGAAATATTAATGAACTTGCTCCTTACTGGTTTTGTGTCAGACGGTGCTGTTTAATTAATGCAAACACAAGAAATGTAATCCTGAAAGTTCTAAATAAAGTTTGCATAAATTCTTTAAAATATTGTGACAGAATATGATTTATATGTAACTTTGTGGCAGTACTGGGGCACAAAAAGGCAAAATTAATGATTCTGGTATCCTTTACTTTGCAGGGTAATCTTCCCATATGGTTTGCCAGAGGAGTATTCTTTTGTGACAACATTCCGCATGGTCAAAAACACTGTCAATAAAGTATGGAACGTGTGGCAAATTGTGGACGATGATGGCTACAAGCAGGTGGGCCTGAGACTCAATGGTGACCAGCAGGCCCTAGAGTTTTTCCTCATTGGCATAGACAGCAATTTGCAGGTGGTCATCTTTCCAGGACTGTCCCAACTTTTCAATAATAAGTGGCACAAAGTGATGGTGGGTGTGGAGCACGACCAAGTTACACTTTATCTAGACTGTGAGCCTGTTGGATCCAAGCCTATCAAAACCAAGGGAGAAGTCAATGTACAAGGGGAAACTCTCATCGGAAGGCTTGACGCTGATTCCAGTACGTCAGTTGTGGTAAGAGCTTTCTTGGGATAACTTTGGTTTACCCTTTGAAACGAATGTAAATATATTTACAACTATTGTTAATTAGGCAAGTAAAAATCATTAGTATTTTGTACCTAGCAAAAAAAAACTGAGAGTGTAAACTTGTGTTGTTTTCTTTTCTTCAAGTTTGAGCTGCAGTGGATGCTCATACACTGCGACCCCCAAAGAGCCCAGAGAGAATCCTGCTCAGAGTTGCCCGTACAAGAGGTAATAAAAATAACATTATAAAAACATCACAGTTTTTAAGGTACAGAGGATTTATATAAATTATAGTATGATGGGCTCAGTCTTCAAGCATGGCACTAAAACGGTGCTTTAAAAAATAGAAACAGAATTCTATTTAGGTTTTTCTGTGAGGCACATTAAATATTCAAACCTCTAAAAGATAGTAATGCAGAAATAGGGCTGTATTATTAGTATAGAGCTGGTGTACTATACAGTAAATGCATTATATGATTGGTTTAATGATCAGTCTGCAATGTGAAATTAATTCTGCATACAGGACTTCTAAAAATTCTTCTTGCACACAATACACAAAATATATTACATTTTCATTTGCTTAAATCAAGTACAATAAACCTGGGTATATATGGTTAGTAAGACATCATGGTGAAATCACTTCTTGTAGAGACAAACCATGAATGTTAAAATGTATCACAGGGTTTCTTATAAGACTTATATCGGGGTCTAACCCTTTACAATTACAACAGTTTGTCAGTTTGTGTCCCTTTTATCCCAAAGCATTATTTATTTCTCTATTATATGGAAAATATTTAGTTTTAAAAATGGTATTGGTTACTTGGAAAGCTGAACCAGGGAATACATGACAAACCATACTGGAATGTTTTTTCTCTTGTACGTTTTTTTATATTTGAAGCTAATATAATAAAATACTTTTTAAATTGGATTGTTTTGAATCTACATTGTAGAAAGACCCATATCACAGTATTGGTACAGTATATTTAAAGATGGGAATTTCTTGTACTGCTGGCATGCACTTTTCTGCTTGCATTGTGTCTGAAGACCTGCTTCAAGATAAGAGCTTAGAACATTTAATGGATTGTAAGTTTGAAAGCTCTGCTCAAGAAAGAAACTCCTTGCTGCCTTTTTTTTTGGGGAAGGATACCAACTTCTTCTGCTGAATCACTTACTTGGTTAAGGGGTTACTTTGTTTTTACTAACATTACTTTTTGTTGTTTCTCTCCTACTTCTTCAGAGAGTCATTCCCAATTCTGAGGTATTTATTTTCCACCTTTTACTACTGTATCTTTTTTCTGTATCAATGACAAAATTTTTTTCATGCTTCATTCTGTCTGAATACCTGTTGTTTTTTACGGCCAAATGCCATTTTCTACACTGAAGTGTCTTGAATTTTTACTTAACTGAAATTGGCTCCATAAGAGAGTTCGCAGTTCCAGGTATAGAGCAAGTTGGTACAATTCTTTTACCTTTTTTTTGTCTTTTTTTAGTCTTTTACCTTTCTGTATTTTGTACTAGTACCTGAGTTACTGACATATTTTGGCCCATTTGATTGAAGTCAGCATAAAGATGATCACACCAACGGGTTTTTGTTCCATGAGCTAACTAAATAAATTAAAAAAAAAAAAATAATCCATTCTTTTAATCGTGATTATATGTACAGTAATTATGCAAATTACAAGTTTACATCTGAGGACTAAAAAAAATTCCAAATTAAACTTGGTGGCAGACTTGTTAAAAAGATTAATTGAAAACAAAATTATATTCAGCCATTTATCATTCTGCAATGCTGACAGGACATATGAATGCCTGAGCTCTTTTGGCACGTATTCAATATTATAGTTTTTAAAACACAGCTTCAAGCACCACTCCAGACATTTTATATATTCTGTGTTCTGTTGAAGGTATTTTAATTGAAAGGGCTCTGGAGAGCAACAACAGAAATAGACATCACTTATAAAAAAGCGACACTGAGATTACAGATTTAAACTATAAATTGTTTCAGACATTTACTAGTTGAGTTTTTTAGCCTGTTCCTGGAAGATCATGCTGTGCACTAGCTTTCAGATCAAAGAAATATTTTCAACCTCATCTTGCAAAGATGTAATCTGCAGAGACAAATAAGAAAATGCACCGATATTTGCAATCCATCTTCCATTATCTAAATAGAGTCCAACTGGTTGGATAAACATAATATACTGTATGTAGAGCTATTAAGTACACTACCACACAAACAAATAGAAAAAAAATATGTAGAAAATGTGAGAATTGTAATATCTTAGTTTTGGGGTTGCATATACTGTGTTTTAAAAGGGAGTAACAAAATTAGAGTATTTTGTTTTACAGGTAACAAATATGGAATTCAATCAAAATCCAATTTTAATATTGTATCAATGTTTATTAACAGAATAACATAAGATTCATAGACTATTAGAAAGTGTCAGTGTCTCGCTGACTAGGTAATAATTAATAGTCCCGTAATAGTCTTACTATTGGATCTCAAGTGAAACTCATTATATGTTTAATGATTTCATTAAGCTTTCTTATCTACTCTTACCTGTATGTGCATTTATATTTTACCAAACTCCTAAATTTTTTTTTCTGTTTTTTTTTCTTCATTTTTCTATTCGTATTAGCCTGACAATAGAGGCCCAAGACCTGTTCCTGGAGCCCCAGGTCCCCAGGGGCCAGTCGGCCCCCAGGGGCCCCAGGGAGAAAGTGGCAGAGATGGCCGTGATGTAAGTGGAAAAGAACCTTGGAAGCTTTAGCCTTTCTGACCTAAGCACTCCTTTCTTAGTGAAAATACAGGCATATTATCGACAGGCGTCATGATTGTGCAGCTGTCAGCATTGCTGCCTCACAGAGCTTGGGCCCTTGGTTCAATTCGTGGGACGCGATCTGAAAGATTGTTTGTTTTCCTTGTGTTTGTGTCAGTTTCCTCCCACAGTCCAAAGACATGCTGGTTGGTAAATTGGCTTATATACAATTGGCCCTAGTGTAAGAGTGTGCATGTTTGTGTCTGTGTGAACCCTGCAATGGACCAACATCCTGCCCAGGTTGTATCCTACCTTGTGCCTGTTGCTTGCTGGGATAGACTCTGGCTTCCCCCACAACCCTGTGCTGAAAAAAGTGCTTAGAAAATGGAATGATGGATGGATGGGGATTAATGACATAAATTACAAGTGAAACATTTTTCAAAGTCCACATATCTTGAGAATATTTATTTCATTATATATCTTTAATACAGTAGGCAAGAAAACATTTTTCTTTAACTTTTTGTAGATGTAAAAAAATGTTTGCTGTGCAACACCAAACAGAGTGCTCTAACAGTGAAACATAAATACTATGGAAGACATTGTATTTGCAACAAGAGCAAATAAGGTATGAAGTTACAGTACAGTTACAAATAAGTTTAAATAACAGTCAAGTAACAAAAACAAACAGATCACCGCCTTAATACATGTAACCTGAAGAAGGTTGCATCTTGTAGCACTAATATCAACAGTTTGAAGTCACAAGATCTGCATTCAGTGTGGAACAGTTGAGGTTCGCAAAGGAAGGTTTGTCGGTGATTGTGCCATCCTGATTTTTAAAGTTAGCTGGGTCAAACAGGACAAAGGAAGAAAATGAATAGGCATGGGAAGGAGAATGTGAGGAAAAAAACCCAACAAGGGGTGCTTTCAAAAGAGAAAGGATAAGAAAAGATATTGGAAATAGAAGTAGATGACCTGATCGAAATATATGTTGGCAATGACAAAACAACTAAATTGGAATTAAGATAGAGACAGTTACCCAGAGAAGAAACCAAAGCACATGGGTTGTATAATACATTGAGATAGACCCGATACTAGGAGACCAGCAAGGACAATGAGAATTGAGGTCTAGAACATGAAGCAGATGGCGTAAGCTATTAACAAAAGAAAGACCCTATGAGCGTAATTTGGAAAGAAACAATTGAAAGGTGCTGTGGAAAAGATGTGCTACAGAAAGATAACATAAAAAACACCTTCAGGTAAAGAGGATTGAAGAAGAGAGGACAGAGAGACATGAGCCTGTCAAAGTCAAACAGAATAATTCAACAGGGGAAAGTGCAAGTGGAATAAAAGAAAATAGAGAGGCTGCAGATCAACGGAGGTCTTTAAAGGGACAGGAATGATAAAGATACTGTAGATAAGCTAGATGACAATAAGGGAGAAAGGTGAGATGAAAGCAATCATTGATCATACAGTATTTGTAAGAGGTGAGGAGAACAGTTTTAAGCAAAAAGAAGAAAGCACAGGAAGACGGTAGGTAAGATTTGCAATATTTCCCAACAGGAGCAATAAATATTTCTTCCCATAACTCACTGCAAATTGATTTTTATTTTTGTTGAAGGATTAGGGTTAGGTTTTTTATCAAAGAAATGTTTTGTCTCTTTCCCTTATACTTTGGCAGTTTTAAGTTCCAACTGTCACATTTTCATTTGCAGGGTATTCCGGGCCTCCCTGGATCTCCAGGAATTCCTGTAAGAATGAAACTTTCTAAATATTTATGTTGTGTGGAGTCTATTTATATAAATTGAGAAGGAAAGTCAGGTCCTAATCTCACCTGTGTCTGCTCTGTTATGTACATATATAAACTGTATACATTATATGTTCCTGAATTTCCCTATGTGCATCTTTTTGACATCGCTCCTGTCACCCTATTTACACCCTAGCAGCAGCTCTCTAGCTCATTCCTTCTGAAAGTGAAAGCGGTTCTGTCAACCTCATCAGTAGTCTGCTGTGCCCTCAGCTAATCAAGTTATGTCAAACAAACCTCCAATACATTTTTTCTTAGTATCACAGGATACGAGGGAACTACTGAAATGTACAATACAGTACATATATGGACATCAAAAGAAATCTATTACTATAATTGTAAAATCACAAAGATATTATCAGGAATATGCAGAAATGTTTTTTTGTAGTAGGTACAGTACATTGGTATTTTATTGAACAGATATGACATATAGTCTTATATTCTTCATCCTGGTCCTGTTCCTTTTGTATACAGTATGTGCACAGAAATGTTCCTGTTCACTGATCTCTGTGCCATAGATACCATATGTCATTCCAGCTTTTCCTACTAATGTTCAACGGAACCCAAGTGTAATTGGTATCATCTCCACAGCATAGCTTTTATATTCTCATCTAGCAACACTGCTGCCCAAACAGTCACACTTGGACTTCCTCATTGATTGGAATTTGCACATAACAAATCCATCCAAGTGTATCACAACGAGTCACAAATATTTAATTAATCAAAATGATAACAGAACATTTAACTATTTAATACCAAAATCTGTATGTTTTATTTACCCATGAACTTACAATACATACAGAAATTGAGTTTTTCTGATGCTCATTATACAAAGAATAAGTGTAATTCCGAGATTCTGTTTGATCATAATAAATACAGAGTTACTGGTTGATGATCGATTCAGACATAATAGAATAGCAGCAGAATATACCACTTAAGTGTTATCATCTTAATTTTCCTACTTTTGTTTTTAATCAATGAAATACTAATCTACATGACTTTACTTACTGTGAACAAAGAATCAGTGAAGAAAATGTATTACATCTTATCAAAGCCATATGAAACATGATATTACTTGATTTCTCAAATGTGGTTTAATCAAACTGTGACTACAGAAAAAAGCAACTTATTTAAGCAATGTTCAGTCATGTTTATTTTTAGGATTACATGGGGTCAGGTAGCAGCTTCTCTTGTGTCTATTTTCCTTACAAAGTAAGTTACGGAAAGGCACAGAAAATAACGTTTTCAATTCATAAAAAGTTTAGAGTTGCTTGAGTGTCTTAACATCATTGCTTGTTGATTTATAATAGTGAGAAACTTTTTCATAAAGTATGTTTGGTTTAGGGAACAAAAGGAGAACAGGGGGAAATCGGTCTCCCTGGACAGAGAGGATTGCCAGGCCTCCCAGGAGCTGTTGTAAGTTTAATTTCCTCTGCTTGCCAACTTTAGATTGGAACATTCTTCCAAGTAGTCAAACACTACAGAACTACATCAGAATGCACTACAAAGCCGCAAGACGTTTCTTTGTGTGTTGTAATAATTTAATAATGACTGAATATCCATAGATACTGTATATTTCTTCAGGGCATTGGGAGGGCATTAAGAATTTATGGAACTTCGCTCCAGCTTTTTCAATTTGATTTTTTTTTCTTTTGAATGTGTGCATTAAAATAATATCTTCTTGATTTATTCAGGGGCCACAAGGGCCATTGGGGCCTAGAGGATCTGTTGGTGAAAGGGTAGGTGGATTTAATCTTTATTTCATGTTTTTTCTCAGTTAATACTAGGACAGTCTACATTCTTCTGCCAAAGTATTTCATTTTCTAATCTGGCCATACAGCTTAACTTTTGTTAATGTATTTGTACAAAACAGAGTGACAACAAATTTACTCAACATTTTACTTGATTACAATAAAATGGATAAACATAATTACTAATGGGAAATATGTTCATTTACAGTTGACAGAAGCAATATGTCTTACATTAAATCTTTAACTAGGGGTAATATTTGACTACACTTCATGTACCGACAATTACCAGAAAAGGAGAACTTCAGTTTAACACTTGGGGTTGTTTTTCTCACCAACCAAGTGTTCAAATAGGACTGATTGTAAAAGCACACAGGAGTGTACAGGTATGTAAATCACATTACAACTGGCCTGTAATACATTGCAATTGAATGTAATGCTGGTTTTCTGTGTAGAATATGCACAATAAAAGGTACTGTAGGCCATGAGCTGATACTTATGCAAGACAGGAGAGAACTGTTAAATGTGAAGCCTTACCCATGAAAAAGAGGTCGTAAAAGTTTGCCTTGCCATTGTAGTCTTTAAGTATTGATATGCAACAAAACTGAATGTTTGCTGGAATAAGACTGCCCCTGCGCAATATAGAGCATCTACTGTATATGTTCAGTGGTTCCTCATTCAGATTCTATTTCACTTTGTTTTCCTGTACTCCTCAAGTATACAAAAGACCAGTAATAAAATTCTGTTTGCAAAACTATTCAAAGCATAATTGTAAATTATACTATGCTGTAAAACATTTTAATGTCTTCCCCAGTGTACCAGTGAAATTCTTAGAAGTGCAGTTTCTGTCAATAAATATTAAAGTTCCATATTTCATATACAGTAGTTGCTTTGTCAGCTACAGTAGGTGCAAAATCTCAGCTACAGGAAGCCATCTAATATTAGAAACATGTAAAAAGGCATTTTGAAAATTGTACTATTTCTCTTTGAATTGTCCATAGGGACTTCCTGGCTTTCCTGGTCCACCTGGCCCCCCTGTAAGTTTCAGTCTTCTAGAGTTAATTTATAATGCTATTATTTATTCAACTGTGCTGCCATACTAAGTATAGTTTGCTGGACAAAATCAACAAGGTGGTTATGGTTTATTTTTGCTTGTAAAATATCTCGCATTGCAATCACTGGAGTTTGGATTTTACTAATGCTATATAATCTTAAACAGTGTTTATTTTCTCTCATTGTTAAAGTGAAATTAAATATTCTTTTATTAAGAATATCAGATTATTATAAGAAAGCCAGGATCCACTATGATGATTTTAACTGACATAAATTAAAATACAGTCAGGATGATGATGACTGCATGTGATTAATACAAATATAAAATGAAATCAAGTGCTGAGATTTGATTTACATAGTAATAACATTCTATTTTATGTTTTAATTTTTTTTCCTAGGGACCCGAGTCAGTTGGAACTCCAGTAAGTACAGATGGCCTTTTTATCACTTTCCCTAAAGATAGCTTTTATTACTTCTCTTTGCAAAGGTAAACATTTTCATCAATCAATAGGCTTTCATTTGGGTATAAATTGCTTCTTCATTTTCAGAAGGTCATTGATTAGATTCCTTTTGAGTGCTGCAATCTAACTATTGGGGAATGCACTCACGTCAATCAACATGCAAACTGAATGTGGTGTATATAAATTGAGGTACTGATTCACTCATAAGGTGATCCTTAATTTATTTTATTGTTTCCAATTGTAAATTATGACCCTGACTACAAAGAGATTCAGATGAGGCAACAGAGAATATAATACATGAACAGAACTTGCCTGTATTCATGTATATGGTTATCAATTTTTAAAATAAAAATCCCTTGTTTTACCATTTGTTAGAAAAGTCTATCAAACTACTGGGGTATAAACTGGCCTAAACTCCATGCCATACTTATACAGTATAACTTTATATCCACCGAGTTCTTGAAGTAGAAGTATCAAACTCAAACACCCTGCCTGGAGGCCTTTTGCTCCAGCCATTACCCTCTTCTATTTAATTAGTCTAATTAATTGGATGAACTACTATTACTTCCAACCTGGCTTGAAAATATTGAAAATATTCTGATACCATGGAATCTACTTAGCTGTTAAATTTACTTTAGAAAATGCAGCCTGATAAATAAAACAAATTAATTACCTGCCTAGAAAGGAGTTATGTGATACTCTTGCCTAAGTGTATTTCAAATTGTGTGTGAGAATTGATCATTTTTTCAATACCTGTACTGTATGTTTTTCTGTGGATTGTTCTTATATGTTTTCTCATATGGGAATCTATCATGTCAGTGACAACTGTATATTGTATATCATACTGTTTATCCTATATTATCTTATATCAGATCTGTACACCTATATGGTCCTCAAATGGGCTTGTGCTTTACCATTATAGTTCCCTGATAAGCATCTTTATGTAGTGTGATTTGAGAACTTTTATTTTCCTCTGGAATATGTTCTTAACCTTCAGGATGATGGAATAACTGATTTTTAGGCAGGACACATGCAGTATAAGAGCATTGCCTGAGAGTATACAATAGGCTAACAGGACAGGAAAGGTTAAATTAAATTTAAATAATGTATTTCTAATACATACTGTATGTACATATCTGATTGGATTTTTTTTTTTAATGGACCATGGACAGTCGTGGACAGTCAGGTCCTCAGTTTTATTTCTTATCCAAATTACGGTACCTTTTTATAGCTTAGTATCCCTATCACTGTATATCACTGTACTGGGACATTAGGACTCACACAGACTGGAGGGTGAGGGCTCCCTACTGGTCCCACTAACACCTCTTCCAGTAGCAACCTTAGCTTTTCTAGGCGGTCTCCCATCCAGACACTGGCCAGGCTCACATCTGTTGAGTTTCAGTGGGTAACCGTTTATGAGTTGCAGGGTGATCACTTGGTTTGCAACAGTTAGTGGGCTGCCTGTTATTTATCTGCTCAGTTTTATGATTTTCTCCATTTCAGATCAGAAATTAAATTAGTTACACATGTTACACCTAGCTTACCTTTAGAAGTCTTCACTTTGAGCATTCAAATTTAGAAAAAAAATAAGTATGCATCACTTTGTAATTTCACAAATTGGAACAACATGGAAAAGTTCTGAATACTTCAAGAAGGCACTGCATACATCAATGGCTTCTGAAAAATCTCTTGTTTCCATTATTATCCCTAGTGTAACTACAGTAGCAGCTATATGGCGCTAATCTAGTTTCAGTCCTGCAGAGAATCAAGTCTCCAATAACCATGAGTTAATTGTAGGTGTGCAAAAGGCTTTTCAATCTGAACAACTACAAATAAAAGGCAATTTTGGCCATGTAGCAATGGTAAATGAGCCCCAAGCTGAAATTCTTTTATGAAAGGTTTTAAAGCTACCAAACGAGTAAATTGACTACATTTGTCACCAAGTTGTTGTTTATTTTTCTATGTCTATGTATTCTTTTCAGGGGCCTCCAGGAGAACCTGGTGAGCCAGGTGACCCCGGAAATATAGGACCTGAGGTGAGGACCTGTCCTTCCTTTATCTCTGGTTATCCATGCCTTTGAAGATATATATAGTGGATAAATCTTTATTTTTTAAGATTGCAACCAATAGAATTAGCAAAAAAGCACATTTTTTTGCCTTTTTAAAAACGGAAAAATTAAGATGGTTAAAATCAACCAAAATGTAGAGCTGATTAACTATTGCAAAATACATTGAACCTATAAAATACAAGGAAGAAAACTAAACTAAATGATGCACTTCCTACTCCCACTATTTGATTAAGTTATAGGTTAATAAAATTCAAGGAGAAAACACATAAGGCAAGGATACTTCACATGATTTTTGTCCTTGGAGGGTAACTGTCAACTTGTGCCTGACAGGGTCCAGTCGGTCCAAGAGGCAACCCTGGACTTCCTGGTCCTCCTGGTCCACCTGGCCCACCAGGACCAGAGGTAAGTACATTTCATGTTGAAGCTTTGCAGAAACATTGCAGAAATCAATAGTATAGGAAAATAATATCTTTATTCAGTCTAGTTATAAATTGGGATTATTACAGCATTGATGAGTTCCATGTGGCACTGATACAACTTTATGTAGAACTTATACTAAGGATCTGAATAAAACAACATATTTGCTTATATCTACAGTACGTACTGTAGGTGAAATCTGGCACAATGTCTAAGCAGTGAAGTTATTTCTTTAACATCACAGATTTCAAACTGGAAAAGCCAATTTGGGATTCAATACTGTGATTTTCCTAACATTATTTTTTTCCAATTGTGCAGTAAATGCGGTTGAATTATTAATGATGTTCTCAATGGTTGTAACATAGAAACACCAAGCTGACATCTTCCCAGGCAATCGAAAGTACAGGAGTACATTGCCCTGATGAAACATAAAATAAAATAATTCGAATAAAAGAAGTGGTATCATTCAACTTCAACCATGTTGGTAGAGGAGTTCCCTCAAAGATCTGGAGATCTGGTAAACTCTTCAGCCTCCTGTGCCAATGTGAGCACATGCTGTTCATGAAAATGGAGGACCTTAAGCTTTTGGGGTTAAAGGGTGGTACAGCATGGATGGACTGCACCCCTGCCTCCCTCAGTGTTCTCTTTACTCTCTGCTAGGCCATAAACTTACTATATTCTTGATAGAAGACCAAGATGGCTCCCTCTTTTAAACACATTTTGAAATTATCTTTAAAAATGACCTGACTGTCCAGACACTTGGGGTTATATGAGTGCTCCATAGGAGTGGTCTCCATATATCCTGTAAACTCTCACTCTAAAAGCCTAAAGTCTTACAATAGCAAATTCAGAGAAAGCTTTATCATCAGATCAGATCTTCTTAATCAGTTCCCTCTGGTAAACTTGTTATCATCGTGTTATCATGCTCCTACAACAACCATCTGATCTAGAGTTTCCTTCTGTAAGTGTACAGAAGATATTTTGTGCTTTTTGGTTTACTGTGAAAAAGGTTTATTTTACAGACTACAGTATATGTTGAAACTAAATCTGAGCATTTCAGGCAGACAAAAGAAGGAATGGGTACTCTATCTTTGGTCTGCCATGACAGTAACCTGGTCTCAAGACCTCTCTTGATATTGATGGTTATTTCTACCTTCAGGGGCCACCTGGTGTATCCACAGGAGAGGGGAGCGGAGATTTTGTAAGTCAGTGTTAAAGAGTTACAGTAGGCTTCTTTTATTCAGTGTTTATCAAAGAATGCTTTTAAATAGAATGTAATTATTCATTTAAAAAAAAACTAAGTCCCATTTTCTAGGTTTCTATATTACCAAAACAGGAAAAAAACACAACAAATATGATATGATATGCATATATAATATATGCAGATGATCAATATTCAGCTCTTTGACAACAATCCAATTACTTTAAAAATAGATTTGAACATTGCTGTCAAGGAATTACAGTTTAGCTCGGTATGAAAGATACAGTAGCATTAGAAAGATAAGATTAATAGAGTGACTTACTTATTGTTCATTATGCATCATAAAAATATAGATTTGTGTTCACTGAAATGACTATTATCATTGTTTGTAGTGTCAACCATCATGTCCTGCAGGACCTCAAGGAAATCCAGGACCACCGGGCCTTAAGGTAATTAAAACACATATGCATTTATACAGTAATACAAAGAATTTACACTTTCTGTTTAAGAGTTCTGCCATATGTTACAATGTCTACAAAATTGTTTCTCCCATGATTATGGAGAAATTGTGCATCATTTAACTTTGGAATGGAGAGATCTCTTTGCGAATGGTGACAAACTGAAATCATTTTGCACAAGGTAGCCTTGGCCCCAGAATTGAAACGTGGGAATTAACCACTGTTGATGGTAAATTAATGGAATTTGGAATTTGGAATTCATTCAATCCAGTGAATATGGAAAATACAGTAATCGTCTATAAAACGTGTTGCAGTAATCTGAAATAATTACTGCATTTTCTATTAAGATATCTTTTGTTGATGTATTCAATACCTTTTGATTTCCAGGGTCACAAAGGCATCCAGGGTGAAAGAGGAGAGCCAGGAAAACCAGGACAAAAGGTAAAGTCTTCTGAGTGAAGGTCCCCTATTATCTAAATAAATTAACAAAATCACATAACAATTAAATTTTTGTAGACTTCTGATATTGCATAACCATTGTATATTGGTATAGAACTATGTATGACAAATACATTTGTCACATTTTAAAAAAAGCTCATGCCTTTTTTCAGCTTTCTTTTTATTTATATTCTTCCTGTCAATTATGGTGTTTCCTTTTGTTTCTGAGTTGACTGTGAAATTTTGTAATCACTGTATGTCAGTGCCACACTGGATAAGGTCATCTGTTAAGCAAATAATAAGAAGAACAAATAATATTACATATGAGGGAAGACTGTTCTTCAGTGTGGTTTGTTTGGTTGATTGTAGCTTATTGATCTAAGAATGCCTTCAAGACATTTTCTGAACAAACTGATTGACTTGGCTTTATATAACATATAATATGACAGGTTGAGTCATGCATTTAAAACAAATGTCTGTTGTTCTGATTCTTGATTTAAATTTCAATATGTTAGTTTGAGTCAGAACACGGAGACTACATTTTTTTTCTTTGTGTGCTCCATAAAGGGAGAGCCAGGGGCGTCTGGTACACAGGGCATTCCTGGTATCCCTGGAAGTCAGGTAAGCTTATTATTAGCTGGAATACTATAAATTAAGCTCCTCTTCAACTCAGAAATTTTACTTCTTCCTGGTATTGAAATTATCAGGATTTGACATACAGCACCATGAGATACTCTCCATGTGGTGTGTGAATGGTCTGTAGTGGGTGTTGTGTCACCATGCAGCTTTTCATCTCAGTATGTAATGTTATACTGAAAATATTGAATAATAATATTTTCCTGCATTAAAAAAAATGTCTACACTTTATTTTGCGTGCAAAGGAACAGGCAAAGTTATTCTACGCTGAAACTTTTCTGCTTGGAGCTTTCTTCAGGTCTGAATCAGCAAATGTGTCAATACTGACAATGGCAGCAGTAAAACCCAGGTCTATTGGCCAGATCAGACCAACAATCTCCTGTTTTTTAATGCCACTTAACATTATTGATATTATGAAACCCCATCAAAAATATCTTTGTATCTCCCTTGAGCACAATTACAGTATGTTAATACATGAAACTATTTGCTAATCGCAAGTCAACAATTGTAAATTATCAATTGTATGCTCTCCACTGCACAGTTCATTGTTGTGTAATCTTCATTTAAATTTCCCATTCTCCTTCTTTAAAGAAAGGTTACTTTTTCCATTTCCCTGCAATATTTTAATCTGTTTTATGTATCCAGGTGAAATTGGCATTCATGTCTTTTTGCTCTCTTGAAACAGAATAATTTTATAATTTTCATCTAATTACTGCATTTATCTTAAAGCCTCCCTAAGGTATTACTATGAAGCGGTAATTCAGCAATGAATAACAAAGTACTCTGAAGGGTTTTAATGACAATCAGTGTGAACAACAGAGTTCTTGCCTAAAAACTAAATCAAGAAAAGAAAAGCCTAAGGCCAACATGCTGATGATCATTGTCTTTAATACAATTTTTATCACGATAAAGGTATAATTACAAAATTAGAAGGAGTGGTTAAATAAAATTTACCCAAGCAGTAGGTGACAATTTGAGTCCTTTATATTCTTTGCCACAAGCTTGTAACAATATACATAAAGTGAAATATATTGCCTTAGCTTAGCTCTTAGCTCACTCTTAGCTCACATATTTACTTCCTACGTCTGTGCACCTAAATTTAAAGTACCATAAATATCACTTTTTCAAATCACAGTACTTTTAAAAGGCACATCTACTTAGTAAGAAAAGCCCAAATGTGAGCCAAGTCCATTACACGATCACGCCCATGCCTGATGATTATGTAGTGGATCCCTCGATAGAAAGTTATTTTATTAAAATATCTCTGATGTCTGTGAGGGCAATGACTGGTGTATTTAAAGAACAATGGTACAGTATCTGTTTTTTTTTTCTTGTTTTTTTAACAGGGAGCAAGAGGAATGAAAGGATTTCCTGGCAACCCTGGAGACAAAGGTGATAAGGTGAGCAGAAAAATAACAGCCATGCTGGTTTAAAAAAATGAGTGCCGCTTGTTTATGTTCTGACTGACTTTGAGAAAAAGACAGTCAACCTGGTGAATATTTCAACAGTGCATGTTTCCTATCTTCAGTGTATCAGGTCTGAGAATACTAATAAGTTGGTTGAGTGTTATTTGGTGATTCCAGATTCAACAAATGAAAAAATGAATGAATGAATGAATGAATGAATGAATGAAATGAATTAACAACTACTGACTCTCAATTAAAAATAAAAATTAATGAATGGCTGAGATTGTTTCATTTGTTCCCAGGTAACCTACAGTATAGCAGTTGCCAAAGAGCAATTACTGTAGTTGTAGAAGTGTATTTATTGCTCTTTTGTTTTATAATTACAGTATACTCTATTCTATCTATTGTTCCACAATTTTAGAGTTAATTTTTTGTCACACAAAATCACTTTTACGTTAAAGTGGGTAGCTGCATTTGATGCATAAGCTGCAAGGAATCATAGAAAGCTTTATTCCGTGCTGAAAAGAGAACACCTGTCAACAGTAAACACCTGAAGAAGGCTCCACAGCCAAAAGTTGTGTTTCTTTTCTTCGCTTTTTAGCATGGAATAAACCTTTACTTGTTTTCAACACTTTTACCTTGCCTTTTGCATATTCCTTTTCCTACTTAAAAAAACAATAACATTGTGTTAATTATGAAACAGTCGTATTAGTCCTTCAAGAAAAACTTTAAGATATTGATCATTATTCCCAGAGCTACTTTAACTTGCATTTTGTTCAGTTTACCAATTGAAATACAAAAGCTGGGCATTTATTTTCTTAATGGAGAAAATCATGTTAAAGGATGTCCTAATTATGTTCATTATGTGAATAATTTCCATTACATTATATAAATAATCAATACTACTATGATATTTTACTAATCATATTTAATAATGCTTAAACACATTCCATACTAAGAGGACAAAGACTAGGTTTTGCTAAATTGAGATCTAATGAATACAGAGTGACTAATATTTGCAATGTAAATGTAGGTAGTTAATTGTAAACACCAAAAATCAATATGAAAGTGCTCTGCCAAATAACTTCAATAATTTATGTATGGCTTTCTTGAAGCACATTTAAACAAGTCTTGCCCATAATAGTAATGTAATTGTAATTATGTAATTAATCAATAGTAATTATGTATAATACCATATATGGTGACAAGAACTTTCACTATCTTCATGAACGAAGCTGAATTTACCATTAATGGGATATGTATCATGATAATAAACTTTAATTTATATACAGTACGTAGCATCAGAAAGAGCCAACACATACTGTAAGTTCTTAATTAAAGAAGATTAATATTATTTCTTTTACTGTTATTATGTTCATTTTACTTCATGTATTTAGATGCTTCCTTTTATGTTCCCATATAAACATTTATTTATTATTTATTTAACATAAGAGAGTAATTGTGTCTTGTCGTATAGGGTCCTCCTGGGTTCAATGGGATCCCAGGACCTACTGGATCACCAGGCCCAGTGGTAAGTCAATCTAACTTAGAAGAGATACATTTTAAGACCCTCAGGATCAGGGCACTGCAAAGCATTTCAGTGAATCATTTAAAAACCTTTACATTAAGGTACTGTAACTATGGCTTTAATGTTTTAAAATTAATCATTTTATTCAATTGTTTTGTTCTCTTACCTTAGGTACTTATTTTGTTGGAAACCATCGGGGATTTTATACAAATGGCTTATGCATAAATATAAAGCTTTAACTAGTGTATGGCTTATTGTTAAATGTCATCTGTAGGGGCAAGAAGGTAAGAGAGGGCCCCAGGGTGTGGAAGGTCCCAAAGGAGATGAAGTAAGTAGATCACCCACCTTCACTTTTATGCAGTTCTTCTATTCTGCTGAACTAAACATACTATAGGTACTCTACAGTAGTGATGTATTTTTTTATGTCCTGAAATAATGAGAAATTGGAACAGTGCTTTGAAGGCTGCTAGGAATCAATCAAATACTGTACAATAACAAGCAGTGTCATACATGGGTGTTAAATGTACAATATACCATTTATTGATGCTGTACCTATCCATGCATAGAAAACCGACAAATGTATTTGTGAATCAATCTGTTGATCATTCACTCATCACATATTTTACTAAGACAAGAATGAATAACATTAGAGTTCAAATATATTGCCTATAATATTAGTTACTGTCTACCATATAGATTACTGTATATATGTTTTACTGAATAGGCTCTCATATTCACAATATCGACAAAAAAGTTTAACTGCACTTTAAGTAATAATAATTAGTATAATATTACGTCAAGTCATTTCGTTGATGATGTGAAAATGAAACACAAGATATTTTTGGTTCCAGAAAGAATCTTTGGGCAGAATTGACGGACTCATTTTCATCCATCCTAGAGTCTTAAAGAAACTTAAAGTCTGACATGAATGCGGCAGTCATCACAGAAGAGAGTAGTAGTCTTGGGTAGAAGAGAATACCAAACAGAGGGGAGCTATGCTGCACAAATTATTTTTAGGGAGTTGAGAATAGACACTGTATATCCTTGACTATGTTACAAACATGGGGTATGCTCTTTATCACAAAGGCCCATTTTGGTTGCATTACTAGTGTTTTAGACAGAAGCACCAGCTAATTTGTTAAAGCTAAAGAAAGATTATTAGAGATATGTAATACTACTTTATTCTTAGTGTACTAATATGCCTTATGTGCCAATGTTTGTTCCAAGGGTCCAAGAGGTCCACAGGGAGAGGATGGTACAAAAGGCCAGAAAGGGGAAACTGTACGTATTGTTTACTAATGTTTAGTAATTGAATATCAATAAATCCCCCTTTTTCACTGTTAAATTTGTATGAAGGTTAGCTTTTTGTAGTTTTACCTATTCTATTTGTGAAACCTTAAAGTCTCAAAGCACTTTAATTTGTTTTATTTTTTTAGAATAATCATGCTGACAGGGTGATATCCTGTTTTTAATTAATATACATCTAGAAGCCTCTCCAATTAACTTAACTGAGTTGAGACCTACAGTACACAGGAGGTATAACTCTCTTGCTCTGTGACAGTCCACAATTATACTGTGGGAGTTTTACTCCTTGATGCCATTTAACTACCTCATTATGAGAAATAACAGACATACTCAAGCCATCTAATTGCAAATCCTGGCTACAACATTGTGATTAAGAAGTCATTGTATTAGAATACTACCATGGTATATTAATTGGGAATTATGTTTGTAGGGAGCTCCTGGTAAAGATGGAAATGATGGAAATCCTGGAATTGATGGCAGTAAGGTAAATATTTCATTTCAAATTATAACACAGGTATTTTATTCTAATTGTACCATTTTCATGTATTTTCTTTTTCAACCATTACTTTCTATCAATGTGGTATCAGGAAGTCAGTGTGGTCAAAGATAGCTTGCATTATGATTTATCTCTCAAATAACACGAGCAAACAATGTTTTCAGATCAATCAAATGTTCTTTGCAGTTTTTGAATAAAATCACAAACAGTAAAAGTTTTGCATTTTAATAAGCCTCATAAACGTTTCATAGTCTTTCATTACAAAAAGGGATAGCAGTAACCCAGAATAGCACAAAAAAGCTATTTACATCTTGAAAATATAATTTTCATTAAATTCATTATACACATATCTGTTAATATTAATATCGAATAGACATGTAAATAAACATTTTGAAAAAATCAAAGATCTACCTATAACACCCTAATGAAGTAATTTCTTATATTATCAAATTATTTAGCTTTTTTAGGATTTTCTGTAGAAGCAGAAAAAATGTTTTAGAATAAAATTCACGACAAAATATGTTTATCATTTGGCCAAGGTGTCATTTCTAAAATCTCATTTAAATGGGCAAATATGAGACTTAAACTGTATGTTGCCTGTGGTTAGGATGGAGGTAAACAGAGACTAACAGCGAATGTGGAGCTTTCTGATAACACTTTACTTGATAGGACAGATACAGTACACACAATTTTTGGAGCACACCACTGATGTGATTGTTTTTTATATTTTCCTCAAGGGAGAACCTGGATTACCAGGCACTGTGGGTGTCAGGGGTCTTGTGGGAATCCCAGTAAGTGCAAAAATGCCGATTATATATAACTGAAGATCAAAAACTATAGTTATTGTCTTACAGCTCACATGGGACCACATTATTATACTGGATTAAATGCAAACTCCATTTTCCATAGTGCCAATTATGGCATTATCAGCACTGAAAGATGAAGCTCATGTTGAAAATGTATATCATACATTTTGTGAAAAGTAGAGATGGACACATTCTGTTTAAGATTGTTTTGGATTTTCATCTCCTGGTGATTTTAGAATCATTCATTATTGAATAACTTTGTTTCATATACAGGAATATATACTGAGATAAAAAAATGAATCACATATGTGTTGGAACGTTTAAAGTTTCAAATTGCCATAGAAAGTATGTCTTTGTACTGTTGGAAAAATAAACTGGCAGAAACCCATAAGATAAATGGAAAAGCATGCAAATTCCACCCAAGTGGCACTTCAGGAGGAACACAGGACCCAAGAACAGTGTGGCACCAATTTTAACTGGCACACATCACCATGCCATCCATTTTTATTATATTTATTAAGGTGTCATGAACAAGTCATGTGGAATAAAGTGTGAATCCTGCTTACTGTGATTTTAGGGGCTACCAGGAGTACCAGGAATGAAGGGTCATGCAGGAGAAAAGGTAAGATCTAAAAAAAAAAAAAAAAAGACAACCATATCAAAGTACTCCTTTCCCAGATGAAACAATTCTTTTTTTAAATGGCTTCTGGAGTTCATTGAAATTGTTTTCATCCAGGGTGAAACAGGATCCGAAGGGCCAACTGGCCCAGTGGGACCTCCTGGAAAACCAGTGAGTATGACTTTTCCTAGGGGTTGCAGGTCTTTATGAGTAATGATTTAGGCTGAAACACTTATCTGTTCTGAAAGGATTACTGATTCAAATTAAATAATTAAGAGAAAACATAATGTGGAGTGTACATTTATTGTTAAATATAACTGTTTCATTCTTTAAGGGGGAGCCGGGGGCAGCAGGAGCAAGTGGATTACCAGGCCCAAAGGGACCTCCTGTAAGTAAGAATTTATTAACAGTTCATTTCATAGGGCACAGGGCAATTTGATCAAAAGTATTATGAGAACCACCAAAAAGCTATGAAATCTTTCAATCTGACTTTATCAGTGTTCTTTCTGAAAAACAAGACCCTCTTTTGAATATTGATACACATCTATGATCTGTGTAGCCATGTGAACTGGTTAGGAGGCTAATCTGGCAAAGAGAAATGGGGATTTGTAAGCCTTAGCTGATTCAATGCACAATTGCACACCAAAATAAATATCTTCTTGCTAAAATTATAATTGAGACAAAAGCTAACAATGATTGTTATTTGTGAAGTGTGAATTCAGGATTCACTAGATTCACATACAAAATGATACTTAAATTTATTTTTAAGGGTGAAGGTGGAAAACAAGGACCAGTAGGTGCAACTGGTCCACCAGGAGCTGTGGTAAGTTCAATTGTTAACTTTTTTTAGTGATCCTCTTTTGGGAAGTTGTTTGGGATCAAATGAAAGGATATCTAATGTAAAAATGTATTACCCATTTAATAATATAGCCAGATAATGGGCTCCCAAAAGATTGTTTTTGTTGTAAACTGAAGACAGACTACAGTAAGCCAACAAATGCTACAAGTGCATCCAGCACAAAGCTTAAAGTGTAATTTATCCACCCTGTCACACATAAAAGCCACAGGATAAAACACAAATTCCAATCTGCCCATGGTTTGCCAAGCTTATTTTTTAGTATATCAGTGTGGTGTCATTACTCATGAAGACCACACTATACGAATCGAGTATGAAAAGAGATATATCCACACAGTAGATATTTTGCATCATCTCTTAAATTATTTTACTAACAGGGTGAACAAGGTGACAAAGGAGACCTTGGTCCTCGTGGTATAAAAGGACACACTGGAGAAAAAGGAGAGAAGGTAAAAAGCTTTATTTTTGTTTTCAGGAATAAAATAGGATTATAATGACTGTACTGCCTTACAACTATTTGATTCTGTTTAACATGGCCAAATGGTTTTGTCAGTGCCATTGACATTGTCAGTGTATTTTTCATTCTTCCTTTAGGGGTCAGTTGGTCCTGTTGGTCCAAAAGGAAATCAGGTGGGTTAGTCCTTTCTTAGTCTTAACCTTTTTATGTGTTTGTTCCCTAAGCCTGAAAATGTATACAATATGGTGTTTGGAAATGTAAGTGGTAATTTCCGTGTCATTTCTCTGATTTTCAGGGAATTCGGGGTGCAGCTGGGGACCACGGACCCAAGGGGGATATGGTACATTGTGTTTCTATACAACAACAATAATAATTTGCAAACAAATAAAACATATTTTATACATATTAATTAATACAGTGTTCAGTAGGCTTTAGGCAACTTTTTGATACAGTATGTAACATTTCATGAATTCACCAAAACAACAATGTGTTTGTTACAGGGCCCTCCGGGTATCCCTGGAATTAAAGGAGAGGTATGTTTCTCTTTATTACATATTTTAGGGAACTGAAATATGTTATTTATTTGTTTTTGCTTTAACTGTATATTCATATTAACCTGTGTTACAAGAAATGTTCACATACTGTAGGTGATAAACTAAATCTATAGTTTATTTTTCAATGTGTATCTGAACTATAATAAAGTTTATTATGATAAATTAAATAACAGAGGACAAATACTTTGATTAAGTCTCAATCCCTAAAATATGAAGTTACTCTATTTAGCTGACAGCACTCCCTGCATTCACACAGACCCTCTGTAAGATCCAGAGTGTATGGAGGCTGAGAGCTCACTCCCACAGTAGCAGGATCCCAAACTCTGGAAGAATACAGAGAAACAAATAATACACAATAACAAACCAATACAATCCTGCCAGAGAGATTACTCTGACTCACCCACCTTCGACACCTTCGAGCCATCGTCTTTTAACACAGGATCAGTGCTAATTGTAGGAGAAGCCCATCCATCACTGACATTACAGCAAGCCTGCATGCGCCCGGCAGGCCACAGGGGTCGATGTGTCTCAGAGAGCCGAGAAAGCCATGGTAGACTAATCCCACTCTATCATCATCAGCAGTTGGACAATCTGTGCCACTGCTTGCAGAATCAGGCTTGCAATCAGCTAGAGACATGATCTAGGCTCATAGATCATCAGAGCTCAGCCTGCACTCAGATACGTGCCTTTTCTGATTGAATCACTGGAGAGGTCTCAGTCGTTTTAATACTTGTATAATACTATGTATACAAGGAAACAAGGCACAATCTATTAAAAACGACAGGCTTCAAACTTGTATGTGAGTGTCAATGGGCATATGAGGGCATAAACCTTACACGGATGTATTTGGTATGTCTTAGTAATTCATATAGTGGTCCTGTGTTGATTAAAAATATCCACACTTCTTTCTTCAGCCAGGAGCTAAAGGAGACAGGGGCCCAAGGGGTCCAGAGGGTGTCCGTGGGTTACCAGGCCACACTGGTCTCACAGGCCCCATAGGGCCCCGTGGGCTGGATGGGGAAAGGGGGGTTCCTGGTTCTCCTGGGCCTCGAGGAGCCCCTGTAAGTAACAACGTCCAACAGCATTAATGTAGAGACCAAAACACCTTTGGTCTCCAAAGGTCCGGTTAAATAACCAACTTTTGCAGCTGATTTTACTTATGCATATTTAATTTGTACTAATACAGACGGATAAAATATTTGAGGACAGAAGTGGGCCTTGTTTTGATATTTGCCTTTTCAATGCTGCGCATTGGCCCGGCAGCAAGAGTCTGCACAGAACAGGCATGCAAAAATGTTTCCAATGACATTTTGAGATAGAATTAATAAGCACTGAATTTCTGCATATTTTAATGAATAAACAATGCTTACCGATCTCTGATGTCTTTATTAGTGATAATCAATAGCTCATGAATTTTAAGCTTATTAATACTTTTATGTTTTATATACCAATTCAATAATAGGTGGTATAAATAATTTACACTATTTCTGCATCTTTTCATTAAAAAGCAATGCTTGATGATCTTATTTTCTTGTTAGATTTTTTGCCATTGAGTTCTTCTGTTTTGCTCACTTTTGTCAGGTTACAATGTACATTGGTTTTCAATGAGAGTTTCAGCTATTTGAAGTTTGAAAACCTTGATTCATCCATGAATTATCTAGTTTTCAATATTAGTCTTAGCATTCAAACCAGATTTGTAGGTTGTAGCTTACAATATACTGTATATACTGTAGGAGCAACAGTAATAAATGCTTACTTGTTGGGTTAAGTTTTCTGCAGATTTTTTCAGTTATCAGTACTTTTCTAACAATTATATGTTATTAGATTTAAGAAAGAACATTTCTATTCATACAGGGTCTGGAAGCAAGTGAACAGAGAATCAGGGAGATCTGCCAGAGCATAATTCAAGGTTGGCATTTTAATCTTTAATTGGGAAAGAAAAAAATCTTTGTTTAATTAACGTTTGACACAGTAAATTGATATAAAAGGCGTATATGTAGGAAAGTAGTTCTTTTTTTCCTTCAATTTATTTAAAACGTGTTTTTTCCTGTTCAGACCAGATTGCTGAGTTGACAGCTGATCTCAAAAGGCCAGCAGCCCAAGGGGCACCGGGCCGACCTGGGCCAATGGGCCCTCCTGGCCCTGTTGGGCCTGCTGGGTCCACTGGACATCCTGGACCAAGAGGATCGATGGGCCTCAAGGGGCCACCAGGCTTTCATGGAGCCCCTGGACAGAAAGGTAGAGGACTGAGGGCTGGGTTGTCTTTATTTAATAAAAATAAAAATGTCTGTTAATGTAGGCTGTTATGTTTGTGCATCTATACTTAAGTCCGTTTTGCTGAGAGTGCAAATGTAAGCCTCCCAGCTTTTAGAAGCTTCAAAGCTGGTCATTATTATTTTAGTTATAATAAAAATCACAGCTGTTTGATGGGACAAAGGCCCCGTTCTTGAACGACCATACCATTGCAAAGCGACTTTAAAACATTGAAATCTTACATTGTGTGTTCTGGTTTCATTCATTCTCTGTTGCGCAGTGTTAGGAGTGAACTAAAGTAAAAGAGGAATGTGTTCATCATTTGAGTTCAGGCCTATTGCTCTCTGTAAGGATTAAATCTTCTTTCATATCTACTTTTTGTGTGAAGGAACAGAAAGTCTTGTAGATTTGTTCCCCCAGAGGCCACTGCACCTGGCAGCCTTCTTGGCTCAAATGCAGTATTTAATGAGGTCCAAAGTGACGGTACAGTAGCTGCTAATTGCTGATCAAATTGTCAGCAGGTGAAACCAAAGATCCAAAGGGTACATCTGACAACAGTGCTTTATGTTAATAGGATTGTGTTCTGCAATTGGAGGTGTTATGCCCAAGAAATACAGTAGTTTTTTCTTGTTGTTTCTTTTTCTAGATGCATGTGCTTTGAAATGGGTAGAGATGCTGAATTAAAGTAGTTATACGCACGGGAGAACAAATTCATTATAACTTATTGTTCTTTTAACATTATAGAAATGTGTAGAAATTCTTATTATGTCTAGTGTTTTCATTGACTAAGAGAGTTGTCACGGATGTCGGAAAGGACGAACCGTGGAATGGCAGGAGAGCAAAAAGACCCTATGCATAGCGGCGAGACGGGGGTTAGCCCGGGCTCAGCTGTTCAGGACATGCCGTATAGAAACCTATGCCCTCAGGTAGCGGACGTGGGGCGACCTGGTGCTAGGCTGGTCTCAGGACATCCGAACGTCAATGCTGAGCGCAGGCAGACTGAAAGACCCGGAAATATATAGCCCCAGAGAGAGAGGAACACCGGAAGGAAAGCAGAGAACCGGAAAAGAGAGACAGGACAGAGAAGGAGCACCCTCTGGCTACTGAGGGCATGACAAGAGTTACATTTTTGTTAGAATAAAGTTCTGCTGAGTTTTAACTGATAATGAATTACAAATACCAATTTCTGACATCATACTACTTTAAAGACACTGATATTACAATCAGTCGCAAATCATCTAAAAAAATTGCATTACAGTTTAAGAAATGTGATCATTTTATCATCTTTTGATGTCAAGTGTTTTGTGTCCATAAGACTATTATTGGTTAAAGTTAAATTTTATCCAATATAATTCTTTTAAAATGTACTGGAAAATGATAAAAATATCATTCGCATTTTTAAAATTCCTTTAATCACTTGGTATTCTCTGTCAAAGTATTTAAAGTACGTCTTACTATTCACAGAATCCTTCGATTTCTGTGTAGTGGATTTGATTGCAATTCCATAAATTAATGAAAATCTTATCTGATTTTCAGATGTTTAAAAGTCTCCTAATGACAGGTTTTCCCAAACTCTAACTGGATCCAAATACATTTTATAATTTTCTTCAATTTATAAAATAATGCATTTATTGTATCTACTGTATTAGTGAGTCCTTGTTGTGCTATTATATGCATTTAACACAATTTGCAGCTTATGATTCCCATTTCTCTCCACTACAGGTGAGGCTGGGGAAAAAGGAGAAAGTGGAGAAAATGGAATTGGAATCCGTGGGAGTCCAGGACAGCCTGGCCCTCCAGGTACATCACTATACATGCATTTAATAAACAGCAGTGAAAAAGTCACCTCATTCAATCCAGGGATTCCAGCCTTACTGTTGCCTCAGACTGTATCCCCCAATGCACCAATCCTGAATGCCACACGTATAGTGAAATTCAGTTATGCTAATGGTTGAAGATATGTTATTTTCTATCCTTTACACTTTATTACATTTTGAATTATCAATTTTTATCTGGGGGTAGTATGCAAGTGAGATCAAATATGTATAATTGCATATTTTCTGTTGCATCCTATACTATATACTACTGTACTGTATATAAGGAACAAGTAATAGGTTTATTCCATGCTGAGGGACCTCACCTGACGAAGGCTCCACAGCCGAAATGTTGTGTTTCTTTTCTTCTCTTTTCAGCATGGAATAAACCTTTACTTATTCCTTTGCAGCCTACCCATGCTGACGAGGCTACCCACCTGAACTACTGTATTTACTACACTATATACTATATACTGTACTATATACTATATCGTTTTTCCATCTTATAGAATTGAAATATGTTGTGTTTTGTTGCAGGGGAGCCTGGGATCCCGGGCATTGGGAAAGATGGCCGGGATGGGGCTCGTGGGGAGCCAGGAGCGCGAGGGGACCCTGGTCTTCCTGGAAACAGAGGGCCGAGAGGCCCTGCTGGGTTATGTGATCCTTCAAACTGTGTGGGACCTCCTCCAATGTTCATGCCAGTGAGCGGAAAAAAATCCTCCAGTATGAAGGGACCTTGAAGATAAATTGTTCCTATGATAACTTATGAAATAAAAAAAACAACAACAAATGTAATTTGGGGTCATATCCAAAATAAACTTGAAGAGATACAACCCATTTAATGGAAGCTATGGAGGACATGTCAGCTTGCATTTCCTTGATCTCTAAGCTATAAAGAGGTGACTTTATACCAAAGTATGTATACAACACATTAATAATGTCAGAAACTAGTATACATTCATATTATTAAAAGAAAAGTAAAAAACAAAAAAAAACAAAAAAAAAACAGTCTATTCCATCTGTTTAGTGGTGATTTTGAAAAAAAAAATCTGTTTGCTACTGGTCTATTCAGACTTCAAGTATCTTAGACACAAATTCTGTCCACTGTCACATTTGTTGAGCCTATCTGTGGAAAACCTGTAGGGCATTTAACTTGTATCTAATCTAGGGTTTTAATGTTCCAGAACTGTGCTGACATTTTTGCTAAAGAATTTCCTTCACCAGTTCATTAATGGTGCATAGTGATTAAAAAAGAGAACTTCTGATGACAGCTTTTAAATGATTGCTCAAAGCAAAAAATGTGATTATCACACTATGCATATGTTACCCTTACGAGCAGCATGTTAGGAGTTATCATTGCCATCTCTCAATACTGGAGCCCCTGGTTCAATTCTGGACCTGACGTACTATATGCGTGGGGTTTCAATGTTCTACCTATGTTTACGTTTGTTTCCTCCAGGTGCACGATAGCCCCGTAGCCCAAAAACATACTGTTAGGTTAATTGGCTTCTGGTAAAATTGTTCCTGGTGTAAATGTGTGTTTGGCCCGCAATGGTCTTGTTTCCCATCCAAGGTGTACCCTGCCTCACCCCAGTTGCTTGCTGGGATAGGCTTTGACTCCCCTGCGAACCTGTAATGGGTAAAGGGGTTATAAAATGGGTGGCTGTTACATTTCATTCTCCTTGTGTACAAAAATATATACAGTATATACAGTATATTATTTAAGATACTTTTTAAAATACTAGATTAAAAAAGAAGATATTGACAGTCAATGCATTATATTTTGAAAGGGGATACATACAGTACATAAAAGGTTACAAATCCTACCAATCCTAATCTTAAAAGTCCAACCAAGTCGAAAACCCAGACGTACAGTTCTCTACTCAAAACGTGGTAGATGTAAAGTGCACTCAACTCTACTTTCCAAGTTGCAAGTGGACAGATTTTAAAATGGTGCGTGATCTCACCAAATGACCTGTTAGTTAATAAAATGAAATAAAGAGAAATCACAACCAGTGAATGCACAGTGTAATACTGTATATGAAGGTCGATGTACATCACTAGAGTATTTCATGGATCAAAATTAAATCAACATTTCGTTTATGCTCATTGGGATAAGATTTTGGCTTTCATTTTAAGTAAATGGATATTTATATGCATATACTGTATAAACTTAAAATCCCTGTGATTTAAATATGGTGTTTTTAAACAAATGTTGTGAAGAAGGCAAATTCCAATCTCACCCACTTCCACAAAAAATATAAATATATTGTTTTCTTATGCATATGAACTGCTATTATTTCAGGGATCTGCCAGAATCTTCATTCATCCAACAACAGCAAATGGACCAGTCAGAGTGTTCATATTGAGTGCATAAATCTTGATTCTGCTATTAGTCTTAAAAGTCTCTATTCTCTATGCTTCTCTATCAACCTTCCTGCTCACTGGCAAGCATCAGTAAGTTGTTACTCACGACAAGTTCCTATGCTATTTCATCTTTACTAAATGTTGACAATGTTGAAGTATCAATTAAGCTGATCATTAAGTGAATACTATTTCATGCCACCCAGACACTGCCTTATGTTTTTGTGTCCTTCCAAACTGAACAGTGTGTGAAGAAGAAATTTATTAGAGATGTCACTGTAAAGTGTATGTTGGTTTTGAAAGAACTACATAGTTCAATGGTTTCAGTGGGACAAAATGTACATGAGTCAATAATACCCCAGTCATTTCACTAATCTGATGGTGTGAGAGGAAAAACCCTAGTAAGATTCCACATGGGGTCAACGCTTTAATATGTTGCTGCAAATTTTAGCAAAATGTTTTGTGTTCACACAAAATAATTTTTTGTTTCAATAAAAAGTGTAACATCTGATGCAACATCACTCGGTCAACACTATCCCCCACTATCAAGCATGGCGATTACAGCATTATGTTATAATTCTGCTTCTCATTAGCAGAGACTGGGAAGCTTGGTAAGACTGATGGGGACATACTGTAGATGGACTGCTGAAAAACTTTTTCAAACCCAATACATGGACACAAATATCACTTTTCATCAAGACTATATAACCCAAAGACCACAGCTTCAATTGGGGTGACTTAAGAATAAGAAAGTTAATGTCCTTGAGCGACCCAAAGAATTAAAGTTCTGACTTTAATTCTTTTATAGAAAGACTTGAAATGTAATGTCCATGAGTAGATCCCCAAGCAATTGTAGAGAACTTTTGCAATAAATTGCAGTAAGTCAGAGTATGAATTTGGTAGAGACTCAAAAACACAGTACCACCTTTTTCAAGTCTGTCTGGTAAGAGATGCCTGCTTTTTTCTGCCCTCCTTTTGCTCACTCCAGGATTAGCCCTCTAAGTATAGCCTCCCACACTTAAATTGTTTAAATACATCTAATCATCGATCTTTCTCTCCTTTTCATAACTTCTCTGCCCCAAGCATTAAGAAGTTTACACTCTAGTTCTGACTTTCCTGTGTGCATGGAAGCTACAGTATTGACCTTGCTACACCTACTCAGAACACCAGGACATAATACTTAGAATGTGGAACTACGCATTGATAATGCACTTAAATGTATGCCTATCATTCCTAGACTTCAAGCACCTCATAGAGAGCACCAGCAAGATAAATATTACTTCATAATCCACTTGTTTTCAAATGCTGCAGCAACCCAAAAACGTTTTCATACAGTATGTGCAGAGCCACTCTGCTGCATCTTCCTTCATTTCCAAGTTCCACTCCATGTTCCTTGGATGATCTTTCATTGAGTTTTCCACTTCCACAGTTATCTTCAGCATGGAGAAAACAATTTTCTTCCTTGAGTCTCTAGTGATCATCCTCCATTTTACCTCTTGGGTATTTTAAGAGAATTTTCACCTATTCTTTTTGCTCTTATTCTTTGTGAGCTACAGTACAAAACATCCTCATTAAAACTGCTCTGTGCACATAATCTCTCAGAGTCAACTATCTTCTCAACTTGTTACCACTATGTTAACCTGAATACCAATGCACAGTGATTCTAGGAAATACATTCTAGTCCTCTGAATCACTTAGAATTCATCTATAATGCTTTGGGAGCTGCACCCTATTATCATCACCAATATTCATTCTTTAGGGATTCCAATAATCTGCCCTGGCCAATAGTTCTCTATTCAGTTACAGTATATATCTATAATACACATTAAACAGAGGCACTAATTATCTGTATGATCATGGGAGTTGGGCGAACTCTAATTTTGCCCATTTCTACACTCCTACACATAAATATATCGCCTTCTGAGCATCCTCTTTGAGCATTTATTTTTCACCCCCTCTTCTCCCTTGCAGCAGCTTCCTGGCTCAAACTTCATGATGAGAGTTGGCAGCCTTGTCAGACTCATCTCCACGGGCAGGCTGCCATTCCCTCAGCCAAGAGAGATATGCCAAATAAGCGTTTAATATGTTTCTTCTCTGTATCTCATGAATTAGGATTTGACCCACAACTGAAATAACGATTGGTAACATTATATTTTACATCTCCACTTAACTTCTAACAGTAACAGATTCATTTACTTAAAGAGGTTTAATATGTTTGTTTGTTTATGGTATTTATTTATTGCCTTAAAATAATCATTGGAATAGTACAAAAAAAAGCATTCAGCTATTCTCACAAAATGAACATTTGCATTTTGTAATACTATATGATTAATGGGAATTTTATATCGTCAGCATATTATGACTGAAGTCTGCACAATTGAAAAAGAACAGCATTTCTGTAATAAAGTATACTAATTATTATCTCTATTGCCCAAAGTTACAAAGTAAAGTTCTGAAGTCTGCATAACGAAGTAAAGATTAAGTCTGCATAGAGTTCATCTAATTGATATGCATAGCTACAAATAACATTGATGGCATTCAAAACTTTACCTAAAGACTTCATTAAACCATTTATTCTATTTCCTTTCTTCTTCTGAAAAAGAACGGCACTTCTGTATTAGAAAATGTTAATCATTATCTCTATTGCCCCAAGTTGCAAAGTTCTGAAGTCTGCATTACAAAGTAAAGACTGAAGGCTGCATAATTGATATACATAGCTATAAATAACAGTGACGGCATTCAAGTTTTACTTAAAGTCTTTGCTAAAATATTTTATTATATTTCCTTTTTTCTTCTGAAAATGAACAACATTTCTGTTTAAAATACACTAATCATTCTCTCTATTGCCCCAAGTTGCAAAGTAAAGTTCTATTTGTTTCGGGCCTCCTCTGCAGGTCTCCACAGGTGGCCTTTCAAGTGGGTTGTCTTCAAAGTTTGAGGAACACTGATTATTCCCCCAATCCAAGTTCACTAGTTTTCCAAATCCTTCAGGTAGTGCTCTCAACCTGTTTTTTCCCAACCACAAGGTCTGAAGACTCCTCAGATTACAGAAGCTGTTAGGTAAACTTTCCAATCTGTTGAAGAAGAGGAGGAGCGTTTCGAGCTTTGTCAGGTTTTGAATACTATCAGACATCGCCTTAACCTTGTTATCTGAGATATCCAAGAATGTGAGCTTCCTCAGAATGCAAATCTGCACTGGGAAATCTTGAAATAAGTTATTTGCAAGATGCAGACTAGTAAGCTTTTGTAACTTCCCAATTTCTTCTGGTAGGAAAGTCAGATTGTTATTGCTGAGAGTCAGTCTCTCCAGATTTCCAAGTGTGCCAATCTCAGAAGGAATGCTTTTAAGCTCGTTGGTATCTAAGCACAGAACAGACAAATTCCTCAGCTGTCCAATTTCTTTGGGAACCAAATCCAACCTATAAGTCAAGCAGCTTTCTCTCTCTGGGCTCATGTCTAAGATCTGCAGTTCCTCCAAGTCAAAAATCTCAGTTGGAACAGAAACAAGCTCTTTCCCCTGTAGTTTCAATCTTGTTCTTCCCTTTTCAGGGTCATGGTCCAATCTATATTTCCACAACTTTCTCCCTTTTGAAATGACAGAAAGAAGAGATTGAAAAGACTCCATCCTACTACATTGCATGTTATCTCATGTCATTAAAATAGCAAGAAAGATACTTCGCACAACCAAATACATCCATCATGACTGTGTTCAGAAAACCCTATGAAATAAATCTCCTCAGATCTCTCTCCTTCAGAAAGAAAAAGTTGACTGAAGTGACTGAAGGTCTTCTGGTAAGTGTTGAGGCATTTATTTTCACTAGTGCTATATTTGGACAACAGCATTGCATGTTTAGGTTGCCTAGATACCAAAACGTAACAACATTTGCTCACGGTGATTTTATTTGCTTGGTAAACATGAACTGTGGTAAACCTAACTAATCAAAACTTTGGTTAAGATCATCTTATTGATGCATACATTGCATTGAGGTATCTGCTAATAAAATGCAGTTTTTAAAATAACACTTTAAACATAATGTAACAGATTCCAAGTTCTAGTTAGCTTCAAAATGAAACTAGAACATGGCTGAAATTTAACAGTACATGTGTTACAAATAACTACACTAAGCTAAAAAAGAAAGTAGTAAATTAAATACATATTTACAAAATTAAGTGATGGAAAATATTGTATCCTCCATTCCAATTTATTTACTTTCATATAACCACTAGTGATAGTCAAGTTAATTACTATAGTTAGCCAACTGCTAAAGCCAGATGGTGTCTTCAGTTATAAATTTCAAGTAGACAGAAAAGACCCCTTATTTTAACAAACTTCATCTGAGCACTATTACACATTACACATCTTCATAGAAGGTCTCACTAGGAAATGGGCCTAATTTTACAATCCAATATGGTTGAAAGCAACAATTATTTTTAGTTTAAAAACACTATACAGTATATTTTATTGGAATATCAAATAATATTTGAATGTATTCTTCAACCGTTTAAATCTTATTTAATATATTGATATTTTTAAAGAAACATAATTATTTCCTATTGTTAAGTTCTGTCAGCAATTCAACTGCTTCTGCCTACAAATGTCCGTGAGGAAAAAAGATCTTAAGGTTTTTAATTATTTTTTTGTTTACTTTTTGCCGTTGTTACTGCTGTTTGTTATCCTGAATCATTTGACTTTATTTCTATTAATGCATGCCCACCATACCTTCATACTCTTCCAATATTACAATTAAGTTTATAGTTACATAACTGGTTGGATTAACTGCATAATTGTAATATGTCTCTCTATGATATATCATTGTTGAAAGGTTCTATACCAGAAGCGCTCTGGGAATAAGATAAATGAATAAGCAGAGAGATTACTGAAGCTAATTGAGAACTGAAGTTGTAATAGGATGAAATCTTTATTCAGCTTTTCATCTAGACTTAAGTTCTGTGTTTATGATTTCTACTTTGTGTATAAATTTAAATTAGTACTGCAAGTCCCTGCTATAAAAAGTGATTGTAACAGTGGTTTGAAGTAGCCAAGGCTGTATAAATACTATGCAGTATATTGTAGCATTCTTTAGAACAACATGTAATCTGATTTTTTCTCTTGACAAACTAAACAATCCTGGCAAATAAGCATATTTACAAATAATACAAGAGCAAGAGTTATAAATTGGTTCTATAAAATGAACGTCTTCTAAACTTTATTACAGTTTATACCCTTTCAACACTTTTAAATATTACAGAAGAACAATTTGGAAGAGATTAGCACCATTCCGTTATTATGAACAAGTAAGGCTTCCCACATAAACAGTAAATCTTAAAATACTTTGAAAACAACATATATTCCCTATTTTAATGTTTCAAGCACCCATAGTTAAAACAGGAGTAATAATTTACAATGTTTTGCCAAAGCTGAAAATGCTACGAAGACAATGCAGGGGAAATTACACATTGGCAAAATGCAGCAGAGCAGGCAAAGAAATAAAGCAACAAAAAAAACAAAACAAATAGCACCCCCTTTTATTAAACTTGAAAAAGTGCTTCCCAGTATCATGAATTCTATAAAAGTCACAATAGTGTTATATTTAAAATTATGTTTTGTTTTGAATATAGGATTAATTTCTGAGCTATATTCTGTTTTTCTAGAAAAATATACAGTACACTACTCTTGGGTTTTCCTACTTTATGCAAAAATGCAAATTGTAAAGTGAATGTCTATTGACACATAGGCTTGTTGTCTTCAGATAGTGATTAATCCTAATAGTTCTGTATCAGTGAGTATAAACATAGCCTTTCAGCTTTATATTTACTTAGGAAGGTACAAATGATGTTAAAGGCAAGGAATACCGGATCAATAAATCAATCAACTTGATTGGAAGATCTGATGGATTAACTACTACACTGCCCATTTATGTCATTTACCTTCATTTGTTTGAAGACTCTTATCTCAGATAAATGTGAATTAAAGACAAATATCATATTTGGTTTTACCAAAGCTCTATTAAGGCAAACATCCTATCAGGCAAAAAATACAAGAAAAGACTAGTGGACGTTTTGAGTAATTATTGATATTCATAGAAAAGGTTAAAACATTATAGCTTTTTATGAAGTATAAAAACTTAATATAGTCAAAAGGAGCATGTAAAACCTTTTCCAAAATAACCACAGTATGTAACCGAATGAAAGACTTTGATGCTTAAAATATTTATGAAGAAAGTGGAATACTGGTGTGTATTTTTTTTTAAACTACCAATATTCAGTTTACATAATATGTTTATGTTCCTAAATTAATATAATTTATGACCTTCAGATGCGTTACGGTCCTCTTCTTTTTATGCTCACCTACTAAGATTTCCTGTTGGTTGTAAAATTCTGTATTTATATTCAATATTAAGCGGATTTAAACTTGCACAGTAAAGAGATTAAATGAAGCAATCGTTTCACTAACAACCAATGCACCACGAGTGCCGCCTGTCAGTCATTTTGACCAGCCAATCATGTACTGCAGTATAACGCGCTGAACTGCAGATAATTCTGCGCAGTACAGGGTTGTACCGTGCATTTTGAATGGCTGCATCTGTATATATTTTAACTACTGATTGTGAAGATTTTTGCGTAGTAAAAGTGAATACTAGATTGTTTTCTTTTATATGTTGTAGCCCATGGCAAAAACAGTTAAAAAGCTGTTTTGGAGGGAAGGCCTGGACAAAATCTTTTAAGTGATCTGAAGTGCTTTTCTGGACATCATTCAGTTAATCAAATTAGCCTTTTTACTATACAGAATTTTCAAGAATAAGTATACATTTCATTTATTGGTGACAGTGTAAATCAGTGTATATCTGGAATATACTGTTCATAAATATTCCTTTAAAATATATTCATTCATTATTTGTATACAAGCACCAGAAAAATTGGATTACTGTATGTCCATGCTTAGAATATTGTGTATAATTTTGATATCCACCATACAGTATATAGAAGATTTTTCTGCTCTGTGGTCAGTGGAAAGAAAAACAACCAGATCCATTCTAAGATTCAAAGAAATGTTCTACACTTAATTAAACAAAGAAGACTACGAGGGGATCTGATTCAATTATTCACAATTCTCAAAAACATTGATAAAGTCCACCCCATGAACATGTTCAAAAGGAACAGTAAACTTCAACTACCTCAACCTCAAACCTAGGAGACTAGTGGAAACTACAGTGAACTGCAGTCAATACTGAGATCAGGAGGCACTTTATACTAAAAGCTGTGGGAAGCTGTTACACATGACCCTGCCATGTCATTGAACCTGTAAGTTTAGCTTCTTTCAAGAAATGGTTGGATGGGATCTTTCCATCAATCAGTTACTAAAAACCAAAGTTTTTAGTTAGATGGGCCAAACAACCTCCTCTTATTTCTAAACTTTCTTATTATCTTACAGCATTCAGTGTATATTCCCTAGTTGATATGAAGACTGTCAGAACACTACACTGGAGCAGTGACAATGCCGTCTGAAGGTAATACAGGATTACATTGGAATACAAGAAATTGTAATACATTGACTTGAAATGCACACAGAAAATATTGTACTTTGATTTGGAAAAGCTAGAACAGCTTCTCTCGTGGTGCTAAAGATCAGTCTAAAAACTCTTATGTGAATCATTATAGATTTTTTTCTGGGCTCAGAGATTATCCAACTTTTTTGTATCATTTAATTAGACCCCCTGGGATTTATTTGACATTCTTTTAAAATAAGTCTTACTTGAGAACTCTGTAAACCTAAACATTATAACCAAGCATACACTTGTGGAAGTGTAATGATTCAAATTACTCTAAAATATTTTCTAAAATATCCTGAAACTCCTGAAGCCAGTGACACATTTCACTGATCTCTATCTATACCACCAGAGAAGGTGAGCAAAGCAGGCAGAGCAAAGCAAAAGTAATTTGCTGAAGTATAGACCGTCAAACTGCTGTTTTAACATGCACTAAAATCTGGTAGGAGCAGACACAGGGTGTTGCCCAAAGTAAAACATTCTCTCTTGTTTCTCACATTTCAATAAGGTGTCACATTAGGCATTTATTTCACCAAGAAAGTCATATACTGTATACACTTTATCACTAAAATGTTTCTCCATTTGAAAAAAAAAATCTTTAAATCCTTGAGAAAGCTTTCTCCATTTGAACCATAATTAATAGTAGGTCTTATGATTTATTTATCAGTAGCACTTTATGAAATGGGATTTAAATATGTTTTTGAGTATTAAACACCTACTTAAGCATACCATCAGGTGCTTCCGTATGAACTATTCTTTAGTATTAATCTAACATAATCATTTTTCTTTCCTCCAGCAACTTATTAAATCATTCACTGGTAAGAAAATGCTTAACAATCAAACTATGCAAAAATAAAATATTAAATATATGAATTATATCAACTAAATTTGATTGTTTACTTACAGTTAATGGACAAAAGGTTTGTAACATGCAGTATGTAGCAATACTTGGTAACAGAATTTAATAATGGACAGTGTGTATACTTTGAGTAATAGATCAATAATGGAATATAATTCTTTAACTAATTTAGTGATCAACTGATACATCTTTCAAAAAAGTATTCTTATGAAACCACTAATAATTCAAAAGGGGCTTTAACATGATTTTATTTGATTTATTTATTTTGTCAATGTGAATGGGGATAAATCATTTCATTACACTTCTGATATAGTACATATCAGTGCCAGTTTCTCTAAAAGCTTTTTGAACTCCTTTCCCCCATCTGGGGGATGTCAAGTGCTCTTTCTTCAGTATGACAGTTAATATTTCCAAACAGTGCCTTAAAATTAAAAAGGAATTTTTTATAATCTGTACTTTACTATTTTCTTTCTAGGTTGCTGAATGTCCTATCTGTTTTTATTTGCATTTCTGTCACCCCCTTTGCTAGAATCATTTTCCATGCTAAGTAATCGCATACAGAATCCATTTTGGATGTTGTTTTGCTACAATAAGCAATACATTAGCAATACAAGAAAAAGAGAAAAGAAGAAATGCATTTGAGACACAGATAATAAGAGTAATAAGAGAATACAAGTGTGTTAGGCCAATGTAATTTAATGCCCTACCCTAAATACCTAGAGCAGCTTGAGTGTTGGTTTCCTTGCCTGATTGACTGATTTTCCAAGATTAGAATGTAGATACATGCTTTGTTCTCATTGCACAGGTGATCAGTCAATAAACCACTCAGAGAGCATCCAACATGTATAAAAGGCTATGGTGGGCTGGCGTTTGTTATTTATCTTATTTCCCCCATTGAACCAGTGTGGTCTTGTTTGTTTGTTTGTTTGTTTGTTTGTTTGTTTGTTTGTTTGTTTGTTTGTTTGTTTGTTTGTTTGTTTGTTTGTTTGTTAGGACTTCTACATATACAGTACTGTGTCCACTTAAAGTTAACTTTTTTTTCCCAAGGATGTGCATCCACTATGAAATTAAAAAAGGAATACAATTCATATAAATATCTTTCAATTTACCATGCAAGACTAACCAGGCTGTAGCTTTTTTTAATGACTGATAATCATAATTGCTTTGTCACAAAAGACTTCAATAAGGCCCACATATGTCTCATGTGACACAGTCACATGACATGAGTCCTGTGAATTTTTCCTTTCCTTTTCCTTAATGCTTAATGATAAGAAGTTTGAGGTGGGATTTTACATGAGAATGAAGAACACAGGAGGTGATCTTAAATCTTAAATGTTCTTAACAGAAATAAATCAGAATGTAAGGTCATTTTAAGGTAAAACAAAAAGGAAAAAAGCCACAAGTTATATTCATTCACAAACCTAAATAAAAATTACAGATAAGTCTACATATATATTAAAAAAAATATTCGATCAGCAATTATCCCAGAGCCAAAGCAATTTCTCCATCATCAAAGAAGAAATACATAATCCCACTGGGACAATTTTAACCCACTCAGAAATGCTCACATTTGAATCCAAAGCCAACACTATCCCCGGATGAGAACCAGCAGATATTTCAAACAGTCGTGGCATGGTTTTGAGACCACAGGAATTGCTCTTTTATGACATTGCCTTTTTACACGTCTTTTTTTATATCATTTTAATAATAATCCCTGACAATGAAGATAAATATCTGACACAAAAAAAAATATCTGACCGGCAGCAGTCTTGGCTTGTAAACCCCAGAACTGAGTATATTAAAAAATGAGTTCATTGAATTTCCAAGTTCATAAGAATACTATTCTCCACAGTTGTGTTTTAAGGGCCTTTGACATTGGCAGGCCTGGCAGCCAGACTTGCATAGTAAGCGCACTGAGAGGGGTCACACTGTCCATTGGGTCCTGGTGGGCCTGGGGGACCATGTGTCCCAGGGTTCCCTGGTTCTCCCTGGGGCCCTGGTGTCCCAGGCAATCCATCTTTTGCATAACCTGGGGCTCCTGGTGCACCTGCGGATTTGAAAAAAGAAAAATGAATATGAATGACTTGTCTTTATGTAACTAAGAGACTCATCTAGTGAGGCTTGCAGAAGGAGCCATCTGTGGCTTTGTCTGCCAGCACTAATTGCAAAGTGTTTGTGTTCATAATTGACTCGGTTTCAGAAAGATAAACCCCCTTTCACGGTGATATTACACAGTAATCGTATTTTAAAACGTTCTGTAAAGAATTAAAACAACACCAGGAAATCCAGGGAGATACCTGCTGGACCAGGAGGACCAATCTCTCCTCTCTGCCCGATGCCAGTTTCACCTCTTTCACCTTTTGCTCCTCTTTCGCCTGAAGAGAGATTGGCCTCAGGTTAGCATAATGCTACAGTAGTACAAAAAAATCAGTAAAAACTGTTAACAAAAGATGTGGAAATATCTTCAGTTCTTGTTTTATACTTCATCCTGTTATACTTGAGCTCCTTAAATAATAAAGTAATTAATGTGCTTTCAGGTATATGTAATGATGACAAAGAAGAATGGTCTACATCATTCCACAACATTATACCTTTTGAATTGTATTTGTGTTATATTCCATTTATTGTTTTTTGTGCAATGTAAATGCCTGTTGTCTATTTTGCAACTAAATAGCCTTGCTGATTACATTTGTATGGTCACAGAATTTATCCATAATATTTTATATCTAAGGTTGCCTTAAAACACCAGACAGATATATTAACAGTAATAACAATGTAATATTTATGAAAGATTTTTTTTTCTGAGGAAAATGTTAAACATTCCATCCCTAATGTTGAAAATAATAAGACCACATTAGTAACTGTTGCAGCCCTGTCCATCAGAGTATCTCAGTCAGACTAAATGAAACTGCATACCTTTAGGACCGATTGGTCCCCGCGGTCCTTCTGCTCCATTCTGTCCCGGGCTGCCAGGCTCTCCAGGTGGACCAGATCGCCCAGGAAGCCCGTCTTTGCCTGGAGGCCCAGGTGGTCCTGGGCGGCCAGGACTGGACTTCACATGGGCTGGCTGTATCTGAGCCATGAGGTATGCCATTTTGGCTGCAAAAGCCGACCACATAGTCCATAAATAATTTCCCTAATTAGTTTCTTAGTTAAACTTATATGCTGTATGCTTTCATTCTTAATGTCTTTAATAGTTAATTACAACACATTCACTTCATTAAAGGTACCGTTTACTGTATAATACCTCAGAGCCTGATTAAAATCATGCAGTTAAAAAAGTAGACTGTCTATGTAATTGAGGGCCTGGTGGATACAAAAACCCAGAAGATACTAGGATCTCCAGGAACTAAGCCTGAGACCCAAGAGCTAGGCATTTTGTATTTTTAGATATGTCAAGAACAGAGTGGCTAGAGATCGGTCTTGAGTAGATTAATTAAATCGTTTTTCCACTTTGCAGGCTTATATAGTAAGTATTGGTAGCCCATTAATACATTTCAGTTTTACAGTGTCCTTCTCTGCTTTTACATTACGGTACACCACAGGTCCAGAATCACTTACAATAATTACTTAGGTTATTTTCTAGCTAATTTGGAGGCAATCCACATTATTATTGCAATAATCTTGAAAATTAAATGAAGTAAACTGTCACTACAGAAACAAACACCATCATGTTAACCATTCACCTGTAGTTTCTTATTCTTACCATCTAACTGTTTAGCTAATTCCTCTTGGATCATTCTTCGCATTTCTTCCAGTGACGTTGACTCTCCCTGTAATTTAAAATCACTATATTAATCATTTTGGAATCTTTTAAAACACCTTGCTTTCTACTCTTTATATTACTTTAACAGGGATGCTTCAGTAGTCTAGTGCCATTTCTTGTACAAAATTGCTCCATCCATTTTTGTTTTCACTTGGCAAAAGAAAGCAAACAGTGTAGACTAGATGGAGATGAACTAGACAGTATTTAACCTAGTGGCAGAATCCCTGTACAGACATATATATCATAATAGACTTTCAGTATAAAGTTTATGTTTCAAGAGTTTGAAACCCATATTTTATTATGAATAGTTTAATGGAAAAATATACTTCGTGAATGATAACAGGTTAAGGTTATTCTAGGTGGAACTGCAGCACTGTAAACATTGTCTTGTGACGACTATTCTGTGATCCATGATGCAATGAGCATCCATGTACAAGCATATAAACACACCTAAAAAATACACAGATTGTCAACCTGTTACCTGTTTATACATTGAGCACAAATTCTGAGCGAATTTCTTAATGACTTAAAGGAATCCTTTCCATTTGTTACGTAGTGTTGGAAATCAACTCATTGTTTTGAGACACTCTGCTCCAAACTGCTCTAGAGAGAGAGATGATCTCCCACTGCCAGCAGGGAGAAATAGAGACAGAGGTGCACTTCCTACTGCACTGTGACACATATTCTGGGATTAGAGAAATATTCTTCCCTAAATTCAGAAATCTAATCCCAGAGTTCCTACACCTGCCAGAATCACAATGGGTCCCCAATCCTACTGGGAGGGAGAAGGGAACTCAGGTAAACTGGCAGTCCAATATGTGCCTGAGGAACAGAAAGCCCATCTCCATATGTTAACAGTATATGTAAATATTTTATGATATGTCTGTAATACTGTATGTCTGTTGATTTTATTTTATTATTTTATTTTTTTCATGTTATTTTTTAATTTAATTTAATTTTATTTGCTTTGGCAACACTAATTGTACTCATCGGTCATGCCAATTAAGCATCTTGAATGGAACTGAAATTGAAGTGATTGATAAGGTACTCACCCGGGGCCCGGGGAAGCCTGGCTGTCCTGGTGCCCCCTGGGGCCCTGCTGGCCCTCTTTCCCCCTGAGGTCCTGTCATGCCCATCATGCCTGTGTGTCCTTTCCTTCCTGGAGGTCCGGGTTCTCCCGGGAGGCCATTGTCCCCTGGGGGCCCTTTATCTCCCTTGATCCCAGAGTCCCCCTGTACCACACCACAGTCAAAGTTTTCCATTAATAAAATAAGACTGTACAACCATAACATGTCTGTGATTCTAAACAGCGATACAAATCATTTCCCCTTTCAGAAGATGCACAGTAGCTGGATGATATTTTCATGTTAGTTAAAATGTTTTAGTTTCAGTGACTGCTGCTTTGAAAATGTTCTCAGTTTACAAACTCTTAGTATGTTAATTTGAATAAGACTACTAAATAATCAGTTACCAGTTCAGGAAACCAAATCAGGAAACCTGACTTGTAATGTTTACAATGAGACTAAAATAAATGGCTTTGAAAAAGTTAACTGAGAGAAAAATCGCTGAAGACAGTTGTGATGCTCAGATTTGTTTATGGGCACAGTACTCATACATTTTCTGCATCATTCACCACTAACTAGTGACAACCAAAAAAATGAAACCAAAAAGACACTCTCCAACATTTAGTTTACATGTAATATTTAGTAAAACAAATACTCGTTTCGTACTGTATTTGTAGCATTTTCCTTAATGAATGTAATTGTTTTCATTTTGGAGTTCAACTCTGGATGGGAGTGGACACATCCCCCCTATTTACAGTACATTCACTTTTTCAGGAATGCATCTGCTGTGTAAATTGAGAACTAACTGTATTTACAATATCTGTTCCACTTACCCTTTCTCCTTTAGACCCACGGTCTCCCGTCTTGCCTGGAATGCCCTGAAAAATAGTTTTATTCATGTCTGATAAAGTCCCCAAGAAATAAATGAATAATTCATCCACAATAAGTAATACTTACATCCTTTCCTTGAAGGCCTGGTTCACCTGGTGGTCCCTACATAGACAAAAAAAAGTATTTTTTTCCCTTGTTATTTGTTCCCTTTTATTTTTGTGGGCAGACATAATTCAAAATTCCTATAGCTTTCAACTGTCAAGAAATGTGAGAATGCACGTGTTTTATGATACTATTTATGACATGATTGCTTGTGCTAATAGCAAAAAAAGGAATATCTGTACACTCTAAATCATACAGTATATTTCTTTTTTTAAATAAGTCCACATTTTCAGAGTTCAAAACTTTACCAGTAACCAATTATTTTTGCAACTGATTTTATTTACTTCTCCGTTGTTACAAACAACTTCAATAAATGGGTTACATCGTACAGCCATTGACGTACTATTTAAACTTTGAAGGGCTGACAAATTAAAACATTTGGTATGTTTCCATTCTTACTATATACAGTAGCAAGCATAACAGTTTATTTGCCGTCATATTTAATTTAAGAGATGTTGGTGGGCTGTTGCCCCAGGCTGTTGTCTCAAAGGTTAACCTTGATGGGGGAGGGGAAGCACGTTTAAGAATAACTTAGTGAACATGCAATTTTTACAGGAGGTATCACAGGAAATTTGTCATATGAGATTTAATCTGTTAACACTGAGGGTAACCCTGGCTCCTTTCTCACCAAAGAGGCGATTTCACATTCCCAATAACCATGACTCCAACAATAGAGACAATATGGAACCATCTTCCTTACCACAATACTGTTAAAGCACACAATCATGACTTCTGCTTTTATACATATTGAAATAGTTTCCAAGTTGTTGCTTCTATATGTGATTAAGATATTTCCTGATTAAGCTAGTGCATTTAACTGGAGATCTGCAATGCCCGTGATTGGTTTCACTATTTAAACTATAATTAGAAGAGGGTTTATCCAAACTGGAGGTTGCATTTAGGACATTAGGATTTTTTTTCAGGACACTGAGACAACTCTTGGAAAATCAGGACAAGCTCCAAGCAGCTAGGACATGGAGTCAGACATCTAATCTATTAGACATTTAACATGAAATCTTAATGACATAAAAAAGAATGTTTAAGTTACAAATAAAATAAATATCTACTTACCGGAGGCCCTCGCGGGCCTGCAAAGCCAGGCAGTCCAGGGCTTCCACTATCTCCTTTATGACCCTGGGGTCCCTGAATTACAATTAAAAGAAAAATATGATTTTGTGGCAGGTGAGTTAAAATGACACATTGATACTGATAACTCTATGGAAGGATTGCAATTGATTAACAGTTACTAGTAGCTATAATAAATTAAGTGCTCTTGAAAAAGATAAGTAATATAAATCTAGGGATGTAATTAAGAGAGAGAAGTTTGGAAATACATTTGTACACTTTTCTCTCTTTGACTGAAGTTTTATTAAGTAAACAACTTCATACTCATTAGAGAAGGAAGATATGACTGAAATATAGATGTGATTGCTGTAGCTCTATTCTGCTCCCATTAGAATTTGAGTCATTTGTGAGCAGAAATCCATAATATATCAGTCCCCTTAAAGCAATGAAAACTGTTATGCCAAAAGACTGAATCTCCTTTTTTAGGAGAATTTTGAACTGTCTACAGTAGGTTTCAAGGGGGTGATGCCGCTTTCTGCAACATGATTAGTGCCACTGAGCTCTGTTACTGTATATAGATATAGCAGATAACAAGTCTCTTGGTCATGCTGCATCTTTCTAAGATTAAACGCTCAGAAAAAAAAGTAATTCTCCATAGGTTATTTTAAATCTTCCACTTACCGGATTTCCTATGGGTCCTGCTTTTCCTTGTGGTCCAGGTGGGCCACTTTTACCCTAATGAAAAACATCCAAATCTCTTCGTTAAAATTACAATACAATTCCAACTAATATTTAACAATAGTTGCATAGTATTATGAAAGAAATAATCATAAAGAAACAAAAAAACATGTTTGGTATTTATCCATGGGTGTGTGGAGTCTGTATGTTCTCTCCATGATCTTTTTGGTTTCCTCCAGATGATTTGGTTTTCTCCAACATACAGTATAAACTCATATGCATGTACGGATGGTCCAAATGCATACTGTGGTTTCATAGGCTTGTGAGAAAACTGGCCCTGGTATGAAGGTGCACATGTCTGTGTTTGTATGTGTCCTGCAATCGGCTGGCATTCTATTCATGGTGTACCCTGCCTTCTCCCAGTTGCTTTGGTTTGGCCGTGACCCTAAATTGGGTGAAATGGTTAGAAAACGGGTGTACTGGATGGACTTAACCAAATGCAAGCCTAAGATCAAAGGTGTCCAACACTGGTCCTGTAAAGTCATGTTGTTTTCTTGCTTTCATTCATCTTTCAGGAATTAATGATTTGATTGAGGAAATACGAACATGCTTTATAGAAAACTAATAAATGACCATCCAATGTTACCTATCAAACTTATAGTACCATGGTTGTTCCAGACCAAGTTTAGAAACCCTTGTTTCAGAAGCAATCGTGCAGTGTCATCATACAGCACTAATACTGTATAAAAGCAATAATTGCACTAATGCTAATGGGAGCAATTACATCCTTTAGCTTGGTTGTGTCAAAACCTAAGATTGATTCTTCAGTACAGGGATCGACATTCTCAGGTTGGTGTTGCAAGTGGTGTTGCTTGACTAGTAGAAGCCTTTCCAAAGAATTTCCAAAAACCCTACTATGGTGACCAGGGACAGTACAGTAGGTGCCACTCTTTAAAAGACACATTAAGCTCACTTCCGAACTACTGCTATAGCACTTTTATTGAAAGAGTATGGGTTTTAACTCTAGTGTGCTGGATAGATTACTCTAATTATTTACTTGAATTAATTCACTGATCTGCTCGGTAGTGGGGGTGCCATGCTGCCATGTTGGCTGAAGTGAGCATCAACGTTTTTTTTCCTATATGTAAAGCATTTTGAGATCTTTGGGTTTAAAAACACAAAATAAGTGCTAGGGATCATCATTGAATTGTATACTGTATGTAGTGAGCAATAAGACTGGATGAGTTTTATGTAACTTTTCCATATCTTTTTGCAAAACCCAAGTTCACATTTTCTGAAAGAATATCTCACCTGTTCTCCTCTAGGTCCTCTGGGTCCCTCTGCACCTGGGCGACCAGGGTCACCCTGAAAGACAGCCAATGAGACAGTCTTGCATTTTTGTTTTGCAGGAAAATGTAACTATGAATTGATCAAGACTAAACTGGCCAATAAATATGGCTTCTCAGTAGAAGGGATTGCTACAAAAAACTCAAATTCAAATCAGAATTTTCCCTAAAAAGTATAACTCTTTTGGTTTAAGTGGCAAAGCTGCCAGTGAAATTTAAAAGAAGTAGAAAAGCACTGAAGCAGGTCACTTACATCTTTTCCAGGTTTTCCTGGGGGTCCAAGGTGTCCAATTTTTCCTTCTTCACCCTTGCGAAAAGAATACATAAGGTACCACTTTTTTTTCTTTCAGCTTTGAAAATGGAAATATAATATACTGTATATCTATATAGGAAATCAGATGCTTATCACAGTAATTAGAGTGTACTCAAGGAAAATGTATTCCACACATACTCATGATGGATAGTGAATATTCCATCTTTGTTCCAGCTGTACCTTAAGGAACCCTGAAATATTACAATTTCTTCAATTCTGCTTTAATTATGCATTTTAAAAGAATGAAGACAAGTAATAGCCTAAGCAGTAAGTTCAATTTAAAACACTCTTGAATGTCTTTATCTTTTTCACAAAAAGCTATCATTATATTCTGCATATATCTATGAAAAATCTAATGTACAGTATATAATACACTGCAGAAAATAACTACTGCAGCAATCAAATAGGTTGTAGGGTAGCATGGATCTCATTTATACTGATAAATGCAAAAAATATAGTTATTTATTGTAAGGAAATGTTGTTTGCTCATAAGTGTAGTGGGTAAATAGAAATTCAGTTTTAAACTTTTTTGATTCAACATAACATGCAGTGTACCCTCTCCCTAACAAAACTGTGTTGGTGTAAATACTGCATTTGGTGTCAAAACCGAATTAGCATAATAAGTAATTGGAGACCTGGAGGTTAAAGTGCATACATGAATATGCAACCCGCTATTTGAAAACCAGGAAGCTTGAGATTTCCTCATATCTATTCAAAAAGCAATTTTAGAAATTCATCCATCTTTGAGAAACAGCCAGAATTTTTAAAATCCCTAGTATTCTCAGCACATGAATAAATACATCTCTTTTCACAAAGCCTCATTTCAGGTTTCAAAATCAGCCTCATTTGAGACCTCTGCAGAGGACACTGATTAACAAACATAGCATGACTCATCTCTCCGATTAGGGCACCTGCCGATCTGTTCCTCAAAGATTCCTTAGCAGAAAGAACAAATTCTAGTAGGTGGTATGCGCATGTTCCCAAAGCCCAAGTGGAAATGGGTTTTTCTTTTTTGGCTCAAGAACATGAAATAGAAAGTACTTTTCTGATTCTTATAGTTTCTCCCAGCACTGTTAATTGTGTACAGTAGTGTTAGAATGATTTAGATAAATAGCTTACTTTGGGACCAAGAGGACCAGGTTCTCCTCTGTGTCCTTTAAAACCCTGGAAAAAAAGTCATTTTTATTTTGAAGTCAGAAAATGTTTAATTTAAATTTAAATTAAAATATAATACAGTATTTAATAACTGGCATTTACTTAGGTTTCAACATAACCTTTATTGTCTCATTGTACAGTCAGTATTTGGTTGCCAATATATTAGTGTACCATCAATCATTTCTGCAGCATACTGTATGTAGAATAAGTGAGGGCACTGAGTTTGGACATTCATGTAGTTTGGAGAAGAAAGAAACAACTATTAAAAAAGTATAAAAAGAATACTAACATTTCTCTAGAATTCAAAGAAAATACTGGGAAAATGCATCTAAAACTGAGCTTTAAAGCAACATTGTTTTGTAGGTAATTACAGTAGGTCAGTGAATTGTTCCTAACACTTTTAAACATTTCTTTATAATTATCTATTTTACATCTCTGAATAAAAATGTCTTGGCATAATTGTTCTTATGTTTATTACATCTTACAATCAGCTTTTGACAATGTGTGCTGAACATATTGTATAGAAACAAAGTGTGCAAAGTCAATGCTTGTAGTTTACAGAATGAAAAGTCTCTTAGATCCCATTACTGATCAAATTATATGAATGACGTAAAGTATACTGTTTTTTTTACAAAGTAATGTCATGCAACTAGACAATGAAATTTCTGCATTTTTCTGGATCATTATAAATTTAATTCCAGAATGTGAGCAAATAACACAAAGACTAAATGCAGATTCAACAGAATGGAAGACGAGATATAATCTACGGCATCCTCTAAACCAGTTGTAATCCAGATGAACTGGGTGAACAACTGTTTTAATTAACACTTACAGGAAGTCCTCGCATTCCATCTCTGCCTGGAGGACCTGGTTCCCCCTGTTTACCCTTTGAAGAAATACACACAAAACCACCAACAATATAGTAGCCATGATAATAAACCTTGGATCATAAATACAGACAAATCAGTTTTGATACATTAGTAATGAGACAAGGAACACATTAATGGTGGTAAAGTCCCAACAATGCTGACAGAAATACACCCTACATATGAAAACATTTCATTGTAATCATATTTGTAATTGTAAGTACAAATGGTCCTTAAGCATTATCTGGTATAAAGGCTACGCTGACTCTATGTCCAGTCCATTAGATATGCTCAAATTACACAGGTACCTTCAGTGAGATGAGGAAATTCGATCTTTTGTTTCAGATTATCCATAATAAATCAAGAAGACAGCAAAACAGAACTATTTTCAAGCAGTACAAGATACAGTTGGCCTGTTGGCCTTATTATTTTCCTTTCACTTCCAGGGACTGTATTTGACATAGTTTAGAAGAGCTTTCGAAATCTGTTTTAATATAGGAATTCAACCTGTTTCTAAGCAACAGGATTCTGCAGCAGTGCTGAGGTATGAAAAAGAAGTTACCCAGGATTGTATCACCAAGATAAAGGAGACAAGGACATCAGGAGGCATTGCTATAGGGTGAAATATATTGATTCTGATGGTTTCCTACCGGATCTCCTGGCTCTCCTGGACTGCCATCTTTTCCATTCTTTCCTGCCAATCCCTTGAATGAAAGAGAATGAAGAAAGCACATTTAGAATGGCATTATTGAAATCACACTTTTTATTGGTAGTGATTGTTTTGATGTGAAATTGTAATGTAAGCCTTAAGTATAAAAGCAGTCACAGTGGCATCTCAGACCAATTAGAATTCATTCCCCAGTGCTATCAACAACTTCTAAATTCTGACTTCGCTAACCCCAGGCAATTACTCATCATGTGATTACGGTGCCACTATATCAAAATGTCACCCGCTATAAACACTAATCAGTGCAGAGCAAAATTCCACTGCTTTCCTGTAATGGTTCATCATTGAATATTACATTGATTAATATGTTAAATTCATTAGTTCTTTCTTTTCTATCCCTAAGGCAGAAAATCAGTAGTAAATATTCAGCACTGACATTTGCACTGTTCTAATCCAATTATAGGGATATTACCTATCCTGTGAAAAAAAATACACATACTTTTGCTCCTGTACAAATCATACTGAACATATATCAGTGAAAAGGATAATATCTGCCCTTTCTGCAAAAGATTATTGTAAAAACATGCCTTAACTCACCATTAAACCTGGTAGTCCTGGTGGCCCCTGGATTCCTTTAAGACCCTCTTTACCCTGGTAAAACCATATTGGTTAATTTATGACTTTTACTGTTTAGGTTGCATTAATCCACTAATCTTAAAAAAAAACAACATTTTTTTGTTTCTTGACTAACATCCTGAAAACAGATGAAGTATTTGAATCTGTGGTTTGTATTAGTTTGCCAAACATGCCAATTATATTGTCTATGTTAAAATAAGCATAGGTCTGTTATTCTCTGGGGAAAAGTATTTCCGACAATTGAAGGAAAGAGCTTAGAGAGGCATAAATTTAATATAAATGTATAATTTACAGCAACTGTGTATCTGTTTCATTTCTGAAATTAGACACAATATATCCTGTATATAACACCATATTTATATACATAACTGTATTTACTATATACTGTAACACATAACACCATGGTTACATCAACACAGAAACTGCTGTCTTCACTGTGGTACATTGGGTTGTAAATAAATGAACTCAGCTACTGTATGTGTTCTTACCTTTTCCCCAGGAGCTCCTGGTGGACCTGCAGGTCCTGGGCTACCATCTGCTCCCTAAGAGAAAAGACAAAAACTTTATCCGCTTCAAAACAAGTCACTTCTTAAAGATTTATTCCATGCTGTAAAAAAGAAGAAAGAAAACACAACGTTTCGGCCGTGGAGCCTTCTTCAGGTGTAAGCTCCATGGATCCACGGCTCCACAGCCGAAACGTTGTGTTTTCTTTCTTCTTTTTTACGGCATAGAATAAAACTATTACGTGTTCCTTTGCAGCCTACGCATGCTGACGCAGCTACCAACCTGAACGTCTTAAAGATGTCTACCGTATCTACCATAGATAGTACTCCTTCTATTAGTTTTAAATCACAGTACTATAAACATAGATTGTTACAAGTGATACTATAGATTATTTGACTTTGGTATTATTTGACTGGTATCTTAACCATCCTTACATGTATCTAAATAATATAAAGTCTAAAAAGCAAGATACTGTATATTTCAAGACCATACAATAACGAAATAAATATAGGAAATAACGGTAATTATACTAAATTGCAGTTATGAACATCTTAGTTCATTTGTTTTGCTACTGTATTAAACACTTCCAGAATGCTGTTTTTTATTTCACATGATTCTCAAATACTGGGAAAAAACTTTTATTCCTCATTTGTAAAAACAACACACAAATATACAGTTGAAAATAAAGAGGTTGCTGTACAGTATTATAAATATCAGCATGACACTGATTATCTGTGTATTGCAAAAGCATGTTCAAATAATAACTGAAATGTTTCATAGATTACTACAGTACTCTATATCTTCATTGAACTACAAGAAACAAAATAAGATTTGGTTCACTGTGGCCTTGAACGCGACCTTACAACAACAGGCTTTTAGCCAAAACAGAACAAAGAAAAAATCACACAAACATAGTCAGAGGTGTGTGTACTGAAGAGAAGAATCCTCAAAGGCATCGACAAAATTAACCCCAATGGATTTCTTCAAAATCAACAGTGAAGCATGAAGTGAAGGTTACAAGCAGACACTGCGGGACATACAACTGAAAAAAGGAGGCTGTGCTTCACACAAATGGATATGGGAGTCTACAACAAGCTACCCAGCCATGTTGTTGATGTCAATATAATGGCTTCTGTCAAGAACGGGTTGGATAAGATCCTCAGATCCATTAGCAACTGAACTAGATGAGCTGAGTGGTTTTCTTTTGTTTGCAGCCCTTAATATGTTCTTGCAGCCCATACATAAAAGCAAGAAATGAAATGTATGAAGTGTATGGTTGAGCGCATTCTACATTTCTCTTTTGAACCTTAATGAAAATATTACTGTAAACAGTTGATATTCCAATGACTTTCTGAGTTGAGATTAGCTGAAAGGCCCGACTAGTAAATTTGTATTTTCTATTTCTATAAGCAGGTGGCACAGTGACACAGAGGTTAGCATTGCTGCCTCACTGCACTAAGTGACCTGAGCTCAATTGTGAACTTGGGGTGCTACCTGTATGGATTTTTTATGTTCTCCACATGTTCACGTGGGTTTCCTTCAGGTGCTCCAGTTTCCTCCCACAGTTTAAAGACATACTACTATCTTAATTGGCTTCTGGTAAAATTGGCCCTAGGTGTGAGTGTGTGTGTGACTGGCATCCTATTCAGGTTGCCCACTGCCTTGCACCTGTTGCTTGCTGGGACAGATTCTGGCCTCTACAGCCCTGAATTGGAAGAAGCAGTTAGAAAATAGATGAATGTTTTTTTTTATTTACTATTGGTAGTTATTTTCTATAATATACCCATAAACAGCAGAACCACTAGATGTTAAAGACAAAACTCGATGGTTGCAGCCCCTGAGCCACAGGTGATGAATGAAATCCTGCAACATTTACTCAACTCAACTCCTCTGATGCCTCAATTGCCAGAACTAGTTACTATTTGCATGCTGGAAGTTTAAGTGCCTTAAGAGATACTGTAGGTAGTGTCTAATGGAAGATATTTCATCCAGCAGGTCCCGAGAGTAAGCACAGTGCTAAATTCCAATTTAACCCAAACTGGTCAAAGTTCTCCCAACATCAGTAGCATTATGTTAAGTGTACACCCTCAGTCCTAGTTGGGCAATTTTAGTCATAATTGTCCCAATTTCAGTCATAACCACTTTGACGATTGAACTCCTTACAATCTGTCTTTTCACAGAAATGTAGTATACAGTATTTTGCACTAGTGACAGTTTCAGCTACTACAGTAGGTAAATTGAGGAGGGAATACTTACAGATTGCCCTGGTAATCCCGCTGCCCCAGGATATCCAGGAGCCCCTGGTAATCCCTGAATAACAATACATAGACACGATTAAGAAGCTTTACATCATGTTCAGCAGCACATGACTCACATTTATCATCTCATCATATTTGTATGACTAATATTTTTAATATTACCTTTTCACCTTTCTCTCCAGCTTCACCAGGAGGTCCGCGATCCCCTTTTCCACCCTGTTGAGAAAACATGCAATAAAATTAGAGTGACAATTTCTAAGACTGGCATTTCAGTCTCCCGCACCTCTAAACATTGCTCTTAGTTATAATATACAATCTGATATCACACATTTCACGTCTTTGGAGCAGGAAGATAAATTGTGTAAATTAAGCATTATGCCTGCTTATACATTCCAGCCACTGAACCTTGTTTTGGTTTTCAAGTACAGCAATTTGAAATTATTGTGGAAGAAGAAAGCAGCCCTAAAATCAATATAGAGGCTTTTAGAAGCTATAAACTGGTAAATGCTTAAAAATAATGCCAAACAATCAAAATAATCACATTTATGATTATATTTCTCCCCATAATTTAAGGGAACATTTAATTAAATGGATATGATCTGTTTATTTTTAGGTAGAGGACAAAGCGAGATGAAGACAGTGACACAAAGAAAAAACATTATGCAAGACTATGAAATTATGAATAATGCAACTTGCTGTATTAAGTATCTTTGATCCTGGTGCAAACCATACTGCAGTTTTCTTTGGTATAATAAAATATATTTTAGAAATGCTGATCTACAGTATGCCTTGTATTTCACCATACATAGAGTATATCACATACTGCACAGTATTTTCAAGATAATGCAATTTTCTGGGACCATGATACAGTACACTCTTATAGTGGACTGCCACATCTGGATCAGAGCTTATGAAAACTTACCTTGATGCCATCCATCCCACGTGGCCCTGGGGGACCTGGAGGCCCAGTGGGTCCCTGTAATTAAGGATAGCTCTTTTATTAAGGTACTTTGTCTAAGAAAACATAGAACAAATGAAATGACACATTACCTCAAATTTACCTTGTGTAAAACAGATGTAGTGTATTTATATATTATTATATCCAATACATAATACAGTAGAAAATGGCTAATTTACAGGGCAAATTGAAGGGAAATAGTATTTTAGTAGCAACTGCAAAGGGAAAAAAATAAAATGTCTATATAAATGAAAAATCCCTTGGGAGTGGTTATGTTAATGTATAGTGTTTTGCTTATTGGCTGTAGCAGAGGAATTATAACCACATTTTATGATTCTATATTGATAATACTAATACTAACGTGACAAAACTTAACGTGAAGAATGTTAAATGTCCCATTATTTGATTTTATTTCATAATATTCATATTAATAATATTAATTTAATAATTATGAATTGAAAACAAATAAAGAACATTGTTGTTGTTGATTTGTTCCCATTATATTTCTATTACAATAATCATATTTCTTACATAAGTACCCTCCAGTAAAAGGCTGCAGTATCCAGCTTCTCTGTAATCCCCACTTCTAAACTTAGAATTACCGTTCTAAGTTTGCTGTTTTTAATGCCAACAATTTCGATGTCTAGGGGGAGTCTGCATGCTTCTGCTCAGAATGCCAGTTTTTTGTTCCAAACGTCACAAACAATTCTACTAATAATGAAACTAAAAAAAGTAATTAAATGGTATTTAAGATTTTGTATTTTTGCTTCAAACTAAGCTAAAAAGAAATGCTTAAAATCCAATGGCCATACTGTATTCATGATTCTGTGTTTAATTTTGTTTTAAAAAGCCCAGTCCAAAATCTAAAATTTAACAGTCATGAAAAGTATTGTTCAACAACAATCAAAAAAACATAAACCTGTGTGTTTATAAAGGAAACAAATTAATCATGGACCTGTTGAAGCTCCTTTTACATCCTGTGTTTTAATGTGCCAGTTTTAAACAGGTCATATTTTAGGTTAAATTTTATTAAATACAATTCCCTTTTGAAAATGTGAAAGAAAAACACCTTCCACCTCAAACTATAAAAGATTTTATAGTGTAGCACTTCTCATACCTGGTACCCGTCTCGACCATCTTTTCCTGGAGGGCCTGCTGGCCCTTTGTCTCCTTTAAAACCTGGCATACCTGGCACCCCAGGAGGTCCCGGTGGACAATCTTTACACATATCCTGAAACAACACAACTGTAAAACATAAGGACTGGAATCCTATACATAGATAGCATTCTTAATTACAAAGACGTTTTGTGCTTCACTGTTTTCTGAGCTTGTCTTTGCTTCTTTCAATATTTTTCTCTCCAAATATACTTTATCATGTGTCATTCCAATTCAGAAAACCCAGTTACATCTCAACTCTCAGCAAAAACTGCTGTAGACAAGAAAGGGAAATGAGGAGGTGTCTGCCCACCCATCAAGCCTTTCATCTTTGTTCCACTGAGAGTTGAGAAAACATTGGCCAACCATAATATCTAACAGTGCTTTAACAGAGTAAATTGTGTGCTTACACCTACAGTAAATCATAGGATTCCCAGTATCTCAGTCACAGTCATCTTGTAACATGACCATTGTTCCCAACCCTATACCTAACAGTGCTGAGTAAGTTGTGTGCCTCCACTTAAATCATAAGATTCCCAGTATCACAAAGTTTCATCTCTGGTCTGAATGAGTGTCTTTGGCAGGTTTGTTACTCAGGTGCCCTGCAAAAATGTTAAAATCTCTACTATAGGTCCTGCAGCAGAAAATGTAATAAAAATATTCTCTTTCATGGAGCCAATTGTTTGTGAATATTTTAACATCACTGGTGAGAAAGAAAAAATAAAAACAATAATTTCCTTTTCCTAATTTCCCAGAACAAGGTCTTTTTCCAGGCTTCAGATGTACAGTACATGAAACATAGTTATAGAAAGTGTAAAAAAAGCCAAAGCATATATTGAAAGAAAGCTGTGAGCGTGAAAAGCTAGCTTTTTTCAGTGTAAAGCATTTGTGCATCTATTTTATTTTTCTTGAAGAAAAAAAACAGTCTAACACCTCACTTTAATTCAATGTTGTCCTCACCTTAAGGAAAGCTGAAAGATCTTTTTCAGAAAGTTCTGCGGCTTTTCCCTGTAGAAAGAACAAACAACAATCTTATTGTATACATTAGTTTTGCATATACTGATCAAGTGTTTTAACTAATTTTAAAGGCATTGTTTCTTAAGGGCTTGTGGTGTACATTAAGCCATATCATCCCAGATTTGTTACATATTACTGTGAAAGTCTTTGTATTTACAGATTGAGTGGCTACCAAACAGCATTGTATTTTTATACTGTGAAATTTAATACATACTGGCTCTCCTGGGGGACCCCTGTCACCTTGTCTCCCTGGCAAACCCTGTCATAAAAGAAATACTGTATAAACACACATAAATACACACATAAAACTCAGAGAAATAAAATAGTTTAATTTGTGACTTCATACATTTATAAATAACACTTTTGAGTGTTATTTATAAATGTATGTCCTTTTAAGTCATGTTAAGTTTTAAGTATATGAACACAATCAGTAAAATCATGCAAAGTCATTTGAATCATGCTAAGAAAAATATTGTAATGTTTTTTGTCCTTTTGTTTTAGATTTCAACATATTGTAGTTCAACATATTTAACCATAATAATAGCAGCTGGACAGAAAATATATGTTCTGTTAAAATTGTACAAAATTGTTGGAAGCGTGTATAGAATTATAATGGCAACATTGCAAAAAGCATATTAATGCTACAGGACCTTTGAAAACAGTTTCTGAAACTAAGGAAATACAGACAGAACAAAGAGACTGAAACTTCTACTCTTCAAAAAGACTATTATAAGGTGTCCTGATAAAAGTATTAATTAATATTATATATAACTTGTTTTATAATACTGTACATAAATGAATAATTATATATGAAATATAATATATGTATTATTAAATAATTATTGGTGTATGAAACAAACTATCCAGGTATGTTCAAGATACAGTATATTATATTTCAGGGACAGCAGTGTTAGGTCTACAGACCAATACACGTCTTGCAAACAAAGAAGCTAAATGGTTTGAATGATCATCTGTCTGTTGTCTGTTGTTTGGATTTTTTAATGTTTTTATCTAGTCATTGTATTAAGTGTTCTTACATTATGCCCTGGTGAACCCTGTGGACCAGCAACACCAGGTAATCCTCTTAGGCCCTGAAGAAAAAAGAATAATAATGTAGGCATTCATGTAAAACACACAACTACCATTGTATGTTGACATCACCATAAATACAATATTTATGACCCTTCCTACCAATCCATTCATTCATGACAATGCAGGTGATGCTGAATGATAATTTTTGACACTTTGTATCCTAGGAAGGCAGTTTGTATTGGATATCTCCAGCTGTTGTCTTTGAATTTACAGTTGCCTCCTGAACCACTATACCTCTGTATCTACAGGCTTCAATGTCTTAATAATAGACGTTATATCGTAAAGTGGTTGATGGAGGTTTTTTTGTGAATTCTCATAATCATCCTCCAACATGTGGAGGTCAATGTCCATTTGCTTGCAGTCTCAGATCTTAACCATGATGATATATAATACTGCTAAATGTATTCTGTATGTAACCGTCTTTAATATCCCAGAGAAATACAAAAGCTTCTGTAGTCTCTATGTAAAATAGTTCTGTAGGCTTACAATGCATTTCCAATGAGCCTGTTATTGTAGAATTTTTAGGTTGGATTTTATTTTGAAATAATTAGAAATGTGAACAAATGTGACATCTACAGATGCAATTATCTAGAATGTGTGTCAAAACTCACATCAGCAGAAATCACAACGCAGTATACGCAGTGTCCAAACTGGCACACCTCCTTCTGCCCTTCACAGCTTAAAACAGATCACTATATGACACTTGTGTTGTGTCAGATGTTTCAGATGGTTTCATTCTAGCTGGGCTAGTGGTTTTATTGACAATTAATTTTCCATCACATCTCAAAGTGTCATTATAAAGCCAATAAGCAGCAAAGCTTTAAGATTACTGATGTTATGAAACGCTCTTGAATTCCACACCTCCACCTTTCCCCCTTTCAGAGATGCTGCTAGAAGTTGCCAAATAATCATTCTCAATGACCCATTTTCAATGTCTGAACAATGTAATCATTATATTTAATGAAATTGTCACTAGTATGTACTGTATACAGTATAATTAGCACAGGAAAACACTATTGGGTTAACAAACAGTTAATATTTTACAGATTCTTCTTAAAACCACACACTGCTGTGGTACTTTAAGGATTTGTTGTGCCATCTAACAGTGTTGTAGAGTAGTGCATCTTGCAAAAAAAAGTGATCACGTGTTGGAATTGTGACACCACTGAACCTCACACATTCTAGATTTCTACATTTGTATATTTGTATATTGGAATTCAGAAACCTATGACAAATGTGCAGTAGCTTTGTCCTGTACTATGCTATCAAATTTGCAGTGTAGCATACAGTACATATATTCAGTTTTTGTTCCTTTTCACCAAATGTATGAATAAATCTGGGGAGTACTCTGTATTGTTCTATTCAAAATTGTAATTATATATATACTGTTATTATTTGAAATAAACAGATGATTAAACTGAATTAAAATTATTTTGGCCAGACTGTAGATTGCTATATTTTTTAGTATTTTGGACTTTTTAATAATGGATGAATTTATGTTTTCATAATTCAAATAAACATATGAGTTAATGCATTGTGCTTATTATATGTACATTATGTACACGATATATCACAATGTACTCTATATATTGAGCATTTTGTGACAGAAATCTAAAAAACTAAATGTTTTTCTTTGAATCATAAACAGTTTACAAGCAGTTCTTACATTAATCAGAGGGAAAGAGTTTGATTCAAAAACATATGTATACATATTTTATTATTTGTATCATATTTCAAAGCCCTGTAATAATATTTTCTTTTAATACATTTGTTTTTTTCTTTGTTCATATTTGCTGATCATATTCCAATTTGATTTTGAGCATAAACATAGCTCTGCCCTAGTAAATTTAATAGTCTAAGAACAGTGGTAAAATAAATTGAATTCACATGTTATGTTATGTGTAAGTGCATGAAATACGTCTGAATTCCTTGTACACACCAAATCCACAGTGATTGCTTACCGGTGGTCCTTTTTCACCCTGGGCTCCAGCTGGTCCCTAAAATGATGAAGTGATCAAATTATTAATGTAGTGGCCATCAATAAAAGGGATGACAACACTGAAACAAAATTACAGTATAACCTACCACATTCTACTTATATTATGCATAAGGTCATGGTAACAATAATTAGAATATAAATTGATGTCCATCTGTGTGCAGATTTGTAGGAAAGTTAAGTTAAAAGCTAAAAACAATAATGAACTCACAAAGTACAACATTTCATCACTTTCTTGATAAAAGAGTAATTGTCAAATGACAGGTGGTAGTCATTCTGAGAAATGTTAGTGTATTTTGAATTAGAATTGGCTAATAGAAAACACAGAGTAAAGTTAAGGTGTGAAAGCTCAAAACTGTGATGTAATCAGGACTTTGCTAAATCAACCTGTGTTAAGATCTCCTTTCTATGTAGTTTTTATGAAGCAATCTAGATATTGGTCTAGTTTGTAAACTAGTGAAGTTTATACCAAAATCTACTGGGAGAACTATGAAGCACTGTATAAACCGCAAAGAAATTTTCAAAGAGTTTGATACTGTATAATTCAAGACTGAGCAAGCACATGCAGTTGATGTAGACAAGTGCACAGTATTAAATGCAGGTAATAGAAACATAAATCATGGATATAAAACAGGAAATGAGGCTTCAATATGAGAAAAAATATGTTAATGCTAATATATTTTATACAGATTTGCATACTGCCATCCTTAAAGTAAGAAAGTAAAATTAAAAAAAGCAAATTTATTAAAGCTCATTTTTCTCAGCTCATGCATTTACTCTGCATAGATTGATGAGATATGAATATAGTGGAATATCCCAGAGAAAAGAGAGGTTGAACAAATTTACTTGATTTTGCAGAATGTCTGTACATTAAACAATTGATTTGGTTTAAGATTTAAATTTCACCATATCCTGAAGTGCAGTGCAGAAAATGGGAACACTGTCAGAAGATGATACTACTGGTTACAAAAACATGCAAGCAGTATTGGAATATTACAATGTTTGGGAGCACACAGACAATAATTCAATGGACCTCCCAAGAAAGTAGGAAAAGCAAATTGCTATTTATATATGATTAAAATGTAAATTCACTTTAAATCTGTATAGCATAAAGGAGGACTTGTTTTTCTTGCTGCTGTATATATTGTAGCAGCATGCACAGTTGATTGTGATACAAGTCAGCAATGCTTTTGCACATACTGTACCTGTATATTGTGAAATTGGGTGTTTCCAATTAAAGAACACTTTAACGTTTTAATAAAATGAGGTTATATGATCATCTAACCTAGTGATAGTCTTATTAAAGACTACTGGGACAATTGGGACAACTGGAAATTTACTTAAAGAAATCTGAACTTCCCTGTAAGGCTCATAACCTATTGCTTGAATGATAGTGTACAGAATGTTCCCATAAAAAAGTTCAGTATTTTAGTAACAATAACATCGATACAATCCAACAATATATTGTGCCAAAACATTGATGAATGCACTAATGCCTATTGTATAAACTTTTTAAGATGTCAGATCGCAAAAAATATCCTTACATTATCTTATTGCTGTCATGTTCAATAAGTAGTGCCCTGCAACATGAAACACATGGTTTGTGGGAAGCAGCTAGACATGAAAAGACCAGTAGCAAATGTGAGGAGAGGTTATACTGTACCAGAGGTCCAGGACGCCCAATACCAGGTGGGCCTCTGTCTCCTGGAAGACCCTGTAACCCAGGGGCACCAGTTTCACCCTAAAAAGCATTAGGAAGAAAGTGAATTTTATCAGTGTGAGTCCCAGTTATAAATGAGATCATCTTAGGAAAGAATTTGGCCTGAAGTTCTGATTGTTTATAAACAGTATATAGGTGATTCATCTGAAAGAACCTGCATGCCTGACAATTTCTAAACAATGAGTGATTGGCTTTAGTTTACTTGACAACAATGATGTCTAGAGGTTTCGGCAGCCATTAATCATTGAAGACTTTTCTTAAAGCAAGCAATTTCTGCATGCATGGACTCTCTATACTTTTAAATATAAAAATATATTTCTTTATATTTATCCTCTATTTGTAAAGAAAAACTTTGCCATTTTTAGGGTGGGAAACTGTTTGTATAACCTATATAATTTTCTGATTACTATTATTTGAAGATAATTTTATTATGTTATAAATACTATGATATTACTGTTTCTTTAAGCAAAACTTCAGGTGTTTTTTTACAGTCACTAAGTAAAAACAAACAGTTAATAAATTATAAAGGTAAATGTGATATGTCCATATTTATTTCAAAATCCAAAAAGTGTAAATATTTTCAAATTACTTTTTATGCAGTTACTTGCAAAATATTAAAGAATACTTGCATCTTTCAGAGCCAAAAAAGAATACTCTACACTAAGACTCTACTCTAAGACCAAGATAAGATAAGATCACTTTATTAGCCATATACAATTTCTTGTATTAGGAATTTGTCTTTTCGCAGACCCCAGCTCTCTCTCCATGAGACACGCAGACAGAGAGAGAAGCTTGGGGTCAGAGTGCAGGATCAGCCATTGTACAGCGCCCCTGGAGCAGTTGGGGTTAAGGGCCTTGCTAAGGAGCCCAACGGAGTTCCTCTGCTGGCTGCGGGATTTGAACTGGCAACCTTCCAGCCACAGGGCATTCACCTGATACACACACTCTCATCTTGCAAGAAAATTGTTTTTACACAAACAACTTGAGGCCATGCTGGTATAATGTCATGTATTATAAGTATGACACTGCAGAAAGAGCAGCAAGTGGGGTCCCGCTTGATCAATGAACACTGTACATCATCAATCTTGACAAGTGAAATTCTATAGTGACTCCACACTCTAGTCCAGACCACAACATTTGATTGATTGGCCTGTTCTGCACAACAATTAGCATATTTTTGTGAACATGTGCACAACACTAGCTCACATCCATCACGGTGGTATACATAGACTTGATGTAAGAATTCAGCCTCGAACATATCAATGACAAGAAAGCATTGTTCTCTTGAAAGGTAGAACATATTGATTCCTTTCTGTGTTTTGTCTTTCTCGATTTTCATAGTGTTTGACATCAAACAAGCTAAATCACTTTATCACCCAGGCTCAATCATTTAATCAGGAATTAGGTGAATTTAGTGTTTAACACCAAAGTCACTAGAGTGTATCACAGTAAGTCAAGAATGATAAATGAATTAAAAATGACACCAAACATATTTATTATGTGACATACTGCATGTAAACTTTAATTTAAAAAAAAAATGCAAAGACTAATAAGGCTATAGACACTGAGTATAATTACTTTCATAGTTTATACTGTATATCTATTTCAATGTGTAGAGTGAATGTTTTTTTTGTCTTTCTGTATTAGAAAGATACTAATACCTTATGTATGTCTAATCACGTTTTTCACAATTGATAGTTTTCATATACACAATCATGAAGTTTGAAGTTTGTGCATAACTTAGCTGTCACTCATCTCTTGCTTTGACATTGTTCATTTACATTGAAAACTGTTTGAAAACTTTAATTTTTAGTTCCAAACACATTATATTGAAAATGAAACAAAATAATACAATTATTTTCATTGCACCAATAGTAAAACAAAGGGCATATTTGTTATGAGCTGATATCAGTTTTCTTTTATATAGGGATTTTTTTTTTTGTTGACCAGCTGAATAGCTACTGTCTATATACAGAGCACTTGACTTGATTGCTCAGCGCTAGATATTCTATTTAGAAAGTGTGTTGCAAGGGAGCAAGACTCTGCTGGAGAACTTCAATTATTCTTCCTGTTGCAGTGCTGAAAAGTCTTGAACTTAGAAACCTTTTAAGTTGCTGAAATGTGTCCAAGCATTATGCCTTGTACATTGCACACTTTCTCCTTAGGAAAATGTGATTCAGTCACTCCACATGCCAGTTTTTAATTCTCACCTTAGGGCCAGGAAGTCCTGGCAAACCACGTGCTCCTGGCTCTCCCTATAAAATTCAGAGATCATAAATTCATTAACACATACTCAGCACAAAAAGCACACATGGAGTCAAGCAACGTTTCCCTAATGAGAAGGAACACCTCCGTAAATGGAAATTGTTTTAGAGAAGAAATTGAAACCAGTGGTTTTGGAACTTTGAATATGATTATGTCTTGTGTTCCTATATAAGCATCAGACAGCTGCTGGTACATCTAGTGGAACCAGATTTTGAGACACAGAATTAACAGTTGTCTCTACAGCATGTTGCCACGACCCTTTTTAGTTTGATTATAGCCACATGGTGGTCATACTGATTTGAGCCATCACTGCACTTTCACATCAGCAGGATCCAAATTTTCATTAAAGAACAGGAAATTCTTATCGACTGTTCATATGAAAAAAAAAGAAGATGAAAAACTAATTGAGTTGTCTAAGCTTAGATTGAAAATTCAGAATCACAATACTGAACTCTATTGGATGGTCCCCTTTTTTTTTGCTCTATATGCTTTCTGGCTTTGGCCTCAAATGAAATCAAAATGCATTGTGAAAGCTTGTTAATACTAGAACAATACACAATTCCCTCTATTCAAGGCACTAAAACCAGATTCTTACATAACTTGTTTAATTCAGGTGGGTAGCTGCGTCAGCATGCGTAGTCCGCAAAGAAACAAATAATAGGTTTATTCCATGCTGAAAAAAAGAAGAAAGAGAACACAACGTTTCGGCCGTGGAGCCTTCTTCAGGTGTGAGCAGGTGTGAGCTTCTTCAGGTGTGACCTGAAGAAGGCTCCACGGCCGAAACGTTGTGTTCTCTTTCTTCTTTTTTTCAGCATGGAATAAACCTATTACTTGTAACTTGTTTAATTGTTTGTTTCAAAGTTAGAAATGTACTTTATGAATGTCTACTCTGAGCATCACAACCTTCATATTTAATTAATTTTCTGATGTAATTCATTGTGAAATTTGTGCTGATACTGTACAGTATGGCTTCAGTGCAGATAGCATTCTACTGTCTATACAATATTAGATTATGATCAGTGACAGAAAAGCAGAGGACATAAGTTATCATTATAGTCTGATGTTTTAAACCATGTTTATTCCTCTCGCAAAATTCCTTAGCATGTACTAAATCCAGACCTTGACCTATTGGTTCCTTCCTGTGAAAGAAAAGGCTTCTTGAAAAAAGAAATCCACCATCAGGAAATGGGCTAACAAAGCCATATGATTGACAAGTGGTTTTAAATTATTTCTAGTTCTAGGCCTTACTCTTTTAAGTAACAGTTTCCAAACAAAATACACCTGTCTATCAGGAAACTGTGTAATGAATATTTAACTATAGGAAGATGGGAGTTACACCAGCATTATACTCATCAATCCAAAAAAATCTTAAATACTGTACATACACAATTAAGTTATATATTATACTGTAATTAAGTTTAATAGTGATGATCCTTACATTAATAAAATAAATGTGTACATTTAGATTTTGCGACCCTTAACATTAGCACAACATGGTGCTTCATTCGTCTGAATAGTGTGTAAAGAACGTGAGCAAGATGATCTAATGTGTCCGTTTTCTTTTAATATGTCATCACATTTTATGAGCGTTTGGCAACACTATTGACTTTTTGATTCATAAGGCACTGTCAAAATGTAGGAGACATAACTGGAGTGTGTGTAGTACCATGAGGCACAAAGAGAAAAAAACACATTGCTTGTTTCCTGGGAAGAAGGTGATGTAGATGTACCATACTGTACCAACACTGTGTTAAAACTGTGTATATATGAGACTTTGCCAGCTCCTGATGAAATTGTAGTATGAAATTGTGTTCTGCATGTTAATGTGGAATGGAGTAAGCTGAAACTGCATAAGATGAGGGAGACGTGCAAAAAGATCTGTGACAATGAAAGTAAATCAGATATGCATAAACAAACGTCCTGAGCAACAGAATATACAGTAGCTGATGTTGGTTTCAGTCTTGTTCAGGAGACAACAAATAAAAAAGAATAGCCTTTGCTGTAGTAATTCCATAATAAAAGTATACAATCGCACGCATGCATAATTAAAAAGATGATCGAGCTACACGGAAAAGACGGTATCTCTGTCTTACAGGTTCTCCATCTTTCCCCTTTCCGGGCAGCCCAGGAATCCCAGCAGGCCCAGCTTCCCCTGGAGGCCCTGTTGGTCCCTGCGGTCCATCTTTTCCTTGTTCTCCCTGTACAATTGAAACCCAGGAATCAAACAACACTTTACATTTGACAAAGCACTTTTGTCAAATCCACCTGCGTAGCTCAACTTCTGTTCCCTTTTCCCCGGCAAAGGAATACAGATGTACAGTAGCTTTTAAACATCATATTTGGGCCTAATCTCCGCTAATGAAAATGAACAAAATTAAATATATAAATCTGTGTTTTCCATATCGGAAAATTAGAGGCAATACAGTATATGCACAATAGTTCAGGAGGAGGTATTCCAGCCATGAACTGACTTTTTTCCTCTGCTTTCTCCAAAATATCTAGGCTAAGTAAATTACAACATTTTATTGTTAATAGTCATACAATGACACCTTTACTGAGGTACAGTAATCAAACTGAAATCACGGTGTAAGGTGAGGTCAGTTTTCATAAGATTGGAAGATATATGCAATTTCTGAAATCAATGCAGCTCATAACTGAAGAAGATTGCATCTTCACAAAGATTTCTCCAGTCACCAGCTCCCTCTTACCTTTTCTCCTCTGAGACCATCATTTCCAGGTAGGCCAGGATTACCTGGTACTCCCTGCATATTGAAAAGAGAGTATTCCCATATTTATTGAGCAATTTACAAGTATGCTGATGACCACAAAGTTCAGAACTTCTTCTTTCAAGATCAGGTTTCCTTAAACCGGTAACCATTTTCCAGCAACTAATGTTGTAGTTTTAGTAGTATTAGGCAAAGCATTATGACTGAGTAGATAAATGAAATAATTTAACTATCTATTAGATTCTACAATGATCAGAGAGTTGTCCATAGAAATAGTTGAGAGGTAAAAACCAGTGCATGCGAGATAAATTTGCTTAATGTGCATACCACACTCCCAGGTAAACCACGGACACCTGGAGGGCCTTGTAATCCTGGTGGACCCTATAAAAAAAGATTGATGGTATTGTATATTACAAAAACAAATACACTTTCAATATCTTATTAAAGTCCCATTTTGGAGCAAAGAAAATGATGCTTTCTTTAATAGAAAATAGCCCTAGATCAGGTTGTCCTTGAAAAAAGTAAGAAATAAGCTATTTTAATATATTGAGTACAAAAGTTTGTAAAACAGAGGCCTATACATTTATAAAGTACATAATTACATATACTGTAACGAACGGCCGACATACAGGTTGTACGAGCCGGTTACTGAGCGGTGATGGCACAGCCCTCTACTCCCATGCGCATAACAGGGATGTTGACCGCCCGGTCTGGCGAAGGCCTTCTTTAGCTCAGCCGGCAATATCCCTCCCTGTTGAGCGACGCCGGAGACCCGGGATCGATCCTGAGGCAGGGGGACGAACTGGGGCAGGAGCGGCAAGGGCAGAAACCCCAAGAACCCGAACCTGCTACAATACTCACCCTTGTTTGACATTAACTTACCGGATCACCAATTCTACCAGACTCGCCCTGGAGTCCAGGCTCCCCTTTCGGACCCTGATTTAAAATAAAATTGTATAAAAATATTATATACAAAAAAAAATACACCTTAGACAAGTAAGCAAAGTGGAAGTAGATTCAGGACCCAGGATGTAAGAGGCTTTAACAACCCGACCAGGCATCTGGACCAGTCACCCTGCTCAATAATACTGAGGTAGCTGATCAAGACTTTTTGAGAAACCTTTTGATGTATTTCTTTAACAAAATTCTCCTAAATGTAAATCTTAATTTGACCAAATAAGTCAAATATACTGTATATTTATTCTTTTTTTTCAAAGCCCCTTAGCAAAAATAACTGACCTATTAAAGGCATGAAAATCATGCTTACTGTATATGCACAATGCTTGTTTAGAAGTAAACAGACACCTATAAAAGGCATATGAAAACTCCTTTAAGGTCAGTAGTCCTATGACTTGTAGAAATAAAGTGACACATTGTATAATACCCACAGTGTATAAATAGCTTTGCTATGAAATGGAAGTTGCGAGGATATGTTAAATATTTATACATTTCACTGATACTTTAAATTTGACGTTTATTCACTTCTGACTAAACGGTTTATAAAAAAATAATTCTGTGGAGGTTAAGTGACAGAATAACTCATGAAATGCTAAGACATTGGCCTTTATGAGGTAATGCTATCTCTGCATACAAGTCAGATTTTTAATTGTAAGAGACGAATTTCAGTATTTTTTTTTTAGTTTGTAGTTCCCCACAAACTCTCAAAAGGTAAAAAAGTGTTATATCATATTTTGTGTTCTCCAGGGTGATTTGTGTTAGAAATGAATGGTTGTCTGATTTTTACTGTCATCTAATTGTTGAATGCCAAATACTGTATATAGAGTTTAACGCAGTTTAATGCTACATAAGGATCATAGGTCAAACACAGTTGTTTAAACAATTATGACAAGTTAATGATAAAGGTGATGGTGATGACGATGATGATTGTGGTCATTTATTTAGTATGACTCAATACATACTACTTGCTAAACAGTTGAAAACATACTTACAGGAGGCCCGGCTGGTCCTGTACGACCTTGCTCTCCTGCTACACCCCTTGGCCCCTGCAAAAAAATAAAGGACACAGATCAGCTTCATTGCAGAGATTCATTCATCTGAAATATGTCGCCTTTTCATATTGCTACTGTACTGTATAAATTGTGCATCTCGAAAATGCGAACTGATTTTAACCGAAGTAAATCTCTGATGTACTTAAGCATCATTTCATTGCATCCTGCCTGTTGCATAAGCATCCTGTTGATTCTGTAAATAAAAAAAAAACCTTCTCCTTGAAAGTGCAATCTATGTAATGCAATTGAATGCAAAAAAAACTTCCTCTGTGACCATGCGTTAATCATTAAACTGAAACCATGTGGCAGCAACTAGATTAAAAGTCATTTTGTCTTCTTTCATGAACATCTTTATTCTGACAGCAGTAAGAAAATATTTTGTTTTGTTCACTACCTCAGCTATGTTAATTTTTCACCACATTTTTGCAGTGTCACTTAAAAGCTGAGATGAGTTTGCTTCTTTGTTATGCAGACTAGCTTTTGTTGGACACTATCATCGCACACTGAACTGATTGTGAGGCTCATTAAGGTAGTTGTGTGCACCAAAATATGATTTGTGACCCCAAAGAGTTTGAATACTTATGCAATCATGACTTTAATTTAAATAGATATTAATGATCTCTCTCTTTCCTAGCGTTAATCCCACATCAGCAGGGTCCGCTTGTCGGGACACCCGTCTCCATTTGGTGGTTTGAACCAAATCTTTGAGCTGACGTTGCCATTAACTGCAATCGAGAAATACTCCAAACTCCGCCTGCTGTTGGAGTGGGAAAGAGAACAAAGTAATGTAGGCAATTCATAGAGGGGGATTATTAGGAGGCATGGGAAATTTGGCCAGGACGCCGGGGTTACACCCCTACTCTTTTCGACCACAGAGAGTCAGGTTTTACATCTCATCCAAAGGATGGCGCTTATTTACAGTATAGTGTCCCCGTCACTATACTGGGGCATTCGGACCCACCTGGACCACAGGGTGAGCGCCCCCTGCTGGCCTCACTAACACCTCTTCCAGCAGCAACCTTAGTTTTTCCCAGGAGGTCTCCCATCCAGGTACTGACCAGGCTCACGCCTGCTTAACTTCAGTGGGTTGCCAGTTGTGAGTTGCAGGGTGATATGGCTGCTGGCTAGATATTAATGATGTATTTACAGCTTTTTGCCTTTTTGCTTCAAATACAGTATGCATTGTATGGTCTTGTATGGTTTTGGGTAGTCAGTGCAGGTTAGCTAGGGTGTTGAAGACTCCGAAGACCGTGTGTTTCGGGTTTTCTTTTGTAGTCGGATTAGCTTTCCCTCACTGTCCTAGCCAGCTCCATTTTGTTTGTTATTTTCTTTCCCTTGACACCACTCTAGTTCCTTACCCTTATCACGCTTCCTAGTCCCTCACCAAAACCCACCTGCTTCCAAAAGAATTATCCTAAATGTTACACCCCGATACCCCTAGACGCTTGGGTCGTAACAGACGGTCACCCCTTTTCTTAGCTAGCCTAGAAGTACAATACACAGAATATCCCCAAATATCATGCAACATACTGTATATACCTAGAAAGAATATACCATTCTTTATAGCACTGCATATACCTGTAAGCATTCATCAAATTGCCATATAAACATCATTTAACACCTCTGACTTAAATTTTCTATGGAAGCAAACAAAAAAATCTGCATGCTTAATCTGTATCTTAATTCCTTCAATACATATTTTGATTTATGTTTTCTTTTCCTCCAGTTTAAAAAAAAGATAATTTCATGTTAAGAGTACTGAGGTATCTGGTCAAATTGATTTGTGTTAATGGCTGTCATGTTGCTGAGTAACATCCCCTTTACACAACATATCAGATTCTCAAAAATGTGGTAAATGTCTTCTTTTATGGTAATACATTCATCACGCTGTGTCACGCTGAGAGCAATTTCTGTTGGATGTGGGTGGGAAACTCCTTCAGTGTTGTTTTGTTGTTTTCAGGACAAAGCCCACGATGTTTGCAGTATTCAGTGCTTCTGTCAGGACACTCTGTCTTTCTGGAAGATTTAGTATTTTTGCAGTTGATAATTCACTAAATTTAGCATATTTGTAAATTATTCAGAGAGCAAAGGGCAAAAAAAGAAAAATAATGAATTTGTATTTGTTATATTTCGTATGAGGTCATTTGAACACTTCCCATACAGTAGGTGCAGTGTTCTGGGGTACTCATATGATAAGAAATACACAAAAGACAATTGCTAAGAGCTAGCAAATCGAAGTCAAGATACTTATTTTTCTGTGCAATTTCGAAATATTTTGTAGCACATAATACCCATAACATCATTCTGTTGGTGAGAGTGAAAATACTTAGGTTTATCTGGTTTAAATTGAAACAGTTGTCTGATATTAATTTGAAGATCTAATATTCTGTTACATAAAAGCGACTGCATGAAGTCAAAGCACAGCTTTTATCAGCTCTAAAACTTGTTTTATTAAGCTTCTTCTGCCATCTGGTGGCTAACTGTTAGTATTGATTCCTTTTCCCACATGAAAAATAGGTCATTTCCTTTACGAATTTCCATCAAGAGGTCATTTCCTTTACAAATTTTAATTCTCGCTTTTTAGGCAATCCTAAAATGCAATACATTGCAATGCTTTCACATTTCTGATTTCATGGTATTTCATGGTGTTAAACTGAAGACTGGCTGACAACTGGTAGCCACACTTTTGGACGCCAGTGTTGCATGGCCATGAGAAAATTAGTGGCAGCCCCCTGTTGTGGGGTGTTCTCAAATATAGGAATTAATTGGGCAGTTTTCACCATACGTACATTCAATGTACTGGTCCTACAAGAATTGCCATTGCCAAAAAACATGTTTACCTACTGTAGGAGATACAGTAGCTAACATTTACTAATGGGAATACAAAAGTTGTCCAATTATTCATGCAACAAAAATCAGTATTAACACCTGTTAATAGGCAGGCTTTAAAACACATTAAAGAATAGAAATTCCTGCAGCAGAATGCTTGTTACTCACAGGATCACCTGGCTGTCCTTGATCCCCCTTCTCTCCTTTTTGTCCAGGCTCACCCTGAGATTTAAAACAGTATTCCCCTTATTAAAACATATTTGCAAAATGTTAGTTGGGACACTGTCAATTTTATTAAACGTGAAAATTAAACTCATATTTCAAAGCACTTGTATGTTTGATTTCTACTGCTTGTTAAACTAAGAACTCCCCTAAAGAGGTGTTGTTACTACAGGTGTGGAATTCCTTATTCCTTGATAAAAGTGAAAGCCAATGTGTTTGCACAATTCTTGTTGAAGAGGCATTCATAGGTATCCTCATATTGAGGCAGTTATTGTAGATATCAATTGGACAATCAAATATTTCACAAAGAAGTATATCTTGCAGTAATAAAAGGTTCCTTACAGGTTCTCCAGGCTCTGCTTCCACCGTTTCAACCTTTAAAAGAGATAATAACACACATAAATAACCACTATATATACAGTAAATATGAACAGTATACTGTATATAGTATATAACATTAGTCCTTTTACAAAATTACCAAGAAAATATTAATATTAATATTTATATATATATATTTCTTCCTAAGCAGCTTTGAAACGTTCTTGTTACAATTATAATTCATACCTGTGATAATATCTGCATGGAATTATACACTATATGCAATACATGAAGTTCTACCCTTTTCATTCAAATAAAGTAAGAGAATGGTTACAGCAGTTACAGTATGCCACAGTAAGCCCAACTACAACTTTGAAAAAGATACAGAGTTCAATAGCTGAAGTGAAAGATCTCCACGAGTCAGCAATATCTCAGTCACTCCACAAAGTTGGGCTGTACTGCATGGCAGAGTGGCAAATCCTGCATGGTCTTTGCAACACAGCATTTTTTCTAAGTGATACTGCAAATACGTAGCAAAAGCATTATTTTTTTGTCATATTTCATATTTATAAATTAGCATTTACAGACTACTGAATTATTTATTAAAATGTAAGTGTTTTGTAAGCAATTTGGACAATTATTCATAATTATTAGTGAGGCTACAGTATTTTTTATTCATGTGGTAAACCCATCCAATAAGTCATATGAATAGGAGGGAAAAAAATCTGTACTTACTTTTCCTGGGGGTCCAGCAGGCCCTTCTGGACCAATATCGCCCTGGATCAAAGCCAAGAAGTTCTTAGTTTGGATACTGGCATATTATTTTGTCTAATTTAATTAGTTTGGCTTGTCAGTAAATATCACACTCTATGCTGAATATGCTTGTATTGGGGACACCGAGCTTTCTAAAATTAATTTTGGCAAGCTGACTAGATCTAACTAATTATTTAATAGCACAAATGCATGATTTCTTTACTTTATCTTACAGCAATCTGTATTTGAGATGTACAGTATATAGCATATGGGGCAATGATATTAGTGGTAAGGTAGAAGAAATCTTGAAATTATACATCTGTGGGCACTCAACAAGCTAGGTTTAAATGGTTTTAAGTAATTATCACTTATTTTAGTTCTGTATGCAGCAAAGTGCTAAAATAAACACTATATTTTTTAACAAAATATATGTTTAACAAGTATCATACCGCCTTTCCATCTGCATCCTCCATTTGTACACTATCATAGTATTTCAGGTAATCATTGTAAAAACCATAATGCTCAGAAAAAAAATTCAGTAGGGGTGTTGTTTCTTTCATATCCAATGTGTTGCTGAAATATACGTTAAATGTTCCAGACACTAGCTTAATGCTAAGCTTAAGGCTTTAAAACATAGGTTTTAAATTTTTGTGAACACTGTTGATGCTGAGCTCCTAACTGTGAACCTACCTGCCCCTACAGATCCAAACAATGGGCTTTGCTTTAGTTAATTGTTCTATAGCACATAGACAAAACTCAAATGATGTGCACAAATTTGAGTATTACAGAAATATACGGTATTTTGTATGTTCATTAATGAGTCCATTACCTCCACCACTTCCCTCCACATATACAACTTTGAATAAAAGTAGTCTGCAACTGCCATGTTTTAGGTACCAGCAGATCAACAACGGCATCAACAGTATGCAACTGTTTTTTTTTTCTGTTAGGATATTTTCATGCTAGTTTCTGAAAAATCCAAAGCTGATGCTGTCTTCTGCCTATCTGTGTTCAATCTGCATCCATCTTACCTGACTGCCTTTTTCCCCTCTTGGTCCCATGGCTCCTTCTCTTCCTGGTTCACCCTTGAAGGAAAATGTGTTAAAGGACAGATCTAATTATAGTTTTGACAGGAGGGAATGTACTGTATATTTAGACATATATACATGTCAGATGGCTTACCTAGAGGAAATAGTATGTCCACAAACACTCCAAACCCAGATTTGTAGTATAAAAGGATAATGAGATACTTAGTATTAACCCTCCAGTCTTTATCAACATACTGTATAAGGAAGGCTAAGAAAACTATGTGGTACTTTTTCAAGTTCAACACCAGTTTTCCAGAAGGAATATTGAAACTAGAGGGCATAACTGATAAATGGGAGCTATATGGAAGTGCATTTAAAACTAACAGGAAGCACTTCTTTACACAAAGGGTGATAAAAGCAAATCTCTACAGTCATGATGCTGAAGCTGATCACCTGACTTTTTTCAAGAAACAGGAGGATGAGATTAGCTCAGTTCCAATTTCAAACTGGACGAGACATTGAATGACCTCTCATTCGTAACCTGTCCTGTTGGCTTATGCTTAGTTTAGTGAAATTATAAATGAAGAACCTTCGTCAACATCTAGGAAGTGAGTCTTGGTAGGTTTTCAGCCCTTGTTCAACTTGAATTTTAAAGAAGCGGAAGCAGAGATCCTTGTCATATTGGAAACACGTAATTCCATCTGAGCCACATACAAAACAGCAGGGTCTGCAGTGGGGACTTGAACCCACAACCTACTTGTTATGAGTTTAGAGACTTATTCAAGAAGCAGCACTGCCCCATCTAGCACACTATTACAATACTTATTCAAGGGGATGGCCATGACTCTCTCAGATTTAAGGTTTCAAAATTACTCATAATCAACAGGGAGAAAGAGTAACAGGTGGAAATGAACAGATGCATTTAACACTGAAAATACTGTACAGTACAAGACACTCTTTTACAAAATAAATGTTGTGCAGGGCCTGGATGAAATTCATAATACAGGTTGTTGAAGATATCCTTTGAGAAGTGACTGGACAGATTCAATTCAAAGGCTATGGATTTCAGAATAAATTGGCTCTGAGTATTTAAACAAAATGGGTAAAAATAGCCTCCTAACATCTAAAACATCTCTTTTGTTCTTAGCAACTTGCTAATTTAAATTGGTTATACATTATATTGGCTGATCATAACAAGGAAACTTACTTGACTTCCTTTTTCACCTCTTGCGCCAATTAATCCAGGCAAACCTGGAGGCCCTGCCTCTCCCTGCGAGAAAATTACAACAGCTCATATTGACAGAGGCATTGACAATGCTGGTGCTATCTTTTTTACAAAATATTACAAGAAATATCAAAACACAATGTGAAGGGGAGCTCACTCTGTTTCCCTGTAGACCGATTGGTCCTGGTGGTCCCATATCTCCCTGTAAAAGATGTAGGAAATTAGTGAGAGACACAATTATTTTAATTAATTTCCTAATTTGAGCCTTTTCTTTTTCTCTCTTGAAATCCAAGTGAGATGCCAATACAATGTGATTACTATTACTATGCGCTCTCAGGGAATTTTAACAAACCTGAATGTGTGACATTTTTTAGTGTTCTCAAAATTCTTCCTAATGTCTCTTTAAACCATACTGTATAAACAAGATTAATATTTGCCCTTCTATAATTCACAGCTCTGAATCATAAAATAATGCCTTACCTTAGGACCAGGTTTTCCAGGGAACCCATCTAGACCTGGTTCTCCTGGTGAACCCTAAAAGATAAAAGGAAATAAATGAAAAGTGATTATTTAAACATCTACAGAAATCTCTGTGAGATCCCTGTTTATCCCTTTCATGGTAGAAGTCAATGCCTCACATAATGGTGTCGGTCCTACTGTGTTCCAATGTCACGGTGAAAAGGGAATTCTTCATCCCTGTGCCTTCCTCTCCTGTAGAAGAGATCTAGAAGCATCTAGAGAGCTTCATGCATGAAAGTTTAATAAAAGCCTACAGCAGGGTGGTTTGGAGAAAGTCACAACTGCTTGGCAACATGTATGCATTGTATTCCTTAATGGTTATGTAATCCATCCATCTATTTTCTAGCTGCTTGATCCAATTCAGAGTCGCAAGGCAGGATACACCCTAGACAGAACTCCAGCAGTACACTCGTCAACAGTAGGTCACACACGGAAACACACATGCTCACATCAGGATCAATTTTCCCAGAAGCCAATGAATCTACCAGTATGCCTTTGTACTGTAGGAGGATATAAACTCAGTACAGATGGCCCCCCAGGTCTGGAATCAATACAAGGGCCCCAGTGCCATAAGGTAGCAATGCTAACCACAGCGCTACCATGTCACCCTTAACTTATATTATAGCTATTATAACTAAAAAGCAAATAATATATAGTGTAGTTCTATCTAAAACTTTATTGGCAGTACCAAAAGATATTTAGAAGGTCAAGAAATGAAAAAATAGTATTATTTTCTTATGTGGTCTGACTTTCCCAAGACATACATGAACAAAGAAACAGTCCAGCTAATCCAAACTACAGAAATGATATCCACAATTGCTTTAGCTACAGCAAGGGGTGTGAATGCTTGTCCCCAGGGGAAGTTGTGCTGGTAATAATTACTTGCCTTTGGCCCATCATTTCCTGGAAGGCCATCCAGCCCATCTTTACCAGGTAAGCCCTTGGAGAAAAACAAACAATTACATTTTCTACAAACCCTCACACTTCTTAAGGACTGTCTTTTCCTTCAATATAATGTATACTTTGTGATAGGACAGAAGACTGGTGGTGCCAGTGAAGTCTGAAGAGAATTTATATGGAATTGTAACAGCAACTGTTGAGCCACAGGGTGGCAAATTCAATCGGACTGCGAGGTTAAATTAAGAACACCTGCAAAAATGTTTGAGACAACCTGTAATATAAAGCAATAACATAACTGATTTACTTGAATTGTTATTGGATAATTCTGTTTAAATCAACAAATTTATTTTTTAAAACTTTTTTGGGGCATTTCATCACATACAAATGAATCTAAAAAATACAACATGAAGATATAACTTCCCAGTGAAATGTGAGTTAGTTTTTGCTGGGTAACAAAATCATTGTAAATAAAAGCAACAACAATAACATGGACATGAAGCATCTCAATAACTTCACATATTTTCATACAACACAAAATTTCACTGTGCGTTACACCTTTTGATGTCCAAAAAATGAATGATTCAAACACTGGTATCCATGATAATGTCTCTTTAAATCTGTTCGTAGCAATTGTTTTTTTTTTACCTAGTAATGTTTATTTCACAATGTTTCTGTATTTAAATCACATTTCAGATGCAGGGAAGAGTTAATACAACTGATTGAGTAAATGAGCAAGAACAAAATGTTACAGCTGGACGTTATGACCATAGATAGTGATGGTTTGTGTTACCCTAGGATAAGCCATTATAATAAAGCAGTATTAAACATTTGACCCTAACTACTTCCCATCTTAACCCACATTAAAGTACTTACAGGTTTTCCTGGCTCTCCTGGTTTGCCAGAAAATCCAATTTCACCTGGTAAGCCCTAAAAATATATTACAAATACATAAAGACAAGTGAAGTTAATTAGTTAAATTAGCAGTTTTGGTCTGCAGTAGATTTAACATGGTTTATTTGATTAGTCTGTTGTAGACGTACAGTACAATAATGTAGTAAATGAGAAGAGATACATCTATAGCTCAAATGAAGCATTCTTATAACAATCCTTTAATCCTTAACTAGCTCAAACACATAAACTTGGAAAAGTACCTTTTCTAGTTGTAGTAGAAAATAAAAATACCATCAAGACAAAGCTTAAAGATAAGGGTTTCTCTGTATTTGGTTTGGATAACAGATAGTCCGGTTATGAAGTGAAATTCTTTATTTTCAAGACATTAAAATTGATAACAATAAATATTTACTGGAGGTCCAGGATGTCCCATATTTCCAGGATTTCCAGGAGGACCCTGGGGACCCTAAAACATTTGTAAAATAAGGAAAACAATAATTAAACTTACAGTATCCACGTTTAGAACTAAATGAAAAAAGAAAAGATAAATGGTCACCAATGGTGGCCAGGTATCTCTCTATGTGTAGAGCATGTGTAGAGCATAGCATATCCACAAGAGGGGGAAAGTAAGCTGCACTCACTGTGAACAGTGGAGAAACATGAAATTTATAATAAAGGATAGTGGACATTCAGTGTTAACAACACTAAAGGGGAAAAAATAATATCATAGCTGACATAAGGGTAAAAAGAAATTACCAACAATATAACTAACTTTTATTTTAGGACTTCTAAAAACTGACTTTTAAAAGAAAAGACATATTGGGAATATTTATCTTTCTCTGTTTTCACTGCCTTTACATTGCACGAATTCCCTCATGGGTATTAGGTTATTTAGTAATAGCAGATATGCATGGAAAAGAGTTTAGCAGATCCCATGACTCACAAAACAGAATGGATCCTCGACTACGGAAGCCACTGTAGACGCTCCATATACAGCAGGATTATGTAACTGCCAAGTATGGCCTGTTAATACCATTAAACTGAAAGGTGTATACTGAATTATGTGTGTATGCTCTTGAATAAAGAATGTGTACTGTATGTTCTACAAAGCATGGATATGTTTTAATAAAGAGTATTTTCCCCACAAATGATCCTGTATTTGTTTGGAAAGTAAAAGAATAAATCAATGATGTATTATTTTATTTTGAATTGATGAAAATGTTAAAGCAAAACTGACAAATGCTTATTCTTACTGGTGGTCCTGGCAACCCATCAACTCCAGGCAGCCCACTTTCTCCTTTCCTTCCCTGAAACAGTACAGTAGAGCAGGTGATCATTAAAGCATTTTTAATGCAAGCTTAGACTACTGAAAGTTTTAAAATATGCATTTTTTCAAAGGGGAAAAGATACAGTATTTGATATAATGTTATAAACAATAAAGAACAATATACACCGTAACTTGGAACTTAAGATAGAGATTTCTTCTGCAAGGAACACAACATAATGTTATTAGATGTCTAAAGAAATACAGAAAAAGATAGAGTCTGGAAACTCCAAACTTCTTTGAAATTTGAAATGAACATTGAACGGCTTTACTTGGTAATTAAAGCACAAATTCATACTACACTTTCGCATCGAATGTAAAATGTATAGGTACTGTATATGCATAGTTATATTTAGACTGTGGTTATATATTTTTTATTTCTCTGCAGGGTGATCTGCCCTGATATGATGCTCAGCCAAATATCTTAGACTTCTTTATACTTAAAACATTACTATCTACAAAAGACTTCTGGTTGGAGGTACTTATGGAGTGGCTCCCAAGGACTCATACTTGAAGGATGTACAGTACAGCAGGTAAGGTACCTGGCAAAGCAATTACAATCTATGTTTGTTCAGCAAGAGTAACAGATCACTGAGGAAATTGCTTAAGGGAATGGGCAACAGAGTCATTCTAAAACTGAAAGGAAAAGAGCATAATGATAGATCAGGGAATCTGCAGTCCTAGTCCTGGAAAGTCCCACTCTAATTAGTCACTCTTTTTTTAAAGATTCTTCAATAATTTACAGGTATTTCCAATCAAGCAGTTACAGTATTCAGTTCAGATAAGAGAACTCTGGGCCTTGAGGGCTGAGGAGTACTTACTTTTTTGGCCAAAATTATCTCTCAATTACTTAATTGAACAAATCATGTTTGATTGATCACTATTGAATTGTTCCATACCTTCAGAAATTGGTGATGTAAAGGTGACCTAAAAAACTGGATTGAATGGATTGGGGCTTTCCAGGATTAAGAAGTTGGAGATCCCTTTTCTAGATTGTTTCATCACTAACACGTAGAATTGAAGTTCAAGAGGATAACATAAAAAAGAAAGTAAAAAGTGAAGAATCTTCTTGAGATAGGACACTCTATATCTTCTAACTTTGTGTTACCTCATAGGAATAAACCATGCTGAATTATTTGTACAGTACAGTTCATAAAACCACCTTTCCATTTTTACAGTTGTCTGACTAATTCAGGAAATTCATTTTCATGTTCTCCAGCCAACCACAGATGAGTGAAAGAGATTAAAGCAGTACTGTAGCCCTACTTTCTACAATTAACTCCTGGCCTACTACTACAGCCCAGTGTAGTCACAGGTCCTGCTTGGATGTTTCACAGGTCATCCATCTGTTTGCTTGAACTTGAAACTTGAACTTGAACTTTGAACTTTGAACTTTATTGCCATATGTAACCGGTACTGGTACAATGGAATTCTTACTTACAGAAAGTCTCTCGTTTGTAAAACAAGTGTAAAAAACAAAACAAAGTGCAAACAGTGCATCAAGACAATGTACAAACAAACAATAGACAATGTGCAAGTAAACATGCAGACAGTTTGAATGTAAACAATACAGACATGTAAACAATGACTGGAGATGTACAATAGATAAATTACAATGAGGTAGATGGTGATGGTGTAGGTGTGGTCCGAGGGGGATGGCTAAATGTGTTCACCAGTCTCACTGCTTGTGGATAGAAGCTATTGAAGAATCTAGTGGTAAGTGTCCGTATGCTCTTATATCTCTTGCCTGAGGGCAGTGGGGTGAAGAGCTCATGCCCGGGGTGGTGACTGTCCTCTGTGATGGCCAGAATTCTACCACTGCTGCTAAGCACTTGATCCAATACACAGTTGGAGGGGAGATGGAACCTCCATCCAGGCAAGCAAAGGCTAGAAAGCTGAATACTCCCTGGATGGGACACCAGTCAATCACAGGGCAGATACACTCAGAATTTTCTCAGAAGCCAATTAACCCACCAGTATGCCTTTGGACTATGGTAATAAATCTGAGGACCCGGCAAAAGCCCATACAAACACAGGGATAGCATACTGTACAAGCTCCACTAGATAGCATCCCAAGAATTGAACCCAGGGACCCAACACCGTGATGTGGCAATGATACCCACTGTGCTACCGTACCACCCTTCACATGTCATATGTTGTGGAAATTTTAGAATTATTAACTTTCTGTTTCTGTCATGAATCTGGTGCCCATTTTTTTAGTATGAAGTTTAAAAACACTCAGCAGTTACCTTAGATACTACACTTTAGAACATGACTTTCAAAGAAAGAAGTTAAAGAGGGCTAAAATATTAGCTCAGGAGTTTTTTTCAATATACACTTGAGCATAATGTATATTTTTGATAGGTGGTATAATTTTAATTTGAATAGAACTTGTGCTATAAGCCATTTTCCACAGTCAGAACAGGAAATCCAACAAAATTACATGTTTCATTTGGTTTGGTAGCACTTTCTCACTGTGAACCTTCTGTTATACCAACATAATTGTAGTTCATCTCTCGTATTTCTGTTAGAAGGATAGGATATTTGAGCAACAAAAAAAAACATTTTACTCTTTTTTTTTCATTTGGAACAGTTGTGTTAGATTCAGTTAAATCTTCAGCTCTCTCAAGACCTTTCAGGTTAGCAAGTTATTAAGCCAAATCTTATTTTGAGGGGTTGCATGTTAATGACAAAAAAGATAAAAAACACATTCATAATTTAATGCAGCTGTAAAGTCCACCTGTAACTCGGGCTTTGATGATGCTCAAGTGCAGACAGGAAACTGTGGCCACTGTGGGCTAGACTGTTCAACCAAGTTATTCTACAGGCGGCAATTCAGAAACTGAATATACCCAAAGGTTTGAGAAGTCAGCATCCCTGTTTCATAAAACCACTTCTTCTCTGTTGGGAGTCATGCCTCTTAAACCATCTTTAAACTGTAGCATATTTTAACTGTTCCAAGTCTTTGTAGTGATTATTGAGGTATTACTGTACTGTAAAGTATGAAATTTCATTCACCTGGTATTTAAATTCTCTTTTTTTATGTATGAAAGCAAAAGTGCAGAACTTAATACAAGAATAGAATTGACTATTTTTATATAATAAAAACATTTGCACTTATTTTTCTTATGGAATATAATTATTTTTATTTACATATACTGTAAAAATGTTCATAAAAGGCACCTAACATTTTTGTTTGTTTTGTTGTTACATTTCTTAATTTCTGACATAGTAACCTACATAACAGTAAGGAAGCGCATTGCTGCCACCAAGGGAAAAAAAAATCCTTGCCCTTATCTCTTAATTATGAGAAAATTGTCTCATAATTACAAGATAAGGAATTATCCCATAATTACGAGAAAATTATCTCATAATTACAAGATAGTTATTCCAGAGTATTTTATGTGATCACGCAATAGCACAATTGTCATATAATACCTATATCAAGTACTGTAGGTAGCCGTGTCAGCATGCGTAGGCTGTAAAGGAACAAGTTAAAGGTTTATTTCATGCTGAAGCCCTCTTAGTCAAAACGTTGTGTTTTTTTTTCTCTTTTCAGCATGGAATAAGCCTTATTCCTAACTTATTCCTTTAATACCTATATTGCTACGTGTGGACTTACAGTTTTAAGCAGTGGAAGTGATTGCATGTATAACAGTTCACAACGGAACCATCATTGCATTGATCTCTTAATCCCACAAGTCTGGTCCTCATGCTTGTAATGATTCTGTTCATATTTGCTCAAAATTGCAAGATTTCATTATGACTAAACCCCTGTCGAAAGTAAATCTGTGCAAATTCTGCAGGGCTGGACACTGACACAATCATTAAACCGAAAGTGCTAGCCAAGTTCGCGGTAGCTTCTACATGTATTCAGTGCAAAACATAACAGGTTGGACATGCACTGACATAAGCATTGCTATCTCGTAATTACGAGATAATTAGTTCTCCCACAATTATGAGATGTGATTTTTTTTTCCTCTGGTGGCAGAATGTGTCCTAATAACTAAAAATCAAACCCTTGAGTGAGTGAGCCTATGTCTGATGATTTCATTAAAATGTGTCTGAATTGAGTTAAATATATTGAGAAAATCTAAAAGTCTTAAAATACATTAAGATTCTGTTAAAAAACAATCATTTTAATTATTGAAAGAGGGGTGAAAATATGACCACGCTCTTCTTAAGTTGTGAAGATCCATTGGTCAATATGACTTAAGATGGCTTCTGTATGAGAAAAATTGTGAATGAAATTTTCTGGGTGAATCATCAGAAGCACCCAGAACAACCAGGAAACCAGCTTTTTGATGAACACATTATGTCATGGACTGTCATCTCCATCTGTTCTATCTCCAAATTTGTTTTTGGATTTCAATGACTACAACTGAGAAATTCCTGTAAGCAATAACCTGCTTATCAGAAGAAAGGCTGGTTGTTTACAAGAAAGTGACCTGCACACTTAAGGATCATTCAGAGATAACATTGACAGTAAATTTAATTAAATAATTGTCTTCTATGGACCAAGGAACATTTGAAGAGGTGGCGAATAGAGTGATGGAGTGTTTTGTTTTTTTCACAAGCAAATGACATTTTGTCCTTGAGTGACTGGACAGAAGACAGCATGTGTGGAGGTGTCATTGTCAACATTATAATGACTGTCAAGTTCTTCGAGAAAACTGGGGAGAGGGTGGAAGTTTGATGATATGAGGAGTAATTCCTTCTAACACAAGAGTCTTTGATGCAGATTAAGGGCAACCATACTGCTCTGTGATAAATTGATAAATTGCTTGGAGCCATTGGATTTTTCATTCCAGCAAAGATGTCTAGTGCTGCAAGACCAGAGTGCAAGGATTATAATGACACCACTTCAGGAAAAGAATGTTGCTGTGGATTTTTGCTCCAGACCCCAATCAAATAGACAATTTATGGGAACAGCTCATCAATACCATTAACAGAAGATAACCACAACTTGCCTGTCTTAACCTATTTTTGCTCCAGCACAGGAAATTTGACAGAACATCCCATAGTCTTCAGAGGCTAATTCCAGTCTATTGTATATGTCAACACTGCCAGGATTTATCCTAATATTCAGGGAGGTTGTTCCCAGTACTAACTTTAAAATGTTTCAAATCTGACAGCATGTCACTTTTGATACTGCTCACCCATCAGAATCCCTCTAGCTGTATTAATGTTAATACAGTATGTTTTGTGAGTTTAATATTTATGTACTGTATAAAGGATTTGATTAAATCTTTTGTGCATCATTGTAAGTAAGGGCATCAATGAAGGGTTTCATTCTCTCACAACTAGTTAAGATACAAACTAAGTAATGCTGAATATTGCAGTAAGTTAAATATTCTTTGCCAAGCTGCAAAGAGTTGCAAAAAGCCCTTTGGCTTAACATTATCACCTGTGGGTCTTCTAACAGACTAGACCATACTGTAAAACATTATCAATTAAAGAACAATTTTATGTCAGATTTTTTTTTTTATAAGAGCCGGAATAAAAAGCAATTATTTCTTTACACATCACAGAACTGTAGGTATTTTACAAGTTTCTACACATTTGCTATGCTTAAACAAGTCAGACATGGAAAAAGTACTGTATAAATCTTTGTTTTCTTTATCAGTTTTATTTTGCTAGTTTTATCAGTCTTTGATTTAAACATACACACAGAAGTTTTTAATTGAGCAAATTTCCAGAACATCTTTCCATTTTCTAACCACTTCTTTCAGTTCAGGGTCATGGCTGAGCCAGAGCCTATCCAGGTAAGCAATGGGCACAACACAGGAAACACCCTGGAAAGGACACCAGTCCATCACAGGGCAGACATACAGACACAAACACAGACACGCTCACCCTTACACCTAGTGCCAATTTTCCCAGAAAACAATTCACCTACCAGTATGCTTTTGGATTGTGAGAGGAAAATAAACCTTGGAGAAACGGGAGAATCCACACAAACATAGGACGAACATAAAACTCCATGCAGATACTACAGCACCCCAAGCCCAGAATTGATCCAAGGCCCCCAGCACGGTGAGTCAGCAAATCCAGTCATTGCAGCAGCATACCATCCATTACCAGAACATTTTCCCCCCATAACTGATATTCTGAACAGCATTAAGTGTAATCTTCAAATCTTCAGTTTGACTTACTCTTTGACCTTGTAAGCCAGGCTCTCCAGGTAGTCCATCAGTACCAGGTAAACCCTAATGAAAAAAAAATACTTGTCATGAAAATTATTATGACTTCTAATAGTCTGTATTATTAATATTGAATAATAGTGGAAATGCTTGCAAAATATGTGGTCTACCATTAAGGTAAATGAAATTGAAACTGTGCCAACGTATTCCACAGCAGTACCCAGGCAAAATATATAGATTTTACTTTATTTAAAATGACACTTAGCAAAATAAATGTACTATATCTGGTGCTGGAAATAAGTAAAAGTGAAAAAATATTAACAAATAAAATGCTGAAATACTTTAATGAGCAGTCACATATACACTGTGCAGTATGGTTTTCTTTGAGTTAAAAATAAACAAAAAAGATTTGCAGTGCAGAACAAAGAGAAGCAAGCTGCAACAGACCTGATTGTCATGACTCAATAACCAGTTCTAAAGATTTAATTTCACAGGCAGTACTTTGACAATATTTCCCCTATAATCATGGTCAATTGAAGTGTGTAAAATGATTTCATGAGTGAGACAAAACAAAGTGATTCATGAGAGGAAAAATGAAATAGAAATCTTTGAACAGACAATACAATGTTATGAATAAAAGCATTTATTTATTGAATTTCATAAGCTGTGTTCTGTCTCTGCATATAAATCTGAAACGCAACTCTTCCGAGTAAAAGCTTTTTCTTTTGGGTTAAATATTTCCAATAAACAATTATGTCAAACTCTATTTAATAAATCTGTTTGAACCAATCATTCTGTATTTGAATGATATCATTAAAATTCCTAGCCCAGAATCTGTACTTTGTCCCTTTTTTACTAAAAGATAACATTTTTTTTCAATGCATTGAGCAGGATATTGTAATGGTTGTACCTTCTGTTTCCTATTAGAGTTAAAGTGTATTGCATTGTGTTCTTTGGTTATCCAGGTTTACATTTCTAACTTATTACTTACAGGGGGTCCTGGAGGTCCATCAGGTCCTGGGGGGCCGCGGGGTCCTGGTGGTCCCTACACAACCAGATTAATGTGTTAGAAAAAATTGTCTTTCACCAGAATCTGAAAGTGTCCAATTCTGACCGCTGCCATAACCCATGGTTTCAAACTTGACTTCCAGCCAGTCACAATTTTTTTAATGGATTGTTCACTCAACTTCTTATATGACACAGGGTAAAACATTAACACACAGAGTCAAATCAAAAAAGTAAACTTATTAAAAAGGTTGTTGCTTTTTTTAGATGATAAGTAAACATAGATAAAACCTCAAAGAAATGAATTAAGTCCCAGAGAATGAAAGAAACTGTACTTACTTGTTCTCCCTTAAAGCCTTCCTTTTGAATCTGGAGATGGATTCGCAGAAAGAGATAATAGTTTAACAGTAAATACATTGCATGTACAATAAATCAAACAGTGCTGCAATCATATAGAAAATGAATTTCGATGACTATTAAATTGCAATATTTAAGTACGCTGTTGTAAGTAAAAATATTTGTGGCAATAGCAAAATAATGATTAATCCTTGCTTGTAAAGTACATTCACACAGAAAGATTCCAGAATGCTTTATATTAGGGGCAGGATGTACTGTACAATATGTTACTCTCAACCAAGTTGCTGCACTCACCTCTGTCAGTAACACAACAAATAAGGAAGAAAGTTTACTCTATTGATACAATCATGGTGGACATGTAGGTGGGCTAAATGGAGTAAGCCTTAAATGGGAACCACCAGGATCGCAGTTAGCTAACCTATTTGTAGGAATATTGCAGTGGAATCTGTATTTATGGTGAATAACAGGGTTCTAATGTTATATCCTATCCAAAGGATGGCATATCCTACAGTGTTGTCTTTCACTATTATTCAACCATAATTTCACATTTCTGGTTCAATGGAACTAGCGCCGTAAAAGACCTGAATCAATATTGCTTTTGTTGGCTTTCTACTGTTTTAATATACATGATTAATTTGCCGATAGCTGAGAGTATAAAATTGCTAAAGTAGTACTGCACCTGTAGTGAAGGAAATGGCAGGCTCACACAAATAGAAGTGTGATTGAGTACGGTTTGGGCAAGATCTTTGAACACTAATCTATAGTAGAAAGGACCTGTGTTAAGAGACCTTGGCAGTATACTGTATGTCTGTTTGTATCACAATCTCTCTCATTCTCTCTCACACAGTAAGATACTGTAGTAAATGTAAAGAAGCAATGTCTTTGGCATTGATTGACCTAGAAATGCACTGTATGTCAGCTCCAGGCAATATTGTTTATAACACATAATGCTATTTCACCTTAAATAATATTTTTCTTACCACATCGCCTGGTAAACCAGCCGGCCCCATTTCACCCTATGCAGAAAAGAAAACATTTTTTTTAAATCTTGGTTTACACACTAAATAAGAAAAATAGGAATAATGGGTTTAAACATGGATTTCTCTTTTAAAAGGTATGTACTCACTATGGTTACCTACTGCACACCTTTGACATTTAATTGCATTCTTTCATTCTTGGCTTGAAGAAGCCTGAAGCCAATTTAGCATGATTCAAAAACATGAATTCATGAATCTAAATATAAATACGAGCAAAGAGCACACACAGAAACTAGTAATTAAGTATAGACAATATGAAGTATCCAGTTGCAAGTAGACAACATGAAGGATCTAATTACAAACAGACAATATGAAACAACCAATTACAAAGAAGATAAATGAGCATGCCTTCTTCTATTAAACTGGAATGTCTGGAACTGTAATGAAGGTTCACAGTTTATGTACATCCTACTGAATCCAAGACTTTTAAGATAATCACAAAACACCCACAATAATTGAATCTATGATCTACTCCTGTAGGATTTTTATTTTTCCAAAATCAGACTAGATAATATTGGCAGCAGTGTTTTCTTCCTTTTAGAAAACCGCTAATAATACAGTATGCAATATTACATCCACTTGGATCTCTGTCCATTTCTTACATTGAGCTGAAACCCAGGCTGTGCAAAAGAAACATACAGTATCATGGGTACTGATTTTGACCCTGTATTTGCCAGTATGGCTAGGGTAGTTTCGTTTTCCCAGCTTTGCACTGGCATCAAAAACACCAAAAGGACCATGTTATTTTCTGAATACCAACAGTAATTTTACATGTTCTGGATTTTCATGTCCAGAATCTTCAATATGAAATTCTTTATACAGGTATAAAGCTTAAATATTTGTAAAAACAAAACATTAGAGAGAATATTAATTATATTAAAAAGCATAGTTTATTCCATTGAAAACATTAAACAAATCTCTTCAAATATACAGTAGTCGTACCTTCTGGCCTTTGGATCCAATAACACCAGGCAATCCAATGCTTCCTTTGTCTCCCTTTGACAACAGATTTTGGAAAAAACATATGTAATATGAATGATGCCAGTCAAATATATATTTTTTCTCCACAGTAGATCATACTGCAGTATGTAGTATACCGCAGTCGAACATACTGCGAACATACAGTAGGACATACTGTATGAATGTTGCATTGTAAATACCATTATATATAAATTAAAAGCATTTCATTTTATTAAAAGGTTTATTAAACAAAAAGAACTGTATGTAAGTGAAACACACTGCACTGACCCTCTCAACATTTGAAAATGCAATGTTAATCACTCCACTGTTTTAGAACTTGCACTGTAATAGTTTAAATCTATCCTTATGTTAATTTTCACAAAGTATTCATGAGTTCTTTGCATTTTCTGCAGAGCAATCTAGGGATGAGATATTAATTTTGTATGAGTCAACCTGCAATGAAAAACACCTTCCATGGTACTGAAATAACCCTCAAAGATAATCCTTACCAGACTAAACACAGATGCTACACCTGTCTCAACATTTTACAGTTAAATTCTCCTGCCATAAATACTCTCTGGCATCCACCATGAGACAAGACAGCAGCTGGTCCTTGTCAAATGCACGGCAGTGCTTCCTTTTTTTGATAACAGCTTTAAGCTGTGCAAATAAAATAAGACTGAGATGGTAACACCTGATCACTTAACTCTGGACCATTAGATTTTCACCTCAAAGTAGAAGCTTCAATCATAAACCTTCCAGACTGCAAGGTAGGCTTATTTTTTTCATACTAGATATGGGCAGAAAGGTTGTGAAATTCTGTATATTCCCAGCGGAATTTTTTATTTACTGTAATCCATCAACAGTAGGTTTAAAGGTTTGATATGTAGAAAGACTTTCTTTATGAATCAAGTAAAGGGTTCATTTTGTAAATGTCTACATACAGTACAGAGGTATTGTATAGTAACAGTAACTACAGCAGCAGTTTTGGAGTAGTAATATCAAAACTGCTATTTTTGCTTTACAGTCAAGTAATAACATCAATATGAATGATAATTACAATATAGTATACATATTATTTGATCATATTAGAACAAAAACGTACTTTAATTTTAACCAAGTTATTCTAAGTAATTTATTGGTAAATATTGTATATATTTGTAAATTTCAGTATGTAAAAGTCCAAATTTGACTGCATATCCCTTTGAGGCATTTACTTCCTAAGTGTGTTCATGGCTCACCAAAACCTTGTGTATTCATTTAAGATGCTTAGCCATGCTTTTGCTGCTGTAGCCACTTTCAGTTCTTGCCTGTTTTTTGGGTGTGTTGATCTTTAGTTTCCTAAAGTTTCCTGGGCCTGTAAAATGAAACTGGAATGGAATGAACTCTTCCAATTTGATTTTCCACCTTTTTCACCTGATGAGAGAAAGGCTGCTTCGGCTGCATGTTTTGGGTTCATGTCACGCTACGTGAAGTGTCCCCCGGTAAAGTACTGACGCATATGGCCCAATGTGTTAAGATAAAATACTTTTGTAAACTTCAGAATTCGTTCTGCTGCTGCCATCAGCAGTTACGTTATTATATGACAGATGAGTGAGCCAGCTCCAAGAGATGTCAACGTCTGCCCAGGCCATCAGATTGCCTCCACCATGTTTCAGAATTAGCTTGGAAGTGCAAAGATGAACCAGGGCATTTGTGATATCATGTCTTATAGACAGATGTGACCAAGACAAACCTTCACTAAAACTGGACAAAGGACATTATTATAATATAAATAAAAGGACATTAATAAAAAGTTAACTTTTTTACCTATGCTTAAAGTACTGTAAGTAAGTAGTCATACTGTGTTATTATACCCTGCTAACAAGCAACAGTATATACAGCACACAGTACACTTATACTGTAAACCTTACAAATATGTTCAGTATTTGAAATCTAGTCAAACTTACATCTTTACCAGGGGCACCAGGTTTGCCAGGAAATCCATCAATGCCACGTTCTCCCTGAAATTGAAAATAAAATACTGTTGCTGTGTTGCTTACCTATTTTTGGCTTAAAAAAAATATTCTAACACATGGATGTTCTTTAGGTTTTTGAAAAATTGATGTCTTTCAGCTCTAAAAAAAAATGTTATCCTACATTGAATCTTTCAAATTATGTGCAAATTGCTTGTTTGGCTGTTCATCAAAATGTAGGTTGAAACTGGAAATGTTTTGATGTATTGCGATAATTAAATTAATATTAACATCAATATAGTAATATGCGCGCATTCAGTTGTTTAGTTTATAATTAGAGTCTGTATGATATTTTGATGTTTTTGCATTACTCTGACATTTGTAGATTGGATTGGATTTTTCCTAAGCTGCTTTCACTTCTGAAAGAAAAAATAAATTTTGGGAGGTTGTGATTTTTTCCTATTAACAATCCAATATTTTAAGTTAAAAGATACTATATTATTAGATAAAACAGTTGGTACATGGATTTATGGGATATAAACCTGCTCTGAGTTGGCTCTTCATAGTTATTTTTAAAACATTAATCTGCAATACAATAATGTTATGTTTTAGTGCAGCAGTAGAAATGGTGTTACTTTTCAGTAGTGCATCATTTAGAAACAATATTATCTATTTTGGGATGATAATATTGTACTGTATATGGAAGCATAATAGTCATATACAGTGGTATATATTTTTCTTAATTTATTAAAGAAAATCTCAAATATCTAGAAATTACTGGGGCTAACCATGCTGGAAAATCTGAAGAACAGGCAGAGACATGATCCAGTTTGTTTTGTGAACAGCAGTACAGTACAGTTCATGCACATGGATACTGTAGAGGACACATTTGCCTCATTTGAAAAACCAATGATCACGATGGTATTTATTGTTACCATTTAGTGTAGAGAATAATTAAGTGCTTCTGCTGAGATTCGCCCTGTGATATACAACACCACGCTTTTCAGTTTTTCCCTTTCTTGTTCAATAACAGCCCCTTTTCTGCATAGCTATCTCACACAGATATTCTCTTCACCCCCTACAGTTCCTCTAACTTCTTCCCCAGGCCTGCTGTGCTGACAGGGCAAAATAGAGGTGGCTTCATGTATTCACAGAAATGATAATTATTTTAACATAACAGAAAACACAACGCAACAATCCCTAGTATTTCTAGGTTTACAAAAGAAGAGATTTATTTAATAGATTAAAGATTATTTCCTAAAATGAAAAATGTGTCTGGAAAATGCTTTTTTTCCTGTCAGAATGTTTGAATGATAAAAACCCATTCGTTCTGACTACAGTTAAACCTTAAATACACATGCTGTTAATCAATTAAAATTATTTCCCCCTATTTTCTCTTTTTATTTTCACTATATACTACTTTATACAGTAATTTGTATGCAAGGACAATGTCCCTTCAATTTAATAAGCACTTGCAAGAACAACGAACAAGTCCAACATTAAAAAAAAATGTTTTTAATAGCAAAATTATGAGGTGATGATTAAATATTAAACATGATTAAAGAGAAATTAATTCCACACCAAATAAAGGTCACTTTTGACTGTGGAATGTGTCAAACCAGTAAAGAAGGCACCTACAGTATGTGTCTGTTTTTTTATTCCTCTTTTCAACACGGAAATAACACTGACACAGTTTCTCACTATAAGACCCTAAAAGCATGGATTCTTGCACTGGTGTAAATATGTGTCCCCCAAGCATGAAAAACTATTGTACATAAATTAAAACACCAACTTAGAACTCTTCATTACTGGTATTATGAAAACCTTCATATAGTAGGTTTTGATCTCCCTTATGGAATGTATTATGGGATTCATTAATTCAACTAACTAAAGTGATTAATAAGCAATGTTTCTAACAGAATGTGTTTGTGCATATCTTGTCCAGATTTCACTAAAATCTCAGTACACACAAAAGGATTGTCAGCTAATTTGTTGGAGAAGGCAGGCGTCTCTGTGATAAATATAAATCTTATATAAACATATGTCTCTGACAGAGCACTGGTATTACAATATTAAAATCTATTTGATATAAAAGCTAGATTATTCCATGTCCCCGCAACCAACAAATACAAAAATGCTTTTGACTTCTCTAATTTCATTCTAAAATGGAGGCGTTGCTTAATTTTAAGGAGGTATTGCACTTTACATACAGTAGTTGAAAAGAGTACACATATTTTATCTCTATAATTGGTGTTTTCATGAAGATTAAGAGTGTAAAAATGAAGGCCTTGTTATCTCTTGATTCTCTAACTGTACTTTAGCTTTTGATATCACAGGTGGATGTTACTTGATATACAGTACTGTAACAATACAAACCATGATCCCCAATACAAATCCATGAGCCCCAAAATACTTTTTTTTTATAAAAGATGAATCATCTGTTAAGTTTCCCTGCTAACTGTTCTGTCTGATTAAGAGGCCAATAAGATCACAAGAATACTACACTGGGCCTAATTTATACCGAGTTTTACTTCATCCAAGATATTAAATCTGAACAAACCTACAGTAATCTAGATTGCTAAAAGTATTTAAAATAAAAGAATACCCTTTCAGTTTGGCACACTGAAAAATGGAACAAGCCAAACAAGTGAAACAAAACATTATTCCAGAATATTGACACAAATGTGTTATCCTGTCACATTTACTGAACTGTTGAAGTGACTGATTGCTAACATGAAACAAACGCCAATGTACGGTAGACACCAGCTATCATATACTGTACTGTATATACACTGAAGAACATCTGTGAGTTACTGTACTGTGAGTGCCTCAAGAGCATGACAGTCTTGTGTGATTTACATAGACATCTATATTTATTTTAGGAAAAGTTGTTATATTAAGTGTGTTTTTGGTTTTATTCCTGCATTTTAAAGCTTAAATAATGAAACATTACAAGCCACCAATACCTCTTCCTTAACTCCTGAGAGGCCCATCTTCTCACATGGCAAATAATGCTTTGTAATAATGCTAAAATCTGCTTTTAAGATTTAATCTTGCAATAATCTTACCTTCTCACCATCACTTCCCTTATCTCCTTTACCGCCTTTCTCTCCCTGTGGAAACATGTAAGGTCAATGTACTGTTCACCCCAGTGTTTAATCTGCAGTTAAAATACAAGATGGACATTTACCAAATATCAAAGTTTACATATGAGATGAGGCCATTCTGGTCATCGTACCCACTTAAAGCGTGTTTCGGACACCAGGAATAAAATCAAGGCCTCCTGTGTGAACATCAGGAATTCTAACTAGCCACTGGACCATAAGAAAAGGGCTTGATCCTTGAAGCCAGTTTGTTGTCTTTTTGTTCCTTATTTCATTCAATGTCTGTTTTGTTCCAATGTCTCCACAGCCTCACCTCATCTAGCATTCACTGTGCTTTCTGATCTGGCACGAGAGGTCAAGCAACTAAAAATAAAGTATTAAAGCTAGTTGTTTATATGGATTGCCACTCCCTTTGTTAGGAACACATGGTACACATCACAATCCAAATGAACTAGATAGGCTGAATGGCCTCCCCTTGTGTGTAGCATTCTTTGTTAACAGGAAAGTATCTGGTAGAAGAAATGTACCATTTAATTGGGAAACCTACATAAATGTTTTTAAAACAAGTACAATGTAAACAGCATCTCCAAAGACGTCTCATTCAGTGTGCTGTAAGTTTACTTTTTTGTTTTTCTTTTTGTTAAAAGTTAGTTTCACTGTTGAAGCACGACAAAGAAAACTAATAACAAAAACACCAGAGAGCTACAGCCTTCGCTTTCAGTGCAGACCTACTTTGTATAACCTAGCATGTTGTAATGTTTTATGCATAGGGACTGGAAATCTGCTCTATATTTCACTGACTGAAGACTAAACATGACCTCAATGCAGATGTAAGACTGTGTGTTATTGGGAAGAGGAAAACCAGGTGTAAAAAATATGGAAATTGGTGAAAAAAAGCTTTTTACAAGAGTGGTATGGTGAAGCAGAAGTTAATTTACTGCCTTGCAATGATATGGCCCTGTTTCCAATTTCTTGGGTGCTGTCTCTATGGATCTGTTTGTATGTTCTCCCTATGTTTACGAGGGTTTTCCCCAGGTACTCCAGTTTCCTCCCATAGCCCAAAGACATACTGGTACAGTAGGTTAATTGGCTTCTAGGAAAACTGTCCCTGGAGTGTGTGAGTGTGTGCTTGTTTGTGTCTGTGTTTGCCCTGTGACAGACTGGCGTCCCACCCAGGGAGTATCCTGCCTTTGGCCCGTTGCTTGCAGGGATAAGTTTCATCTGCTCCACAACCTTATATTGATTAAAGAGGTGAGAATATAGAGGGATGGATGGAAAAGCTTTGCACATGTACAGTATATGTAATCATTTCTGTGGAATGAACGGGTCTCACTCAAGAAAACAATACTTACAGGTATTCCTCTGGCTCCAGGAGACCCTGGAGAGCCAATTTCACCTTTTGATCCCTGTGTAAAATTGAAGAGTAATGGCTTGAAATACATGAGGTAACTAATAAATGTTAATTCAGAAATACCAAGTTACAAGTCAGTTACAGGCATATAATTCCCAAAGTTATAAAATAAGACAAACTATCAGTTTTATATATTTTTATTTTTATATACAGTACATATATATTGACTTTTTGAAAATTCTGTAGTTGCTTCAGCTGCCTGCCTCTGTTATGTCTCATATTTGTACCTAGTTCAAGTAGGTACTGTAGGCGCATCAGCATGGGTAGGCTGCAAAGGAACAAGTAAAGGTTTATTTCATGCTGAAAAGAGAAGAAAAGCTGTGGAGCCTTCTTTGGGTTTGACGAGGGCTCACACCTGAAAACGACTCCACAGTTGAAACATTGTGTTTCCTTTCTTCTCTTTTCAGCATGGAATAAATATTTGTGCCTCTTCTAGTACAAAAATGCACAGAAAGGTTGTAAATCTTTGTATGATCTGGGCATTTATACACATACTGTACACTGCAGTGTCAAACTCTATAGTTTAAGATGTATTGAAAGAAATGTTTTGTGCTTATACAAACTTTACCATTAAATAGCAATCACTAATTGATATTACTGTACTTTTGTAACTTTTACCTTTGGTCCCAGAGGTCCAGGTAAACCAATCTCACCAGGCTCTCCTGGATCTCCCTGGTAAAAAAGAGATATACAGTACAGTATGAAGAAATGGCTTTGAAACATGCTTAATGTTAGACGTATGTACAGTAGATGATAATAGCCTATTAAGTTAGGAGCATGTACCACTACAGTATGTCAGCTGTTGTTTAGTGACTGGGGCGGGTCGATTTCGGCACCCTCTTAATTGTAACAGAATATTTTACACTTTACAGGTTGAGCTGAGAGTTTCTTTGATTATATTTCCTCTTGCAGTCACTCAGTCATGGGCTCTATTGGTTGAATAAACAATGCCTTTCTCTTTATAGTGATTTTTGATCTTATAATGCCACATACTGTAAATTTTAAATTACTTTGTCCTATTACTTTGATTTCACAGCATATGATATGGTAATATACTGTACAATCATGCCTTGGACTAAGAGACACTTCACATTTTGATTTTTAACAATTTGCAGAGAGCTATTAGACTTTATGCTCAAATTTAAAAAGTAATACATTTTGCTAAGGAGTGAAGAAACACATGACCAGGTCATGTAAAACTGTTATACTGTACATGGATGACAGACTATTACAGCTTTAAAATACTCAACACTCTCCTATATAATATAAAGCAATGCATTATACAGTAGATGTGTACATAATGTATATACAGTATGCACTGTCCTGTATTAACTGTATATAACATGTACTGTATATATAACACATATGCAGTATATAAAATAATAGTTCCTAAGGATGTCCCAGAAGACAATGTGAAGCAGCTCTTGAATCTTGTTCTATGGCATTTTTTTATTAAAATAGCTCCTGTGTTTTCCCACTTGTCATAGTGCCATTGGAGTTCTGCGCAGTTACATGCAATTTTCCCTTCTTGAAAAACAAAATCTCTCGGTATGCTGTTCGCTGGGAAGAGGTAAAAGGCATTTTTCAATACTCTGGAAGCCCACTGACAATTTGTTTTGTCTGGGCGAGACAGAGTTCTTGTTTCTCAAACTTGGCCTTAAGAAATCTCTTCAGACACTTTTCCTCTGGAAAAATTAGCTTGGATAAATAATCTCTCCGAGAACAGAGCATAACAAAAAACATACAAAGTAAGATAGTTTTGTGAAGCGAGAAAATAAGAAAGGAAGAAGCCCCCCTTTTGATGCTGTAATAATTGTCTGAGATAATTATATTTGTTAACTTGGAAATTATGCAAAAGATGTTTTTCAATGTTTGCTTAATAAATAAAAATGTCATTTTCCTAAAGCTGTTGAACAGCTTTTGGGGAAAAAACATCCCTTAAGTAATTTAGAATCAAAGCTTTATAAAAATGGAGAGAATGGACTACTGAATTTTAAACACATACTGCATGTGGGAAATAAGAATCTAAAATTCAGCAAATGCTCAGGAGGCTAAAAGGAAATATTAAGTTTAATTTACTTACCCTTTCTCCTTTATTCCCTGGTTTCCCAGCAAGACCTGCAGGTCCATGTGTACCCTAAATTTACAATTTGTATTACTGATATTTTAAATAATAATAACTTCGCAGGCAATTGCAAAGAATACTAAAGTCTCAGTGGAAATACTGTATACATCTCGTTAAGAGCTGTTACACATCATCACAAGCTGTTATTAACTTAATATTTTGGTCGGAGGATTTTACTTTGTCATTTGTTATTTTAAAACATAAAAGTAAAAGATTGAAGATATTGGTGGAGGTTCATTGGTTAATTAAATAATTAATGGAATGAATTCAAACAATAATCAGGATAATATTTTTTGCAAGTCTATATATTTAAATCTATCCTTCCTAAATAAGAAAGTATGCTTTGTAAAATGTTTTTATGCTTTTTATCTGTAGTTGTGATTGTATCAGGATAATTCAATTCTCATATTGCCCACTTTGAATGTAAATGCTGGCAGGCAGTATTAAACTAGATTAAAATTATATTATTTCTTACCTTGTCCCCCTTTTCTCCTCTTAATCCAGTTTCCCCTTGCTCACCTTCCTCGCCCTGAGTGGAGATGTTCAAGTTTTTTAGAAGATATTAAATATCAAGAGTAAAGTACAAATAAAATCTAATTTGCATGAGAATCAATATGTACAGTATGAACCACAGTTTACAGTATGTGGAGAGATATATTTAGATGTGTAAGAATTGCTACCGTATGCTTTAAAAATCATTCTGTATCTGAAACTCAAAATATTCTGTTTCCTGTGAGATTTCTGCTAGGAAACGTGTATGTCTTGTTCCTTCCTCACTAAAAGTGAGGGTTTAAAAATTATTCTGCAACAATAAAAGCATTAAATATCATCTTATTTCCCTGACGTTTTTCTTTTTAGTTTTAAGTGTGACCCGTGGGGGACAAAAGTGGGTGAGTGATCAAAATTGTGGATTAGCATTTGAACAAGACAAATACTGTATCTCGGTGTTTCAAACCTGAAACAATTTTCAAAAATTTTAATATTAGGCTGGATCTGCTGGACCATCCAAGATATTTAATTTCATTGAAGTCAGTTAGTTGTTCTTAAAGATCATGCAGAGTCTAGGAACATTAAATAAAGGTATTTTCTCTGTATTTTTCAGCAGAAAGAAACAAAAGGGAACAAACACTGCTTTGCCTGTCGAGCCTACTTCAGGTGTGAGGGGCAGAAAGAAAAGATTCAGGAATATAAAGTACAAGGATTTGTGAGAATGGGCACAGCAGGTGAGGAGGTGTCCAAAAGAACAGTAATCTATGGAAGAATTGTGAAAAGCTGAAAGCAGCAAATTAATGGAAAGGTTCTAAAGAATAGCTTATCATTGACAGCTGATTGAATATGTAATCCAAGTTATGTTGTTTTCTTTTTATTAAAGAAGGATAATTACAGTACAAGGGACTTATTACTATATTTACATTCTAAATTATTACATATTATAAAAACGCAAATGTTACAATTTAAGTGAGACCAACAGTGGGTGGTTGCTCTAGAAATATAAACAGACAATTTTAGAGGAAACTGTATGCACACAAGTGTTGCAGTATCAGTTTTTTTTTTCATTGCAGCTTTCATGCAAAGACACACCTCTGTCAGAAGGTTCCACAGTTGGATAGACTGCAGGTTACAGCACAGGTAGTCCCAGGTGCGTGAGACTGTTACAGTAACCAGCCCAAGTGTGCCAGCTCATGCTTGGACAATGAGCTGAATCCCACCCAATGGATCTGATTGCAACTGGCACATGGGCTGAACAAATGGGTTTGTCTGGATGGATTTAGCCCATGTTCCATATGTTTGAGACCACTACGCTACTAAGCCCAGGATATAAACCAGCTGTCTTAATCAAAGAGCTTAAAGTAAATGAAATATATATATTGTTAAACTTGATGTATGTATTATTGGTTCTTTGCAAACACATGAACCTCACAATAAAACATGAAAAATATTTTCATCAAAACTGAAGTCCTAGCAAGTGCTTATGAACTGCCACACAGAATTCCATGTGTGGGCTTAGTTGAGAAACTCTTTGCATGACTTATGATCAGTCCATGTATTACAAAGCAGAATATTCCACATGCCACACAGACCAATACTTGATGAAATACGACCAATGAAATAGAAATAATAAAGTGTTGAAACTACTATACTTCCAGCATCTTGCAAAACTTCATAAATTAAAATCAACTTAATCGTAATCCTACGGTTCTCTATAACACCAAAAATAAAATACATTTCATGCGATGAGCCCATAAATGTTTTTCCCACTGTCAGTGCTTGAAAATGACTTGCTTTGAGTGTGATATCCTGCTAAAATACTAGTGTTAATTCTGTTTACATCCCTAAGATGTAATTTAATTGTTTACAGAGATCAAGACTACCTCTGGAATTCAATTACCCATACCCATTATCCTTCCTTACTTAAAACTTGACCTTCAATGTAAATATGTACTGTATGTATATTGTTGTACCTGTCTTTTTTTTTTCTTCTTTTGTCTTCTGTCTGTACACCAACACTGCTGCTGTGAATAAATTTGCCCCCCCCCTCCCCCACTCCTCAGGGATAATGAATACTCTCTATCTCTCATACTGCAAAATATTTAAGTGATTTTTTTTCACTTTTGTTGGTTTTTTAACTACTTTTTTATGATATGATACAGCACATAATTATTCTTACAGGTTCAATGTGGGCTTTTGTAATGTCCATGGCTTTATGTACTTTACAGTATATTTGTAAACTAAAAAGGTCCATTATTTTTCCTGTTTCAAAAGCTTGAGCTGACTGTTTTCTATCCAGTTATTGCCATCAAAGAAAAACCCAAAAGAAAACAATCCATTATACGGTAGGTGCCTGATGGTTCTAATTAAAGTAGATGCAATGGAAACCTATTGCTTTCAACTCATTTCTTTACAGTACCATTCTTACTGTAAATCAGACCTTTGAAAGAATTCTGATTTTAAACATACAAATGTATGTATCTTATTCATACTGTTTCTGTGATGTTTCCCAAAACTCAGTACCATTTAAAAATCAATGCGAAAAATAAAGAGTAGCCTGTAGATAGTTATGACTAGTTACTTCCATATAATACCATTGAACATAGTTTTCTTAATTCTCTATTGTAATATGTATATTGTAATATTCTTAAGGGAATAAGGGACAGTTGTATAAACACATCTATCGTCAAAAGACATACAATATTACTGTTACGACCCCAAGTGTCTCGGGGTAAAGGGGTGTAACATTTAGGATAATTCTTTTGGAAGCAGGTGGGTTTGGGTGAGGGACTAGGAAGTATGATAACAAGGGTAAGGAACTAGAGTGGTGCCAAATGAACGAAAATAACAAACAAAATGGAGCTGGCTAGGACAGTGAGGGAAAGCTAATCTGACGACAAAAGAAAACCCGAAACACACGGTCTTCGGCGTCTTCAACACCCTAGCTAACCTGCACTGACCCAAAACCATACAAGACAAATGGCACTCATCCGTACTAAACTAGTGTACTAATACAAAATCAACTAAGTGTGTAGAGTGTACCCTAACAACCTAAACTAACCTTATATACAAAAGTTCACACAAAAACACAAGTGAACCAAGAATACAAATAAGGGAAAACAAGAGTAATCAACAGGAGCAGGGTCCAAAAGAACACAAAAGTTGAACATGTAACACTGGGGCAAGGTAATGGCAAAACAAGGATGAACACACAAACAAATGAAAGTACA